TGAGAATATAAGTATATAAGGACTTGGTAGATACCATTGTTAGTGCGTGTAAATAATGGCCTAAATTCATGACAGATAGTCAATAGTGGAAAGATAAGCATTAATACCTGTCTACCTACTAGCTAAGCTTTCTGAAGAAGTGATTGTTTTGTTAAATTTTTCAATGTAATGTTATTCTAACTTCAGGTAAGTAATCAGCGCCGCCCATGTACACCCGCGACGGAGGAGTGAGGTTACCGGAAGCCCAATCCTTCCCCCCCCCCCGGTCCCTCCCAATCCTTAAATATCTGAAACCCTTATCCCTAAAAAGCCGGCAACGCACTACTCCTTTGGTGACTGTTTACCACCAGGCAATCTGTACGCTCGTTTGCCGACCCATGACATAAAAAAATATCTTGCACGTACATACCTACGCAACTTAGTGTATAGATATCTAGGTTACAATGAGTTTGCAATTTGTTTGAACTGCTTACTCAATTCCAAAATAATAATATTGATGAGGAAAATTCCTATATTTTATCGTTTTTATATAGTATTATTATCAGGTAGGTAGGTAGTAATAGTTAGGGCGATTGCTTATCACTGAAGATAAGCGTTACACCTGAGCTTCACATAATATGTAGGTATAGGTGACGGTGCTAGCACATTAAGGGAACCAACAACACACATTTAGTTGTGTAGCATGTTATTATGAAGATTTCTTCATTCGGGCATATAATTAGAGCCCATTGTAGATGAAAGGGTTTCTTTTTGGGAAGAGAAAGTTTGCGCACAAATCGTACTATCAAGCAGACATAGATCAAAATTTAATTTCGTAATGAGTCTAGGTGTTTGTCGTTTATAAAAAGACAACATCATCAGCCTATAACTGCCCACTGCTGAGCAAAAAGCCTCTTTTCATACGGAGAGGGTTTGAATAATAATCACCACTATCACATCACCACCACTATCACATCACCACCACTATCACATCACCACCATCTAAGTGTGGGAGAGCCATGCTTCGGCACGAATGGGTCGGCTCGACCGGAGCGATACCTCACAGAAAACCGGTGTGAAACAACGACAGCGTTGAGTTTCGCCGTGTGAGTGAGGTTACCGGACGCCCAATCCCTCCCCAGTCCCTAAATCTCCAAATCCCTAATCCCTAAAAGGTCGGCAACGCACTCGTAACTCACCCGTTGCCCATAGGCGGCGCTGATTGTTTACCATCAGGTAATCCGTCTGCTCGTTTGCCGACCTATTACATAAAAAAAAACCACGCCTGCCCAAGGTGGAGTAGTCCAGGTTACCTCTCGATGTTTTCCTTCACCGTATGTCAGTGGTGTCTAAATACTTAATAGTAGGTACCTAGAAAGTATTATGTACCTACATATCTAACTCGGAAAAAGTCTCATTGTTAGGTAGGTACTTGCCAGGTCGCCTTAACCTCCGGGACACCACGACGTAAAGGAGTGTCGATAGCAAATGTCGAAAACTGACGAGCTAATCATTCCGTAATTTTGGCCAGAGAAGCAACCAAGTAACTTAACTATGACCCTAACGGTGACTAAAAAGGTTTAAATGGTTCAAACAAAACTAAAAGTTACATAAGCAGCTGTTGTACCGTAAAACGTTCAAGGTTCAACTCCATTGTTCGTTCTATCGTGTGACGGTTGAACTCGATTCATTGAGAAGACAATTCCAATTGGTAGGTACCTTTAAAAACAATTAAAGTGTCTAAAGATCTCTATTATTTTGTGTAAAATATGGGCAAGTAAATCTAAAAAGATTCTGTAATATTGTAGCACATTAAAAACTTTTTTATGTGATAGATATGTGTGATAAGTATCATACAGTGCGGCCGACGTATCTTGGCGAGTCTGAAGTTAGCCGTTTGTCTGCGCAATGTACCTTTTAGGAACAAAATCGTGTACTGCGCAGCTGTACCTGATGGTAAGTAATCCGTCCTTGGACAAACGCATTGCTAGAAGACTAGCGAGTGCGTTGCCCGCCTCTTGGGGATTAGGCTTTCGGAGATTTAGGTATTGTGCCACCGGCAATATCATTCAGACTTCAAAATAACGCTGTAGTTGTTAGACGTTGGTTTTCTGTGAAACCATGATAGGTAGGTAATATCTCTCTGGCGGTCAACCCATTCATGCCAAGGGATGGCTTTCTCACACTATTGCGAATTTCGAATACTGATCTCGATATTTTATTCCTGTTTGCAGATAATATTTGTAATAAGAGGAGATACGGATTTAAGGTACTTTAGCCAACGCGGCATAAAAAATAAGGATTCATTAAAAATGACACAAAAGCGATCACCTCAAAATTTTGTGAAAATCGATGCAGCAATTTAGGCGAAACTGCTTCACAAACATAGGTACTAACTCGCATCTAAAAAATGAAAATCGACCAATAAAATTATTGTGGACGGATGTAGAACAAATATTTTTTTAACCTGTCTGTCATTTAATTGTAAACAAAAACATTAGTTTTTCCTCGTTAACCGGTCATGTAAAAATACGTCTATTAAGGAATGAATCATAACATTACAAATAATTTGCAGCTTTATTCACTTTCAATTCAAGGTTTAATTTTGCTTAGCAGCTTATACAAGATGACTCAGTTTGGTTCCAAAGCAAAATCAACTTTATGTTTTGAGAACTAGGTTGAATTTTTTTTGTATCATGTTTATTACAGAATGACTCATTACCTTGACGAGACAAAATCAGCTTTATGTCCTTGAGTTTAAGAATGAGTTTAATTTGTTAATTAATGCTAATTGCTTTTTACTCGCATAGATTTGTGAAGGTGATTCTGTTTGTTATAAACAATACATAGATATTTCAATTCGGTAAAAAATATAGGTACGATTTTAGTCTTTAAAACTAGCGCATTGTGGTTCAATTACTTTGGCCGTTAGGTAATAAGGAAAACAATTGTTATTAATAATTGAAGATAGTTTATTTAAATTAATATATTAATCTCAAAGATTCTAGCTATACATGCTCAAAGTCTAAGTCACAAAGTCAATGTCAAAAGTCAAAATCAAAAGTCAAAGACTGTATCCTAGCTAAGCTGCTAGATGACCTGTTGACCTAATAAATACACTAGATGGGGTAAATAAATAAAACCGCCTCTGTGTATTGTTCTATGCTGGTAATATAACACTAAACTTGAGCTATAAAAATGACAATTGGGTAGTTTCCTAGGTCAAAAATAAATTAATTCGGACGTTTCAATACAATAAAAAAAAGAATGATCAAAATCGGTGAATAAATAACGGAGATGTCGGCGAACAAACATAAAAAAAGCATATATGTACGGTCGAATTGAGAACCATCCTCCTTTTTGGAATTCGGTTAAAAAATTGAAATACTTTTATTCATTGATCGATCGATACACTAAATTTTGGATATTGTTTACTAAATTTTTAAGAAATAAGTAAACTATTTGACCCGAAAATACTATGACGTCATAACTCAGAATTTCATATGAAAATAATCGTTTCTGACATTTGAATAAAAGTATTAAACTTAACTAGTTGGAAACTACCGTATTGTCGTATACTATTACTGGTAACGAAACCATAGCTTGAATTTTAGTATAGCAACGCCATCTATCGAGCTATGAGATAACTCGTTACAATAAAATATTCTTTGAAAATAACATTAAGTATGATCTTGAACAAAGACAAATTATTTACTTACTTCAAAGTGTAGGAACTTAACATTCTCTAGCTCTTTACGGTTACTCTTTTTCAATCAGTTTCACTCACTGCGCCCTTATGTAAATAAATGCTATTTGTCCATAGAATGTGTAAACACTGCATTTTTAATGCTAAAATTTATTTATTTACGGCTTCAACGTGGAATCTTGCAACACAATTATGAAGCAGATATCTATACTAATATTATAAACAGGTGTTTGTAAGTTTGTATGTAGGGGGTAATGTTTGGAACTGCTGGTCGGATTGCCAAAATTCTTTCACTGATAGATAGCTACAATGTTCCTGAGCGCTATAGGCTATAAAACATCACGCTACGATTAAATGGAGCCGAACAGCGGGTGAGACCGCGCGAGAGCCGAGGGATCCGCTTCTGATGCATAAGATTGAAGAGATAGTGCAATTACAAAACCTGGAAATTACCAATGTGACTTTTTCCGAGTTGGTTGATCTCCATGAAACCCACTTACTGACTAAAAACCAACCTTGGTGTCCCATCTGGGGATGAAGGTGCGAGAATCAAATCCCCAGCCCCCTGTAGAATTGGGTAGTTTCCTAGGTCAAAAATAAATTAATTCGACGTTTCAATACAATAAAATATTGAAAAATAACTATACTTTTATTCATCGATCGATCGATACACAAGTTTTAGATTTTTTTTAGCTAATAATTGTGAAATAAGTAAGCCATTTGACGCAAAAATGTTATGACGTCATAGCTCAGTTTTTCATACAAATTTCATAGAAAAGTTTTTTTTTGACGTTTGAATAAAATTATTGAGTTTGACTAGTTGGAAACTACCGTATTCCAACAAATGAAAACACACAAAGGAAATAAATAAGATTTATTTAATTATATTAGTTATATGTATATCAATACTTACATTTTTTATTATAATACCTCATAATAATAATATTATATTAAAACCTTCTTAATATAAATAATACCTTATAAATAACACTAAAAAGTTTTCATAAGAAAAAGAATATCATAGGTAGGTAATGCACAAAATAAGAATAAGAATAATAAATATGGATGATGGCTCAGTCAAAATTAAATTGTATCCCCTAGTGAATCGTATAAATGCAATAAGTTTACATCCAATAACGACATTAGAATTTTCTCCTGTGTCTTGGGACTCGTAGGCGATTTTCGTACGATTTTTACCGTTGAAAAGTTCGTTATTTTCAATTGTCAAGTTGACTCCGTTGTTAGAACTTACTGTTGGACACGAGGGCGAAGCAGTGGACAAAAGTAGTTAGGGGGGGGGGTCTGGTGGGGCTAGTTTTTTTTATATATAAAACGTATAAAGATAAGTAGGTAGTACAGTATCATAAAGATATTTTCTCGACCATGGAATGTTTAGACTTGATGATTCAGTTCTTCCATTTAATTGACTGTAAAGAAAAACACAATTTAATAATAAGAAAGTATTACTTACGAAAATGACTTTTTATTTGAAAACGTTCCAGATTAAAAATGTGGAAGAGCCATGCTTTGGCACGAATAGGTCGGTTTTCTGTGAGGCCGTGGTATCACTCCGGTCGAACCGACCCATTTATGCCGAATCATGGCTCTCCCACGTTAAGGTTTTACCGGTGAGGGACACTTTCCTCCAAACAGGCTTCTTAAGCAGTTGTAACTTTTCTTAAGGAATAAGTCGGCAAATGAGTAGACGGATTACCTGATGGTAAGCAATCGGCGCCGCCCATGGACACTCGCAAAACCAAAGGAATTACGAATGCGTTGCCGGCCTTTTGGGGATAAGGGGTTACAGATATAAGGATTGGGAAGGGACGTTACTGAAGTTGTAGATGTCCATGGTCAGTACAGTTTGCTTACCATCAGGTATTACTGTTCTATCCTATAAAAATACTTACATTATCTCTAAGAGTATTCTCAGCGAGTATATATTCTTCTGACTGGGGGTTCAAGGTCATTTTGTAGTTGGTGAGCGCTGACCTGTCCTTCTGCTTCGCTAGGGTCTCGATTACAACCGCATGGATCTGTGAAGAAGATATCCATCAGAATCATCATGGTATCAGCTGGTTACACATTCATCATCATCAGCCTATAAGTGCCCACCTCTTCTCAGACGGAGAAGGTTAGAGCATTAATCATTACGCTTACTAAAGGCGGATTGGCGATTTAAAACGTATAATTAGAAATTATAAGGCCAGGTTTCTTCACGATAGTTTCTTTTACTATGTGACAGTGGTGTGTTTATAAACTTATAAAGAAAGTACATATGACTTAAAAAAGTCACATAAGAACTTAATATTTTGAAAATAACGACTCAAACAGGTGTTCTGGTCAAGGGACGATCTCCGGCCACCGTAAGCGCGGGTCTGCGGTCGGCGAGTAAGGGCAGCTCGCCGCCCGACCAGAACCAGGCCCGAGCGTACGGCGCGTAGCGTTCCGCGCGCGCCTCAAAGAACCAATAGACCAACACAGACCGGGCCCTATAGGGCTGATGTTCAGCCGGCCCAGAGCAGGAGAAGGAGCGGGGTTTTGAGTCAGTAAGAGTCTGATAATTTGATGATTTTCCCCTCACAAAAAAAAAAAAATCAGGTGATCTAGTTTCAAGTCACAACTCTTATTCATGAACAGCGTGCATGTCGCTAGTTGGTCACGACAAAGTTGATTTCGGTTTTATATTGATTGTATAGTACGGCCGACGTATCTTGGTGAGTCTAAACTTAGCCGTTTGTCTGCGCAGTGGATCTTTTAGGAAAAAAAATGTGTACTGCGCAGGCGTGCGTTCGTGCAGCGGAATGTTGTTGAATTTAAAGATTTTAATTATGCAGATATTTAGTGTATGACGTCGTATAATTGTGTATGGTAAAAAAAAAATTTGTGCACTCAACCATTGTAGAAAAATTCACCAAAAACTGATTCCGCTGGGCGAACGTTGTCCTGGCGGAATTTTTTTTAATCCATAGAATTTAGAAGAAAAGAGATGTATCCAAAAATTAGTGTGTATTTGTGTGTAATTGTGTATGTATGAATAAAACTAGTGCATGCATAAACTTCGGAGAAATTCAAGTTTCCGCTACGCGAACGTTTGGCCATTAGCTAGTTTTCATATAAAGCGCTTACATAGAGAGCCGTAGATTTTTACATACGTTGTTTTGAATTTGTGTATATTTGTTTTAAAAAAACAGATTTAGAAAAAATCGTAGGGTTTAAAAGATAAAAATATAAACGTAAAATACGCTTATTAGGTCTTAGTTCTTAAAGTATGCACTTGGGGTCTAGATTTTCACGTTTATACAAACCTTGTAAGTGTCTGCAACATGTTGCCAAGTATCAATGATGTTCCGTTAGTAATTAAATAGTTATAGGACAAATTTACCATGAATAGATCACTGTTTACAAAGCAGTCAAACATCACGACGTTCTAAATGAATTGCATGGTAAAATATATGCCAATAATTAGTGTATTCATTCAACTATTCACATGCAAAATTTCATGTCATTAAATTCAGTAATTAAAGAAAAACAATTATAATACTGACGAAGTAACGAAAACCTACATAACCCGACCAAGTTCGGATGGCTACAAAAAAGCGGCTACACAATTACACACAAATACACACTAATTTTTGGATACATCTCTTTTCTTCTAAATTCTATGGATTAAAAAAAGTTCCGCCAGGACAACGTTCGCCCAGCGGAATCAGTTTTTGGTGAATTTCTCTACAATGGTTGAGTGCAAAATTTTTTTTTTACCATACACAATTATACGACGTCATACACTAAATATCTGCATAATTAAAATCTTTAAATTCAACAACATTCCGCTGCACGAACGCACGCACTGCGCAGCCAATCGACTAACTTCAGACTCGCCAAGATACGTCGGCGGTATTGTATAGTCCATTTGACTTGGTCCATGTCCTATTCTTCGATTCTTTTTTATTTTAGAAACTATTAAGAATGTTTAATTTATTTTTGTAAGCAAACCTAGTATAATGTCTATTTTATAAATTTAGTATGTCTCACGATAGTTACATAAGTACTTGCGAAGGTTTTTTTATATAGTTAAGCTTCTGAGTAAAACGGCTATTAACTATACTAATAATATGAACCTGTAAAGTGTTTGTTTGTTTGAACGCGATAATCTTCGAAACTACTGGTTCGAATGTTACAGTTATTTTTTTTTTCATCAGTCCACTTATCGAGGAATATAACTATATAATATTATAAATGCTAAAGTAACTCTGTCTGCCTGTCTTTCTTTTCTTCACGCCTAAACTACTGAACCGATTTCTTTGAAAATTGGTACAGACATAGTTCGGAACTCGAGAAAGGGCATAGGATAGTTTTTAAACCAAAAATCCGCAGAAAGTCACTATTCCACACGAACAAAGTCGCGGGCAAAAGCTAGTAGACTATAAAACATCACGCTACGATTTGTAGGAACCGAGCAGCGAGAGGAGCTAGTTACCTTATACATATGAGCAAGTCGCAGTCTGTCGTCACTGTTGGCAACTTTGTTGACGCATGTGGCGAGTAGTTGCTTGCTCGCCTGCAACTGACTGAGGCGGGACAGTAGCGTCTCTATTGGGATATTCGACGATATCGTTGTACGACCGAACCAGTCCTGTAAGGCAATATAATTATACATAATTTACTTCACACATACACAACATTAAACTATAAGTGCTTACTTCTGAACAAAGGCTTCTTCTCACACGGAGAAGGTTTGTTGCTTTTTAATAATAAAAAAAATATAAAAAGTTTCAGTCCACTGTTGGACAAAAAACCTTTTTCATTTCACGCCACTAAGTTACATCTTCATCTTTTTGTGTTCAAACAGTCATGGGCCAAACCCTGACGTCCAATCCGCAATTTTCCCCATTACGGACGCCCCATTTTAAGTGTGGGAGAGCCATGATTCGGCACAAATGGGTCGGCTCGACCGGAGTGGTACCACGGCCTTACATAAAACCGTCGTGAAACAATCACAGCGTTGTGTTTCGCCGTGTGAGTGAGGTTACCGGACGCCCAATCCTAAATCTCCAAATCCTTAATCCCCAAAAGTTCGGCAACAACTATAACTCCTCTGTTGTTGCGCATTTCCATGGGCGGCGCTGATTGCTTACCATCAGCTAATCCGTCGGTTAGTTTGCCGCTCAATCCCATAAGAAGAATCTACGTACATTCATAGGCAATAATTTGAGTACCCACCTTTTTAGTAAATAGTGATTCGACAATATCCCATTTGCCGGATTTGGCGTGCACGTTCAATACAACCCAGTCGTATTGTAGGGGAGTTATCTGTCATAATGACAAAACAATGTTAGAAAGATTAAGCCTTTGATTTCCGACAGAAAACTATTGGATGCAAATCCACCGCTAAAGTAGGTAGCTGTGGTGATTTTTTTTGGTTAGGTTGAGGCGAGAGGAAGTTTCAGACTCTTACTTACTAAAAATCTCTCGTTCCTTCTTATGCTTTAGGCCGAGGCTGCGGTGACTCATTGCGCTTACCCCGCAACCCCGGCTGAACATCAGCCCTATAGAGTCCCGTCTGTGTTGGTCTATTGGATCTTTGAAGCGCGCGCGGAACGCTACGCGCCGTACGTTCGGGTCTGGTTCTAGTCGGCCGAGCGGTCGGCCGAGCTACCATCACTCCTCAAAGAAGGGTCTAATTACCGCTGCTATAACAGCGTGCCCAGCCTTCGGTTGTGACAGACGTTGCTTCTACTTTGCTGTGAGATCGTGCCGGATCTCATTCCGCTGCGCACTAATTTGGCGCGGCAGATTCTCGCCTCGGCGACGCGCGATTTCGCGTATATTGTAGACGCGCGCGAGCGTCTTCGCTTCCAGAACCCACGGCGGTGATCCGGCAAGGAGGTTCACCGCCCTCAACAGGCCGGCAACGTACTAACTCCCCTGGTGTTCTGGGTATCCATAGGCAGTACTATTTGCTTTCCATCAGGTTATCCATCTGCTCGTTTGCCACTTTATTAGATAAATAAAATATAGGTATACCTGATGCCGTTGACACAGGGTGAGTGGCGACATCGCATTGCCAGCTCCCTCATGCCAGTGGTGCGTGCAGTTGTAGGCCAACCACTGAATCACCGAGTTGTACTTCAAGTCCGGCTTATTCACGTGTTTCTGCCATTCTAAGGAAAAACAACACACAATAAAATTGAGCACTGTTTTTTTTTTAATATCCTAAGTACTAAACCTACCTACTAATATTATTTTTATTATTATAAATGTGAAAGTAAATGAGAATGTATGTATGTATGCACGTTTGTGATTCTTTCAAGCGAAAACTGCTCGACCGATATTTCTTGCAATAAACTAGTGCTTGACTGCGATCCCACCTGATGGTAAGCAGCGATGCAATCGTTGATGGTAAGGCGCACTAGTTTATTAAGAGCCTATTCACTCTCGCTTTGAAGACACCTAGATATGGTTAACTTTAGGTACGTAGATAGGTTGACACTGGATTAATACCTACATAGGGTTTTCATCAACGTACCACGGGGGCGAAGCCGCGGGCGGAAGCTAGTTATTAGTTAGTAATAATTTTTTATACCTTGTTCAAAATAGTTCCCTCATTTTTCATTAGAAAGATTTAGAAGAAGAAAATGGTATACAATGTTAAACACATCAGAAATTTATCTTAGAAGCATGAAAAAAAATCTTACCTAACAACTTGATGTAATCTGAGATCATCTTGGCTTGGTGTTGGTCGACACCGGGTTGGTTGAAGTGATTGGCCAACAAGTTGGTCAGCTTTCTTAATAAGACATCCACATTGTTGCCCTGTGTCTTCACTGTATGTTGGTATTGGTACATCTAGAATAAAACAAAATAATAATAAATATGAAGTTGTTTCAAAATATGGTGAATGTTTCCAATAAGGTAAAATTTTACTGTTAGACAAAAGTTTGTTTTACATTATAAAAGTTAGAGTACATTTTTGAATATAAAGTCAACTAATTGATTGTTTACAGAACAAAAGTGTGTTATAAAACAAAACAGTTACAGTTTATTTTTGAACAGAGTGCCATGCGCGTCTTGTTGTGAGTTTCAACGTTCTGATTGGCTTGCTCAAATTTAAACAACCAATCAAAGGCCTAAACGCTTGCAAGGGCTCTAACTTAGTAAAAAATCAAGGTGTACTATTTCAATGTATTCTTTAGTTTTGAAATTTAAAGCGAGCCGTGAAAGATATAATAATATTCAAATTATACTTACAGCAGCTTCAGGGCTACGTCCCAACATCCTGGAAATCCATAAATAAAGTACTACATTAGATAATATGTATAAAAAACAAATGAAAACGAATTAGTTGAAATACGGTGGACTTAAACATTAGGCCACTCTACATTTTTATTAAATTTAATTCTTCCCATAAACTTTAGCTTCAATCTAAACTTAATACCTATATATGTATAACATTATGAAGTCGATGATTTTGTTCGTTGTTTGAACGGGCGTTTGAACGCGCTAATCTTCTAAATTACTGGTTCGAATTGAACAATTCTTTTTGTTTTAAATAGTTCATTTATTGAGGAAAGGTATAAGGTAATAAAACATCACGCTATAAACTAGTCTAGTACGATCTAGTTTTATAATATTTATTACGATAGCCATTTTGGTAAGTGTTGTAATTTATAAAATAGGTCGGTAAACGAGCAGACGGGTCTCCTGATGTTAATTGGCGCTGCTCGAGAATACCCGCCACACCAGAGGACTTAAAGAGCATTGCCGTTCGAGAAATCTATTTCTTATTAATTAACTAGCGATCCGCCCCGATTTTGTACGGTTGCATACCATGTTATTGTACATATAAAACTTCCTCTTCAATCACTCAAAAACCGCATCAAAATCCGCTGCGTTGTTTTAAAGCTTTAAGCAAACATAAGGACAGATAAAGCGACTTTGTTTTATACTATGTAGTGATAAATAGCTACCGCAACCAACTGCACGGTTGGTGCGGTGGCTGGGCAACTGGCTGCCGTGCAATGTGTCGCGGGTTCGATTCCCGCACGGAACAACTCTTTGTGTGTGTGATCTATAAATTGTTGATCCGGGTCTGGGTGGCTTGTGTATGTGAAGCTGTATGTTTGAAAAAAAAAAGAAAAATTTTCGGCTTCGACTTACGTTAATAAATCGGCTAGTTCAGATATTTTCCCTTCGTTTTGTAGGAAGGCTATGTAATGGTTCAAGGCCACGGGTCTTGAAGAGAGGAGCTCGTAAACCAGCTTCTTGTTCAGGGTCTGGATTAGGAACAGGACCACCTGGAAATATTTGTTTAAAACTTTAGACAGTCAGTATTATGGTTAATCGGTAACCTAAAGGTAAACCATCTTGGAATGATTTTTATATTAAAGATGGTGGTAAAATACGTACTAAGATTATTTAAACTTAGGTTTTTGTAATTCTTTAATTCTTCGGCGGCGACCTCTCTCGGCCCCCGTTTCCCGGCCTTAGTCGAGGCCATGGTGCGGAGCGAGAGGAACTGGGAAGCCGTCTTCTCTTTCTGTGAAGAAGTTGTGCTCATAAAGAGGAGGCGGGCCGCGTATGAGAACTATCTTCCTTGTCACGCCCCAGCCGACGCTGTAGTCGACACTTTGGGATCGAGAGACGATTTCCAGCCACCCTAAGCGAGGGTCTGCGGATGGCGAGCTACCCTTACTCGCCGACCAGAACATAACTTAGCATTGACATAAATTAGGCCTCCGGTAACCTCACTCACACGGCGAAACACAACGTAAGTGTCGCTTCACGCCAGTTTTCTGTGAGGCCGTGGTATTACTCCGGTCGAGCCGGCCCATCCAAGTCGAAGCATGGATCTTCCACACTTAAAAAGTAGGTATTATTGAAGAACTCACAGTTAACACAGCATTTCCATCGCCAATGGCCAGCGCTCCGTCCAGCAACTCCGTTTTACTCTTCATACTGCGGTGAACGTGTAAAGAACAGCTCCGGCCAAGAGTCAGTCTCTTGAGGGTCATGGCTACTGTCTGCTCTGGTTCATACTTAGTCTCTTTCGAGGGGTCTTTGCCAGACTGCGCTAGGAGAACTGAAAATGAAAGAAATGTAGTTCGGTATACTGTTAAGTTATAAAAGTCCTTAATACGTTAAGCGCCATGGGGGTCACCGGTGACCTCCGTTAGCGGAGGATTTGCCTTCAACAGTTTTCTGTCGGCAGTCAAAGGCTTAAAAATACCAATGTAGGTAGAGATAAAAAAGTAGCGGTAGGTATTTATAAATTACACGTCGGCTTTTAAGAGAATCAACCAATTCCGCGATGAATGATAGGCTTCAAAAAATAACGCTTTTTTGTGTTGTGATAACAGATCAAACAAAATGAATTAAAGTTTAATAGTGTGATCTAGCTATTGCTTTGCGCAGAAGGTAGGTGTAAAACCTACCTAAAGTCAAAAATATTTGAAACCTGAAAAACATCATCTAATGTTTATCTGAAAGATTAACTTTAAAAAAATTTGAAGTCGTCATTCCTTATGCAGAAACAAAGGTGTTTGTTTCAATTGACTGGTTTCCCAAGCCAAAAGAAATAAATGAATTTAAAGTTATAAAACAATAAAAATTCTCAGAAATCATAACATGTAAATTCATTGGTGTTCACATATACGTAATATTATAGTACTTACAAATATGACGTCACACCACCCTATTTCATTCGAGATTCATTGAAAATTTTCGTTTTTGACATTTCGATTAAAGTATTGAATTGGACTACCTACTAGTTGGAAACTACTTAATTAGACAGTTGTGCAAAGTATTAATTTTGAATTTTCTTAGATTTTACTTTACACTTGGATCTGGGATTGTTGATAGGCCTTAATGTAGGTAACTTGTGAAAAAAAGGTGTTGTAGATATTGAATATAAGTATTCACTTCACTCACTTCACTTCACTTGTTTCAATATTACTGACTAAATTTTTAAGTATTACTGTAGTGTATGTAAATACATAGTTATGTCTCGAGTGTATATGTCACAACTGGCGGTTTGGGCAGTCAGTGTCAGACAGTTGAACTGGTAGCATGTGGTGGTATGTTGGCGAGCCAAATATAATATATCAGATAATACTAAAATTGCTATAGGGTTTTTTCAGTGAAATTGGTGTGCTTAGGAAGTTACAAACATAGAAAATCCTATACATGAACAACACACCCATAGCAACAATTTGTAGATCATACAAAGAGTTGTTACCTATATTTGGGAATCAAACCAGTGACACATTGCACACAATGCCTCATGCAGTCAAAAGCTAAGACACTATATAGATTTAGATATAAATACTCACTCAGATCTAAAACCTTTGAAGACACAAGACTGCTCAAAGGTATGGCCGCAGACTGAACAGTTGTGATGCTGATATTATTGAAGAGACTCTCCTCACTTGGTCCTGATGGTGAATAGGACTTCTGACCGATGGCCAAGATCTCTTGCGTTGAGAGCTAAAAAAAAAAATACCGATTTGATTAAAACTTTATGCTTGGTTACTTTTAAAAATATTTTATTGCTAAAACTTATTTCAGTTGAATGACAAAGGTTTTTGACTCTAAGCTTCATAATAACAACATAATAGGATGTTTTCATTTAGGTTGCAAAAGAAGTGCAAGAAATAACTTAATTAATCTGCCTATGCATAAATCCAATGATTGGGATTTTTGAAATTTATTTAACTTAGGTAATTATGAAAAACTTTGCATTGAATAATAAAGAAAATAAAACAATGTTATTGCTTCACAATGAAATCCTTTCAAGGTTTATCTGTGAGCTGGAGAGGTGGTCATTTAATTATTTAAAAATGGATGTTAACGTAAAGAAGTTGCATGACTTGCATGATAGTAATTATAGCTTTAAATTATGTTACTTAGTAACTCTAAGAGTGGTACAATTTTATCAATCTCTGACGGAATGGGGTATTTAAACAGGATGACAGTACAGAGACCTGAATACAACATTTCTTATAAGTTATGGTTTACTCTAATTATGGATAGTTGTAACATAAGATTTTAATATTTAGAAGTAGGCAGAATACATAATGGCCTATGACACATACATTTTAATAGTTTCAAATGAAACTGGGTCAGTTATTGTATTGCTGACGATTTTTATTTAAAAATCAAAATATATTTACCACATCGTCGTCAAAATTGAATGCCTTCGCTTTTGTTTCGCTAGTATTCCAATAGTCATCGTCATCATCCATTGTTAAAATGTGTGAAAATAATGTTCTATGGATCACGAAAACTGTAAACAAACAAGTTTTGGGGCTGTCAAATTTATCTCTGTCAATGTCATGACAAAACAAAACGTCACAAGCGTTTCTTTATGCGCAAAACCTTATTCTTAATAATTGTGTGAAAAGTAAATATTTTTTTTATTTTTTTTTTGTATTATTTTATGCATCATTTTTGTAATTATTAATGCTATTCCTTCATTGGATGTTTTGATCGTTACTAAATCAAAATTATTCTCCACCTCTGCAATAAAAATATGCCTATTCTTGGCAGTCGTGGTTCTACCTATATATGTATATTTAGTTTAGGTATATGATCACCCTCTAGGGCTTTTACTTGTAAACTTTACTAAGTACTAGAAAGTATGAATAATTATACTTCCTGTACCAATCGTTAACCACTATCTAATAGTTTAGCTAGTTTATAATATCTAGAAAGATACCTAAAATAAGTCCTCCTCGAAACTTAAATGATTGCAATTGCTTGATTAGTTTAATTATTTTATTCTGATATATTGAACACTGATTTGTTTCAATCATATTTTCGCATATTTCGTAATGTTAATAAATAGGTCGGCCACGATCTGACTGGCTTTTAATATAACACTCTTAGGTAGAGCAGGCTTAGAAGAAGATGACAGGTTGAACTTGAAGACTAAGTATGTCAAGGATTGGCCTCAGGAAGGTTTTCACAGAAAGCAGTGCCTTAACACTGCAGTGGGATGATCAATGCTGAATGAAAATAAAGAAAATGGGTAAGATAGGGAGGTTTTGGTCCAGGTGCAGGCACAGTGCTCAGTGCAGGTGGGGCCGGCTCTGAGCAGGAGGGAAAGGAGTGGTTTTAAGTTAGAACAGTACTTAACGGGCTATTCCTCTTGCTCCACCCAGGGCGGGAGAAGTTATTTCATTATTTTACCTCCTTAAAAGAAAAGGGTCTCATAGTCTCATGACAAGGCTCTAGGTGTTCTTCTTAATCTTAAATTCTTTGTCACACGTGCCATACCTCTGCCATGTGCTTTTTAATTACAAAGTAAGTTATCTTGCGTGGTTTTATCTATGCTACTGGCGATTGTGAGTGTGATTGGTTCCCTGAGCTTGTGATTGCTAAGGGGAAACACTTTTAAAATCAAGATAAAACTTTAATCAGATCTGAAAAAATAAGATTGGTTCCGTAGTTTTCTTTTGTGTAATCTCAGTTTTTTGTTGAAAGTCTTTACAAAAAAAAACCAATGTTCATGCAACACGCTTTCCGGAACAACTGTTTTATTTATGACGTCATAACTGCGTATTAATGACGTAGGAACTCTAACAGTCCCTTGTGTTAATACCATATCAGGGCGCGCGGGTCCTTCGCCATTGACATGCTCATGCGCTCATGCGCACCAGCTGTAATTTTGTCAAAGTAATAAAAATATAACTTTGGAAAATTTGACTTTGACTTCTGACCTTAGCACCCCAACTGTACTTCGAACGGTTAAATAAATTACTACTAGAGAACTAGTCAAATATATTTTCCCATTTGCTATGTCCCGATTTTTCCGTATATTTTTATAAAATTACTCTTATAAGAACCTTTTTCTGACTAGAATAAGACTAACACCCGGTTTCTGAAAGGCTTGTCAACGCTAAAATTAACTAATCTACTTGACAAGAGATTAAATTGATTTTAACATTGATCGGCCTTTCGGAAACCGGGCGTAAGACTTTATTTGCTAAGAATGCAGGTACATAGAAATAGGATCGAAAATAACATATTAAAGAACCGTGTACATTCTGCCTTATTGGCATACTGACTATAACACAGACAACAACAAAAAGCAAAATTGGTCCAGGCGTTGTTGAGTTATGCGCTTACCAACACAACGATTATTTTTATAAATCAAGATATAATTTAATAATTAACTGCCTATCTCTAATTGATTACCTACATAATTATAAAGATTCCCACATTGTGATTTAAAAGTATTTAGATAGATATACCTACATATGTGTAGGTAGGTACTACTTTAATAAAAAAAAGATTAGTGTAATGCTAAACCTGCATTGTGTATAAAAGACGATTTTTGTAAAAAAGTGTTTAAAATGGGAGCCGAAGTTGCTACTGGTTTAGAACGACAGTTTCTAATCGCTGGATGCTGTAAGTACCCACTTAAAATCTTTTAAATACCTAGGTAAATAGGTAGTAGTTAAAATCTGAAATATTCTTCATGGTGCAAGTTTTTTCTATTTAGTCGGGGTTGCGGGGCAAGCGCCATAAGGCAACCACGGCCTCGTCTGGAGCAGGAGAAGAAACAGGTGGGTTTTAACTCCCGCCTCATCAAATAATATCTTCTGATTTATTTCGTTGCGAGATGCAAGACTCATTCGTGTCCTTGGGACGCGCACTCGGAGTTTTCATGGTTGTATCTACCTACTGTAGATCCTGGCTAACAAGAGTTGCAGCGGTTTTAGGAGGTTGCTTTTTCCATTGAAATGACACCCCCTTAACCTTGGCGAGAGAAGCCACCAGATAATTACCCCCCATAAAATATGTATAAAAAAACCGCCCCGTATCAGGATTTTTTCTTTGATCGTAGGCGGTGACAGAAATAATTTGAGCCTGTGATAGGTTGCACAGCAACCGGTCGCTCGGCAAACCGGAAGTAATGTAGACTGTTTTTTTTTTTTTTTTTTTTTTTGTGAGGGGAAAATCATCAAATGACTTCTCCCGCCCAGGGCCGGGCAGGAGGGAGTGTCAGACTCTTACTGACTAAAAACCCCCCTGTTCCTTCTCCTGCTCTGTGCCGAGGTCGCGGTACCTCATTGCACTTACCCCGCAACCCCGGCTGAACATCAGCCCTTTAGGGCCCCGTCTGTGGTGGTCTATTGGCTCTTTGAGGCGCGCGCGGAACGCTACGCGCCGTACGCTCGGGCCTGGTTCTGGTCGGGCGGCGAGCTGCCCTTACTCGCCGACCGCAGGCCCGTACTTACGGTGGCCGGAGATCGTCCCTCGATCCCCGACGCCCGTAGTGTCGCCAGTTGCGGCTGCTGGGGCGTGAGGAGGAGGATTGCTCCCTCACGCGGGCCGCCTCTCTCTTTGCGAGCATGACTGCTTCACAAAAGGAGGAGACGGCGTCCCAGTTCCTCTCACTCCGCACCATGGCCTCGAAAGTAATGTAGACTGTTACCGTTTTAAAATCTGTTGGGGAAGTAGGGCAAGGTCAACAATGTGCTAGGCTTGGGGCAGGAGATGAAACAGTTTGGTTTTTAGTCAGTAAGAGTTTGACACGCCCACCCAAGTTGGGAAAAGTCATTGAATGATTTTTGTCCCCTGAATAAAGCCTTTTTTGTCAGGGGATCATCATCAAATGACTTCTCCCGCCCAGGGTTAGGCGAAAGAGAGGGTAAGACTCTTACTGACTAAAAACCACTCTGGTTCTTCTCCTGTTCTGGGCCAAGGCTGAGGTGACTCATTGCGCAACCCCGGCCCCTGAAAAAAACTTATAACCTTTTTTAGACTTTCTACCAGTATAACTGTCGTGGAATGGAAACCCCGGCCTACCATGTGTATAGATCCATCTCTCTTTCTCGTCCGAAAGATTCACGCTTTAACACGTCATAGTAGGCCCTCGAGTCTCTAGCTCTACATACGTAAACGTAAGCTCAAGAAATCGCAATAAAACTTTTTCTTCCTATTTCAGTGTATATAGGTCAGTTAATATTAGGCTACTCCTTAGGATGGCCTGCTCCCGTAATAGCTCGACTCCAGAATCCAGAACAAACCATATTGGAAGCTCCTATAACTGTTGAGCAAGCATCCTGGATTGTGTCAACCAGTTTTGCTGGAGTACTCACAGGTAATTATGAATATTGTTATTGTAAATTGGTGAATTGTAATACCTTTTTGAATATAGAAAAAGTAAAAGAACTATTTGAGGATTATATGCGCTGGCATTACATAGTTTCTGCTTGTCGCAATTATGGGGCAAACGCTAAACGTACATATACAAACATATTTGTATATTAAAGTAGTTCACTCTTCCCTTCTTGGAATTTTTCCGTGGTGTTTGTTGACTGGGCTTCTTCCAGTTGTACAGTCACTAGTGCTTCTCGTCTCTTAGGTGCCTTTAACCTCTCAAGGGTTAAGGCTTACCTAATTCATTCTTTCTCCTGCAATAAATTCACTGACAGAAGTTGTTTCCTCTTCTCCTGGGGGAGGTCTGATGTCAGGACACACGAGCATATCAGAATCCACCAATGTAGGTCTACTGCGGATTTCTTCCAACTTATTGTGGTAAAACGCCCCGAGTAACTTCTGGTTTAAAAAGAATTATTTTTGAAGGTCTCATGGTTTGTTAAATAACAACTGATGCTATAAATTGTTCTACATATATTGCAAAAGTCTGATTACTTTGTCCAATGTCACAGGTCCGTACATTTCTGGTTACCTTTGCAATGTGATAGGCAGAAGGCCTTGTCTGTACATTGGTGCCGTGTTCATGATTATTGGATATATAATAATGGCCCTAGCTAAACATGTAGCTGTTATATACGTTGGAAGGGCAGTAGCTGGGTTTGGTAATGGAATGCTTTTCGTCATAAACCTGGTCTACCTCGGAGAGTTGGCGTAAGTACAATTAAATATGGATATCAACAGTTATCAACATGTCTAAAATATCTATCTTTTGTGAATTATCAACAATCACTTCGCTTGCTCAAGACAGATTGGAAATTTCAAACTCAGAATTCATGTCCAGGTTAAAAGTCGGTTAATAAGTCCAAACTTATAGGTTTTTATAATTACATATTTAGGTTTCCTCACCATCTTTATCTTCACCGTTTGTCAATGGTGTGAAAGTTCACATTGGGTATTGCAAGGTCTTCCACTGTTACGTCAAGAAAACGCCTTAAAACGACCACGACATAAACACTCATATATTAAAAGAAAACACAAACTGTTACAAATCAAAATGGGAACCTTACGAGCAGAAACACAATAGGAATCTTAAAGTCAATCATTTAAAATTTTGTTAGCAGATATTATATATTGACAGCAAGGTGGAACGTATGTACTGAATAATTTATCTACTAAGTTTTCATCTCTTTTTATTTCTTCCAGATCAACAAGAATTCGTGGGACACTCCTGACATTAACGGGTTTCTCGAGCACCTTTGGTACCTTGGTAGTCTATTGCATAGGCCCATTTGTGTCTTATGCAGCACTGTCATGGATAGCGGTTGGGATCGGAGTAGTTTACATCATTTTATTATTCTTCATCGTCCCTGAAACTGCTGTTTTCCTTGTTATGGCAAGTAAGTTTAAAGGAGATTTAAAATTTTCTTAATTATTGTCTTTTATAGGCACTGACACTGAACACAAAATCAAATTTATGCAGTTGTTCACTTTTAAAGAATGAAAAATACTTACTATTTAATTCTCCAGTACCTACAAACTACCTAGAAAATCATCCTCTCGAAAAACAAAGCACACACCGTTAATAGCTGCGGGTGCAACCGAAATAATATACCGTCGGCATGGCTCTGAGCAGAACATAGAACAGGTGGTTTTTAGTCAGTAAGAGTTTGAAACTGCCAACTCTTGTCCCACCTAGGGCGTGGACCTAGTGTCAGACTATTACAACACCTTATAGCCATCAAAACAAAAAAAAAATAGATACCAATTAGTTTCTAAAATTACTAAACCCAAAAACTTTGCAGATAGAAGAGACGAAGCAATGGAACTTCTCACATCACTAGGCAGGAAAGACGACATAGATGATGTGGTGGCTAAAGCAAATGAGAAACCAATGTCAAACAAAGCTCAGATGACAGAAATGGTTACTGTAAAATCTAATAGAAAAGCATTGTTCATAATAATAACGTTAAATAAACTCCAACAATTCAGTGGGATAATTGCAGTTATATCCTTTGCTACGACCATTTTTGAGATGACTGGGTCTTCTATAGAGCCCCATGTATCTACTATAATTGTCGGAGTCACACAAGTCGGCGCGGCAAGTATTGCACCACTATTTGTAGATAGAACTGGGCGGAAGATTCTATTGTTAATTTCTTCGGCAGCTTGTACTATAAGTTTGGTAAGTTCATCATTGTTGTCATCTTAACCAGATTTTGTACCTTGTCTGGTTTAAGTATGGTCTTCTCAAATACTTTTGTTACGTTTTTCTTCTTCTAAATATTTTGTATCATTTTTCTAGATTGCTCTTGGCGTTTACTTCTTTCTCTATGACAATGATTACGCCATCGCTGAGGATTTGCAATGGCTATCATTGGTATCAGTCGTGCTGTATTTTATCGCTTATTTCAGTGGTATGTTAATTGATACTGAATATTTCATTAGATCTTCAGTGAATAGATCGTGTGATCGGAGCTAAGAAATGTGATCTAAATTACCTTTTACATTTCATACAGAGAAAGGATATGATCTTTATTGATTTTATACAGTCTATTCCAAATGATTTCTTATTGCATCCTAACCAAGTTAGACAGATGGTGGTCGCTTCCAACTGGTGGTCCGAAAAGGGCCTTTTTTTTAGATTACTGGCTTTGAAGCTTAAAATAATGATAATTTTAAGGTACAATTTGTTCAACGAATCATACTTCTTATGTTTCGTTCTTCCATCCAAATGTGATTTCTATGCTTCCAAACTGAATTTATTTTTCATTGCAGGTTTTGGCATTATCCCCAACACATTCATTGGAGAAATGTTCACTGATAACTGCAGAGGTTTCAGTTCCACATTCACTGTTAGCATTGGTTGGGTTTTCGGATTTGGAGTATCGGCTGCATTTGGCTACATGTTACCTGCTTGGGGACCAGCTGTAACCTTCTGGATATTTGCAGCAGCTTGTGCCTTAGCCTTCTTGTTTAGTGCTATATTTGTACCAGAGACCAAAGGAAAGAGCTTGTTGGAAATTCAAGAGATCTTAAGCAGATGATAGGCTGTGATATATAATATATAATAAATTATGGAAATAGTTATTGGTTCGTTTTACTTTCTTTTTGCAATCATAATAATGAAAAAAAAGAAATAAAAAGACAAGGAACAAAAAGACATCTGCTTCTGCTAAGTTTAGCTTGCCTTCCCAAAAACTGAAATCTCTCGGATGGAATACCTACACTTATATTATCATCGACACTAACTTGGGGGAATTTACTCTTTTTATTTTTATTAAAACTAGTTAATGTAGGTAGTAATAAAAGTGTCGACCCAGAGCTCCTTAGCAGGTAGAGGAAGAAGCAGTCTGATAGCGTATGATCATCAGCCAGCCTTTATTATTATTGCAATAAGTGTACCTTTAAGAGATAAACATAGATGAAGGTAATATATTCTCTCGAAATATTGGTAGATTTTTTTGATTTTATCGTTTGACATAATTTATGCCTAACAGTAAAAAAAACTACGCCGACGCTTGAAAGACAGCATAAAGTTATGTGTGGTGAAATACTAATCCGAGTAACGAATTAATAAAATTTCTTTTGTAGGGGCACAAATGTACTGGTTCGTTTCAAAGATAGTCTGATAAAAAATCATACACTTGTTGTGAGTATCTATATGCCTGGACATTATATAACGTATATCAGAAGATTGTAATGTGTTTTTTATTACCAAGTACATGATTTTTCATTTTTCCTAGGGTGCCAAAACTTTACATGCTAATAGAACTAGAACGCTCTAGACTACAATGTATTTGCAAGGAAATAAAACACAAAATAATAACAAAACAATCATTTATTAATTAAAAATATCACAGTTCAAAAATCACTTTCCCAAGAACTCTTGGATCTGTAAGAGACTCTTGCCTTTCGTCTCAGGGACGAATGCTGCACTAAACAAGAAAGCAATGGTGCAGGTTGCAGTGAAGATGTAGAAGGTGGTACTAGGTCCCCAGGCCAGGAGGATGTAGCCGAAGGAAGTGGTGACACCGAAACCGACGATCCAGCCGACAGTGGCGGAGAAAGTTGAGCAGAAACCTCTACAAGTGTCCGTGAACATTTCTCCAATGAAGGTGTTGGGAATTATGCCGAAACCTGGGAAAAGGGTGAAAGTACCTTGTGAATTGGTAAAGTGATTATGAGAAAACTAAATACTGTAAAGTCTTGATCTATTGATACAAATGTAGGTTTTAAGTTTGTGAAAGGAGGCTTATTGTGGTTGCATCTTTAATTCCGCCTCGTTAAAGTAGCACTACAGTAGCTTGTGAGTCCATTGAAAGTGTAAGTGTATGGTTCTGCGACATCTTAATATTCGTTATTAAAATTCCTGCCCTATGAATATAGCAATCGAGCGATAAATAAAATTAGTCATGTGAATTTATCAGGCGAATATGTGTTTCGTAAAATTTAAATTGATGAGCTAGAATTTCATCAACTTACCACTAAAATAAAATACGAAGAACAACATTAGGGAGACTAGAGACAGCCACTGCAAGTCCTCGGCGATGGCGTATCCGTTGTTGTAGAGGTAGAAATAGGTCCCAAGGGCAGCCTGGAAATTAATTGAACGCCCAATAAAATCTTAACTTTGGGTTTCAATATATGGTTTGACAATATGGTTTGTCGAATAAATGTGTTTTCTTTCTTTCTTCTTTTCTTTCATAATTTCCCCTTACAGTGTATTGCATGCCGTAGCAGCCTATAATTGAAGCTACACTAAAACCTTTAACTTAACTAAACCTGTTGCATGTATAATGGTGTAAGCTTTGTTGGTTGTCTTTAAATAAATATACCAAAGACCTTGATAATTGTATTGACTGAAACAGGTTGACATAAACATACATTTATACCCACTTTATCTTCTGTTCCGAAGTTTTTATGTAAGTAAAGTTTACTTCTAGATAAAGCAAGCGGCGTAATGGGGGACAAATATTTACCTATTTATAACATCGCGTAAAACTAGCGTACCATGTAGATGGATAGCTCTGGATAAAATTTATTGAAACAAAAGATTTCAACACTTGGATTCAGAATTTAGACTAAAGACGTTGACGTCACCGCAAGGCAAGCTTGTGCTTCTCATGGTTAAGATTTCCGTGGTGTCTTGAAACTAGTAGAGCTTGTCTCGGTTAATTCACGTGAGTAAGTCTAAATCTTCACTAAATTTAGTTTTTTTATAGTTATTAGAAATAGTCTACAATACTACTAGTTAAAAAGAGTTATTTCTTTTTCTATTTTTAGCGAGCTACCGAAGCGCCTCATAGTAATCACCGAAATCCTAGACCCCAAGCTAAACAACTCGTTACTCCTGGTGTCCATGGGTGGCGTCGATTGCTTACCATCAGGTAATCTGGATGCCTATTTGCCGCACTATCACTTAAAAAATGAACATGGACAATTGGGTATAGGACGCTATAGTATTGCTAGATAGTGTTGCGAGATTCTATCGGTTTGGATAAAAACGTAAGCGTCGTTTCATACCACTTTTCTCTAAAGTGTTAAAGTATGACATCCATCCAAAGAACCAATTAGATGAAAAGTTAGTGATATAGTAGACAATGATGGTCAAAAACTCACCATGCTCAAAGAACAAGCGGCAGTAGACACTAACAATAATATCTTCCGTCCAATCCTGTCTACAAGTAACGGTGCAATACTGGCAGCAAAGATCTGAGTCAAACCGACAATTATAGTAGAAACATAGGCTTCTACCGTTGAACCAGTCATAGCAAATATAATAGTCACAAAAGCAGTTAAAGGTATGACTCCACTCATTTGTTGCAGTACACTTAATGTTAGAACTATGAATAGTGCTCTTCTGTTTGATTTCACAGTAAACATTTCTGTCATTTGGTCTTTTTTTGATCTAGGCTTTTCACTTGCTTTAGTTACAACTTCTTCTATGTCGCTCTGTCTGCCTAGCAATGTGAGATTGGCTATCGCAGCGTCTTTTTTACCTGGAAACATAAAAGTAAAATAATTTAGATTTTTATTTTTGTTAGTAATTTTACTGGTCATCTGAAAAAAAGATGTACTAAACGATTTTTGGATAAAAAGAATATCTGGGATGTTTTTGAAAATTGCTGACGCATCATAGGGCAAAACTTAGGTTTTTAGGATGAGAATAATAATCTCAATACCTATAAATATATAATACATGGATAGAAATAAATGTCTAGATAAACTTGTAACTATTTTTGACGAAAGGCTTAAAGAAATTGAAGCTGATAGAGATAGTGATAGAAAAACTAAACTTACCCGCAATAACATGATACGTCGCTGTTTCAGGAACAACGAGGAATAAAGCGATGAGATATATTCCTGAGATGGTCATGGACAGCCAGGATATCGTAGCGTAAGTTACAAATGGTCCCACAGAATAAACTATTAAAGTACCAAATGTACTTGATAATCCTGTCAAGGTTAGCAATGTGCCTCGAATTTTTGTTGATCTGCAAACAAAGAATTTTGTAAAGTTTACATCAAAAATTTCAAAAATCCCAAAACATTTCACTGCTAAACAAAAATTTCCTCTACATAAGAATGTTTGTTCTCTCGCCTAGGGTGAGGCGAGAGGGAGCAACAAACTCCCACTGACTATAAGAAACCCTGTTTTTTCCTTGCGGCCCTACGGCCTTGAGCCGTGGCTATGGTACCTTATTGCTTTTGCCCTACAACCCTGGGCAAAAATTAGCCCTGTTAGGCTCCATTAGTGGTGGTCTATTGGTAAAGAAGTAGACGGCTGCTACACGGTCTGTTTGAAATATTTAAGTAGTCGCAGGGTGGTGAAACCCAACGGAACAGAAATGTATTACTATCCAGCTTCTTCCACCTGCTTAGCCTGATGAAAAAAAGCCTATGTGTTTTCCAGAGTATAATCCATCTCTGTGCCAATTTTCATAGATATCCATTCAGTTCTTTTATGTGAATGAGTAACAATCTTTCATCTATCTTCACAAGCGTTTATATTATTAGTACAATGTTGTTGGTGACGCTGTAATTATGACGTCACCAAATTTGAAAAGAAAGTTTCAGACTTACGCCATTTCACCAATGTACATCAAGTTTGTGACGTAAATGATTCCATTGCCAAGTCCACTCAGTACACGTCCAGTGAGTATAACCGCCACGTTTTTGGACTTAGCTAGTGTAAGTGAGGCAATAAAATGAGCACAGCCGCCTAGGAAAAGGCAAGGCTTTCTGCCTATCACGTTGCAAAGGTACCCTGATATGTAAGGACCTGTAATGAAAACAAAAATAATCTTTTAAAAACACGATTTCCCTATCCTAGGATTTTTTCTGTGTCGTGGGTGCGTTGTGCCCAAACCTCTAATGCACGATTAAAGCCGTGCCCTTATTAGGCGTGAGTAGTTTGACTTGTGTCTCTACGCATCACATCCAGACCCGAAACAACAATTTGTGGATCACACAAAAAGTTGTTACGTGCGGGAATCGAACCCGCAACGCAGTTGCCTAGGCACCACGCTAATTGTGCACTGAGGTGTCAGATTACAATCACGAATCAAGTGAACGCTTAAGATCATCATCATAATCAGCCTATTAGCGTCCACTGCTGAGCAAAGGCCTCTTCTCACAAGGACAAGGATTGAGATGAGTATTAATTCATAACTATAGTGCTGGTGGTCTGGTGCCTCTTAAAGAAACCGTCCGATTGCGACGTGCGGCACGGCACGCTCAGGTCTGGTTCTGGTCCGAGCTACACTTGCTCGTCCCCCGACCAGACTTCCAGAAGTACAGAAGCTTGTAAAGGTATCTTCTATAAACCTTGCAGGCATTCACCATATCTATGAAACCTTACTAACCTGAAATAGTACCAAAATAAATAAAGGAAACAATCCAGGAAGACATCCCATCAGATATGATGTTATCCAGCGGTGTTTGCTCAGGGTCCTGGAGCTTGGCCAGCACTGGAGCTGTCCAGCCGAGGTTGTAGCCTATCCCAAACTGTCCTATATATACTGGAAAACAAAATATAACTTTCTGTAGATTGAACGCAAATTGTTACACAATATTTAGACATAACTCCTATTGTTTTTCATTGAGCAAATAAGTATTTAAATACTAAGGAAGGCTTGTCAACGCTAAAATTAACAATTCTCCTGTTAAATCTCTTGTCAAGTCATCTGATTGGTTGTTGATAATTCAGTCAACCAATCAGATGACTTGACAAGAGATTAAATTGATTTTATAATTGATCGGCTTTTCGGAAACCGGGCGTAAGAATAGGAATAAACTTATCAGTTACAATAATTAACTAATCTTTACTAAAATAACTTACATTAGGAATAACTATTGTAACTTCGAGTGCAATATGAATATATTAATGTTAGTGGTCCTAGGCTTTGCCTGTATCTTGGTGGCCTGAGTTGTGGTCACATAAAATTGCTAAAAAGATGCGAGTGTGGACGAAATGCGTTTAATTAGTATAGTTTTTTTGGCAGGGTTAAAATATTTGGGTAAGTAATAATAATTGGAATCTACACTTTAGATCGAGCTAATAGCTTCACTAAGACAACTGACCGACAGACTGACACTGTTTATCTTTAAGTTCGTTTGACGTTCATAATTACCTGTAAGGGTCTAATTGAAAAAAATGATTGCGACTTGGACTTGGATTATTGTGTAGTATCTATTTATTATCTTTGCTTATGTAAATATGCCAGAATAGTTAAATTTCATTGAAGTCTAACACTGTTTATTACATAAAAGAGTAAGAAACATTCATGTACTTATATGTATGTACAAACTACGTTTATAATATTATTAGGTTATGCTGCTTTTGACCTCATTTTTGTAAGAGGAAAAACATCAAATTACTTCTCTGTCCGAAGTTTAGGCAAGAGGGAGTGTCAGAGTCTTACTGACCAAGAGAACAACCCGTTCCTTCTCCTGCTCTAGGCCGAAGCTGCAGTACCATGGAGCTTACCCAGGCCTTACTTTTGACCAGGATAACGCGGGCAAAGTCTCTAGCAGAAGTAATAAATAATAAATAACTTACAGACCGCAGCTATCACATATTGCATCCGCAAACTCGTATTATTTACTATAGCACCCATTATATACACTTATATATTTACACTATATACTTAACTATATATCTATCTATTTATCCACATAACGTTTAACATTTGAGATGGAAACCATCGTACTAAAACAGTTATAGAAGTTACTGTGTTCATATATATTTGGATCTTATCTATTTTCTTTATGTATTTTGTTTATAATACTATAAACCTTAGGTATATAAATTGAAGAGTCATTCTACGTTGTTTTAAGATGAATGGTGAAAAATAATATCAAGGTCGTATCGTCTACTGGAACAGACTAATCTTAATCTTTGTATCTTCACTGTTTTTCTGCGTGATCAATTTTATTGTTAGTTCGATGACCGGCTATGTTTCATAATGTATTTGTCGCAGCCGAATAGTTGAATTAGATATCCAACCAAACGGCTTGAATAAAGAGTCGTTTGATTGAATGGCTAAATTTCTAATTCGGGTTGTAAGTTGTAGGGTGAAGGGATTCTACCAGAATGGTAAGTATAGAAATTGAAAGGCACGTAGCGTTCCGCGCGCGCCTCAAAGAGCCAGTAGACCACCACGGACGGGGCCATATAGGGCTGATATTCAGCCGGGGTTGCGGGGTAACCGCAATGAGCGGCTTGGGCCGCGCGGAGCAAGAGAAGGAACTGGGGGGTTTTTAGTCAGTAAGAGTCTGACACTCCCTCCTGCCCGGCCCTGGGCGGGAGAAGTTATTTGATGATTTTCCCCTCACAAAAATAAAATCACAAACAAACAGTCACCCAAAATTTACTAAAGACAAAATTGTTATTTAATCAAACAGCTAGCTATAGATAATAATTCGGGCTGTCGGATGAATGGCTAACTTAGCTCAGTAGTTGCCTTTAACACATTGACATCTTTTCTTGCTTTTCGACAACCCGGTGCACACAACACATTCAAATTTAAATCTGACACAATTATTTATGGATATGTCGCAGTCAACTGGTTTAACGAGCCATTTAATTAACAGTCTAGCCTGTGTAAACTGCACTATTCTGGCAGCTGCTTATTTCATTTCTATATCATTCTGGTAGCAAGACTGTTTTCATAAAAACCCTTGAACTAACAGCTTAAATGAGAAACTCAGTCATTAAATCATACAGCTAGTCATTTAGGCTGTTGACCCAGTTAAGCTGCAACAGATGAATTTCAAATATTTAGTCAATAACAAGTCTGATACTATCTCCCGTTCCATTAACTCTGGGCGGGAGAAGTCATTTGATGCTGATCATCATATTTATACAATATAAGTTCTATTACAAGAAAATCACGCTTTATCATCCAACGACGACGTAAATAATGTATCTACATTATGTATTTAAGTATATAACATTACATAACATACTACACATACAATATCATATTTTATTATTTCCATCTATTATCACTAGAAGTGGTGCCATCTATTGACAGCTATTTGAAAAAATAACAATGAAAAGCAAACTTCACTCTGTTGTTTTAACAGCTAAATTCATATGATATCACTTTTTACTATTAATGTGGCGAGGCGACATCTTGAGTTGAGATGTTTGTGTGTATGGGTGAGAGGCTGCTGGTTAAGGTGTAATGTGTTCGATTTCGACATAGAAATATTATTTTTGAGTTTTTTTTATGGAATAGGAAGCAAACGAGCAGACGGATCACCTGATGGTAAGCGATCGGCGCCGCCCATGGACATCCGCAACACCAGAGGAGTCACAGGTGCGTTGCCGGCCTTTTAAGAAGGAAATATGCTCGTTTCTTGAAGGTTTGAAGGTCGTATCGGTTCGGGAATACCGCCGCCGGAAGATCATTCCAAAATGCATCATGAGATGCACTAATTGTTGTTCAAAGTCTGTGAGAAAGAAGTTAAGTACGGTAGGTAGTGTAGGCTAGGTAAAGTAGTGCAGGTAGTCACATAACGGGTGTGAATCCGCGGATAAAGGCTATTTAATCCTACTAATATTATAAATGTAAAAGTTTTAAGATTAAGATTCCGATGGAGAAGAACGAGCAAGAAACTCCATGGTTACTCTTTTAAATCAGTGTCACATAAAGATTCTTTGATACATTATTTAGTAGGTTTGCTTATGCGAGAACAGTGTAACGCGTGTATACATTTAGAGAAACATAAAAAGAAAATAACCTTAAGGGCAATAGACAGTCCGGAGCTGACCAGTCCCAATTGACGGCGTCCGTTCACGAACATGACACGTACACCAGCATCGCCCAACTCAACCATAATATAGGGAATCGAGCGATCTAGTGACCGTGCCACCGCCAATGTGACCTTTGAGTGAGCATGACAACTCCAAGCTGACATAAGGACCGACATTCTCAAGAAAATTATAACACGAAACGGAGATATTTGCTCATTCCGATATGGACTTGACCTTCCTTAACACCTAAATAAAACGTAGAAAGATAATTTGTAATCCGCCTAGTTCAAGAACTAGACGTATTTCGAATTATCTTTTGAGTTATCAAAAAAAAAAAATATAGTGTGATAATAAAAGTCGATAGTTAAGATGTTACGATTGTTATATCAGAGTTACAAGATTATATTATTAATTTTGGGTTGCTACCTATACTTTAGTTGACGCTTAATATCATCATTAGCAGCCTACAAAGAAAGGATACTCAAAGGTTTAATTTTATTAGGAAAAAGCATATTTCACTCTCCATGCCGCCTCAAATTCTGGACTACCATATTTGATTTCTACTACTATTGCTGAGCATAGGTCTCATCTCACATGGAGAAGGTATAAGCGTCAATCATCACGCTTGCTCAAGTAAGATTGGCGATTTCAAACTAATTATAAATCCTGGCTACTTTACAATGTTTTCCTTCATCGTACGTTAGTGGTGTCAAATTAATCTCTTGAAAAACTTCACATTTAGTTCTTGCCAGGTTCCGAAACCTCATACAAGTGTGGGAGCCAAGCTTCGGCTAGAAAGGGTCGGCTCGACCGGAGTGATACCACGGCCTCACAGAATACCGGGGTGAAACAACCGCAGCGTTGTGTTTCGCCGCGTGAGTAGGGTTACCGGAGGCCCAATTCAAACCTTCCACTATCCCTTCCCGATCCTTATATCCGGAACCCCTATCCCCAAAAGGCCGACCGATGACCATGGGCGGCGCCGATTGCTTACCATCAAGTAATCCGTTTTCTTGTGTGCCGACATAAAAAAAAGCACGAGGAGCCTTATCCTATAGACCTTATCCTCCAGGCTATCTCATCGCGAATCTCTATCTACTTCACCTAATCATTAATTATTTTCAAAAATCTACCATTTTCATAGTTTCCGACTTCAGATTAAATTGTTGCAAGAAATTGTGCAATATTAAGTTTTTTGTTGTGTAACACAAACCACGCCACAAGATACGGTAAGTAAACAAAAGAGTATTAGCATTATCTTTTGATAAAGTTTTTTTTGAGTCTAGCACTCGTATTAGGAATTATATAACATAATTTTTATATAAGATAACAGCATTTTTATTCCGTGGAGAGCTATTTCTTTCCAGTATCGTACTACCAGACAATTGACCAAACGTCATCCTTCATGGTGGATATCCCATCTACTCGCACGAAGCGGTTCGCCTTCAGTTTTATTAGCCAAACCGTTGAGAAGTGAATTTTTTTGCCAGAGTCTGTGTTCCCTGAAGGGATGAAAGTATATAGCTTGGGTGTCTCCAAGGCTCGACTGAATAGGTTGCTTATGGGTAGGCATGCGCCATCTTTGGTCGCATCATTGACTACGACCAGGCGTGATAGCACTCAAATGCAATTACAAAATAAAAAGTAAAAAGTTTTTTTCGAAAAATTAAGACGAACAACTTTATGGTAACTAATCAGCGTGGCCCTGGATACTCACAGTGCTAGATGAATTACAAGTAGAATACTTGTGTGGGATTAGCGATTTGGGGTAAAGGATTGGATATGCATGTATCCTTAATCACACTCGTTCTTCTACTTCCCAAAAAACATGTAAATAAATTACCTGTCCCGAAACCTGAGCCCGAGATTTCTTGATCTGCATTGGTACTGCAGAGTAATCGATGAAAATGAATGAGTAGGGTTCGAATGTGAGCTGGTCAATTCAGAAGCCTCGGGCTTTTCAATAATTTTATATTATTGATTTGAAATTAGAGGTTATTAAGATACCATAATTATATTAATAACTTATTTATTGTATTTTTACTAACTTAATTTCTTACAAAAATTACTACTTCTACAAGTACATAGGAATGAAGAAAATTACAACCGGAAACTGTCGTGGTGATAAAACTTATTCATAAAAATATCGCCTGTTGATAATCATGTCAACGATCTTAACAATGCCTTTAGGCCGATCATGTAACTGTCAGATTGATTGTAACAAACTCACTCGTAGACTTGTACTGTATCTAGTACAACAGAAGAATCGTACGACAACCCGCATTGATGAGATAATATTGAAGAAAGAGATAAAACTCATCATTTTGACATAGAATAGTCAGATAGATAAATAAATAAAACAGCAGCTACTTAAAAATATAAAACTAAAATTTAATATCACAGTCTCTAATACTATCTACTAAGGAGCTCTTGTATTTCCAATAAGCTCTTTCCTTTGGTCTCAGGTACAAATATTGCGCTAAACAAGCAAGCTAAGGCACAAGCTCCCGCAAAGATCCAGAAGGTTACAGCTGGTCCCCACGCAGGCAACATGTATCCAAAGGCTGTAGACACTCCAAAGCCGATAACCCATCCAACAGTGACGGTGAACGTGGAACTGAAACCTCTGCAGTTGTCTGTGAACATTTCTCCGATGAAGGTGTTGGGGATGATGCCGAAACCTGTAAAAAAGACAAAAATAATTTTCTGGAGAATATAGCAGTTAGAGAAGTTGGAATAGTAAGGCTTCTTTTTTAAATAAAGCTAGATGGTCTTCATTTAAGTTTAAAGAATCAAATAGTAAGTAATTAGGAAATTAAGGCTGCTTTCAAGTTTATATTTAAAACGGTCTGCTCTGGCCTTGTCTTATAATATCGTATCAACATACCACTGAAGTAAGCAATGAAGTACAGCACGAGTGAAACTAAAGACATCCATTGTAAATCATCAGCAATTGCGTAATCATTCTCATATAGGAAGAAGTAAACACCAAGAGCAATCTGAAAGCATAAAAATGATAACAGTGAAAACATTTCGTCAATACATCGACAATATTTGATCTCGTGGAGAGCCGATGGTCATGGCATGAAACTACTAATTTGTAGAAAAGAAATTTAGAATTGTATATGTCATAGTGAAAAAAATATTGCGATAATCAGCTTTGCAAGACAACATAAAATCACTTTCAACACATTGTTTAAGAGAAACAAAGCTACTTTCAATTAAATTTTAAGCTGAGTCAAACCATTGAATATGAATATCAAATTGTCCTTAACATTCAATTAACTCCGATGCCGCTTGACGGCGAGAGAGAGGATTAATAAACACATCACGAGTATCTTGTGCAAGACAAAGATTCAAAAGCTTGAGAACTTACCAAACTTATAGAACAAGCTGCAGTAGAGACCAACAATAGAATCTTTCTTCCAGTTCTATCTACAAATAGAGGTGCAATACTGCCTGCACCTACTTGTGTGACTCCGACAATAATAGTTGATACATGGGGTTCCATGGACGATCCAGTCAGCTCAAAAATGGTCGTAGCAAAGGAAATCACAGCAATCACACCGCTCAATTGTTGGAAGCTGTTTAAAACTATAATTAAGAATAAAGCCTTTCTATTCGACTTTATTGTGTACATCTCAGCCATCTGATCTTTGTTGGACATCGGTTTCTCATTTGCTTTAGCCACTACATCATCAATGTCATCTTTTCTACCCAGTGATGTGAGAAGATCTATCGCTTCGTCTTTTTTACCTGAAAATAAGAATGAATTTGTTAAATTCTGATTTTAATTGATAGTATTTTTTCCAATTCAGACTTTGTCTACATAAGAGACTTTGATAATAATTTGATTTGCAAGATTGGCAGGATTTTAGATTATTCCAAGTCTTTAAGAAAACTTACCGGACATTACGAAATAGACAGCAGTTTCAGGAACAAAGAAGAACAAAGAAATGATGTAGGAACAACCAATACCAACGGCTAGCCAACCAATGGCTGCGAAGGACACGTACGGGCCCACTACGTATGCAATTAGAGTTCCCAGTGTACTGGAGAACCCTGTTAATGTAAGTAATGTGCCTCGAATGTTTGTTGAACTGTAAGACAAAAAGGCAAATTTTGGTATTTGCGGCGAAGAGTAATAAATACTATGCTACGTTATCCTACAAGACATACTATTTTTAAGGGGGAAACCATCGTATAACTGCTTACACCCTGGTCTGTCTGTTTGACAAAAACTACTCCGTTCCTACACCAGGCCGAGGCTGCGATAGATGCTTGCGTTTGAACTTGCGTCTTGTTAAGATTGCTTTTAATATTACACAAATACACGAATGAACATACTCTATATAAATTTTGCATGGCTAAGAATAATATAATAAACTAGTAAATGGTTGGAATAGGACTTGGAAGTGAGTTACATTGGCAAACGTGACGTAAGAATTAAAATTATAATTAATAATAATACTGGAAATAGTAATTAAAATTTTGATGTAGAAAATAATTTGATGCACATAGAGGCGATATAGAAAAAAATTGTATTGCAGACTAAAAATTAAAAGAATGACTAGTCCATGAAAATAAAATGACAACTACAACGGTAGATTTGCATCTTAATACAACAGAACTAGTCATTTAGAAAGTCCTTATATAAATGGATAAATGGAAAACGATAAAGATAAAATATAAAAATAAATGATGCCAGTACTTACGCTAATTCTCCAAGATATACAAGATTGGTGACGAATAACATTCCGTTACCGAATCCCACCACAATTCTGCCAGCATATAACATAGCTAGTTGATTAGCTAATGCTAGTATTAAGAATCCCAAGGTCAGGAACACACCGCCAATGTATAGACAAGGCTTTCTCCCTATCACGTTACAAAGATACCCTGATACGTAGGGACCTGAAATGAAAACGGTTAGGTTAGTGTGTGAAGAATTCTGGATTTACAATTTCTAATCATTTGTTTGACATCCACAATCCGATGCGAGCAAGCGTCGTTATTAAATTCTCCGTGTTAGTAAAGGCCTTTGCTTAGGAGTTAGCACTATAAATAAGCAACCAATATTTTTTTGACTTTGTAAGGGTCATGCAGGGTCATGCACATGTATAACTGAGTTAAGTGAGTTTTCAATGTTATTTTGGTGATCTCAAATAATAATATAAGTTAGATAAAAAGTGTCGTGCCCAAAAAATAGTTTTTCATGCTACCGATGACTTGGGTGCAAATGATGTACCATTTTTGTTCTAGGAGAAGATTTGAGGTAGACCAAATGTTTTTTATAAACGTAAGGGGTTCTTAGATTACCTCGAAGATTGAGTAAGTGGCTAGAAATACTAATTTATGTTTTGGTTCAGTATGATTGTACTGAACTATGACATTAATGAATACGCTTATGCTTCATTACATGAGTCTCATAATATAACTGGCGAAGTGATACTTGGTAAAGCCTTTTTTAGGGGAACAATCATCAAAATATGCCCTCAATCTTGGGTTGGGCGGGAGGCTTTTTAACGCATTTGTACCCGCTACCCCGACTGGAAACTGTATAGCTTAAAGGCGTATATATATTATTACATTACATAATTTTACTACAAACCTGTGATAGTTCCAATAAAAATGACAGACACCACCCAGGAGCCTTGTTCAACAGTTAATACGGAGTCCAAAACCGTTTGGTCTGGACTCTGAAGTTCAGCCAGTACTGGGGCAGTCCATCCTAATGAGTATCCGACCATGAGCTGGCCTATGTACACTGAAAAAAGAAAATTAAATATTATTGGAAAAGGTGAAGAAGTGAAGAAAAGGTGATTGCTTTATGAAGGAAGATTAGAGCATTTTTAGTGCGTTTTTGGTGCATTTTTGGTGCTTTATAATTTAGTAAAGTTTTCCCCCCCTGAAATTATGTGTGCTTTGCTAAAAATATAGCCACTCTAAATACTACTTAAACTGTACAACGTTTCTACTACATGTTTTGTTGTTTTTTTAAGCCTTTGACTGCCGACAGAAAACTGTTGAAGACAGATCCTCCGCTAACGGAGGTCACCGGTGACGCCCATGGCATATTTAACGTGTTAAAGGGTGAAAAATCATCAAAAATGATTTTTCTCGACCTAGTTGGTTTTGTAGAATATTAACCCATGAATTACAAAGTATATTTATCCAATAAAATGTGTCATTGAAGTGGTAACATTTGAAACCTTTTCATTTTTATTTATGTATTCATTTATATTTTATTAGACACGACTAAGTCAACACGAAGTTAGGTTTATCAGCTTGTAATATATAAAAATTGATTGTAAAATGCGGTCTGAAAAACAAAGAGTAAATTTTTAGAAAAAAAAATTGGAGAAAGTTTGTACTTTCTAAAATTGTGTAGGCACCACTAACAACCGGTTAACAGTTAATTTCTATTTGTTGTGGTGATTAATGTTCACCCTTTCTTCGTGTGAGAAGATTTATCTGCTCAACACTATATATTTCTCAATAAACATGAAAGAAATAAAAAACAAAAACACAGATGGAGAGTCTTTTTTTTAAAGTGAAGATTTTTTAACAAAATGAAAGGAACATTAGGCTAAGTGTTACTGGGTAGTTGGATATTAAAGCAGTGCAAGTTTATTCAGCAGAAGAAATGCTTTATTATAATATAATGTTAGTTTCTTGACTTAAAACCGCTTTTTTTTTCAAAGTAACTACCGAATCTTATACTATTCCAAATATCGTGATTTCAGGCGGTATAAATTTACAAATATTACTCCTTAGATTAATTGTTTCAGAAAGGCTAGAGGCCCTACATTTCATAATGCCTTCTAATTTAGTGAAAAAGATACGTGATGATACTCGTATGTGTGTGTGTTAGAATTATGATAAAAGAGAAATTTCTCAATAAACATGAAAGAAAGAAAAAAAACAGAGATCGAGAGACTGATTTTTTCTAAGTGAAGATTTTTTAACAAAATAAAAGGAACATTAGGCTAACTATTACAAGATACTAAGTTACTAAACCAGTGCAAGTTTATTCAGCAGAAGAAATGCTTAATTATAATATAATCTTAGTTTCTTGACTTAAAACCGCTTTTTTTTTCAAAGTAACAACCAATTGTCGTGGTTTTCGGCGGTACCTAAAAATATTACTGACATTAATTGTTTCAGAACTTTAGCCCTACATTTCTTAATGCCTTCTATTTTAATAATAATAGATACATGATGATATATGTGTGTGGTATGATAAAAAATATTAAGTAAGTATAACTTACAGCATCCTGCAATCAAAAATTGTCTTCCGATACCAACTTGGACTCCCATTTTTAAAATATCACAGTTTTATTATTACACTTAAAGAGAAAAAAATAACTTATTAATTAAATTATTGTATAAATTACAAATACATTAAGAATACTTGTTATATTTAAATTAAATTATAAAAAAATAAATTTATATTTTTTTATATATAATTATATATTTTATTTTGTTTCCGTGTGTATAACATTCCACGTTGAAGTGGACTATATCTTTTATCTGCACCATTACCTTATATATTTGACTCGTAAATCGTATTTTGTGAATCTGTATTGATAGACATTTTTAGGGTTACGTCGTATCAATAAAATAAATCAGTATTGTTTATGCCAGTCATTATTGCGTTGAAAATGTTGTCATTAGGGATTAGGCGCGTATTTTGTTTTATAAAATTGTATGCATATCGTTTTCATGCGATAGGACGGACAGATTTTCTGACGGTAAGCAACATTAGAGAAGTTACGAGTACGTTGTCGACCTTTTGGAAGTTAGGATTTTGGACATTTAGAGATTGGGACAGGGGAAAGATTGGGTCTCCCATATCACTACTCACACCGCGAAACAGAACGCTGTTGTTGCTTCAGGGAGGTTTTTTGTAAAGCTATGATGTCACTCTTGTCCAGCCAACACATTCGTGCAGAAACAAGGCTCCCTAACATTTTATGTCACGCCCCTATTAAATTTAAAGAGAGATAGAGTTTCTACGTAGGTAGATACGAAATTGCCATTAAAACGTACGTACTGGCCTATTAAAATCTCATTTTTTTTCTGCTTATTATAATTTCAAATAAATTTTAAAACGTTAAAAATCGAGCAAATACGCCTACCGTTTTGGCAGCAAAACGGCCTCGCAACCTTCACGCAACATCAATAACAACGAAGCAAACACTACAAACGAAGACCTTTATTGGTTTACCCGCTTCCGTTGTCAAAAAATTAATCTTGTGGTTGTCCTAAAACTTTGGTGGATAGTGACGAATTAAAAACGATTGTGGTGGCTGATGATATTCAATCTACGGCTAAGTTAGCATCAGCTTTCGTCATTGGCACCAAAACAATATTAGTTCATTTGAGTCAAATTGACAAGGATACCCCACGAAGTTAATGATCGCCAGGCGCAGTACGCATCAAGATGTGTCTTGTACTGCTCAATAGGTATACAAGTGAATAAATTCTGAACTGTATTGTTAGTTGGGACGAGAAAGGAACCTGTTTGACAGTCGTTATCGATCAGCAAGTACAAGGACCAACACCAAGATCAGCATTGAAACAATCCCCTAAAAGAAAACTGACCGCTAGAAAAGTTACGAGTCACTGTTTGACGGTCTTACGAAAGAATTATTGTTTTGAGTTGCCTTAAGGCATTAAGTCCGCCATTCAGACTGTTTTGTGTGATGAAAAAAAAATTCATCACTACAGTGCGTTCCCTGTCATCAGCCGTTATCTACAGACTTCTATTCTTTCAGAATTTGGATATCTTTTTGGCGGGAAAACAATTCAATACCCGAGAAGCAGTACAAAATGTCTAGAAAAGTGATTTATAGTTATACGTTGAAGTCGCCAAACCAAATATGGGAGAAGTTGGCAGCGAGTAGACGTATCACCTGATTGTAAGCGAACGACGCCGCCCATACACTAAGAAAGGCAAAAGAAATTTGAGGATTGGGTATTTGGGTATTGGGGGTTTGGGGATGGGAAGGAAGGACTAGGTCTGCTGTAACATAACTCACACAGCAAAACACAAAGCAAGCGTTGATTCCCGCTGGTATTCTTCCTCGACGAGGATGTGGTTGAGCCGGTTTATTTATGACGTAGCTGACTTGAATGGAAGTATTGAAAAGTTAATATGAGTGAGTCTTTTCTTTCCTGTCACGAGACCACAGGGTCCGGGACCTTTGGAAGACATACGAGGAGCCGAAGCTAACTCGCAGAGGCCCGTTGAACAGTTTTAATATAAATGTGATGAGACATTAGCCGGCAATTATCCCTGTATGCACCATAAAAGTGCACCCAAGGACAATCCCCGGTTGATGCAGGACTATTGTGCAAAATGGTAAAAGATTATATGGTTATGGGTGTGGGTGGCTATGGACTGGTAGATGATAACTATAGAAATACTATGCCACCTGCCCCTGACCAATATTGTTACATACGGATAAACAGGCAGGGGGTGACTGGCAAACTCAATTAATGGGCCCCCGGAAACGGCCGCTAGCATGTAGCGACACGGGGGCAACATGAGTGAGTCTAATTATTATAAATATATATATGTAGTGTTATTATAAATATTAACACTACTATAAAAAATACCAAAAGAAAATACCTTAAACAAGTTAAAGAATAGTATTCAATATATTTTAAAATATGTACGGAACACGATATTCTAATTGTTCAAGGCCTATTACTTTTATCGGATTATATTATGATATCAGATACGACATATCATATCAATACTACAACGACATATGTTGTATTCATAGATATACAATTATAAATCTGTATAGACAATCAGTGAATTATGATCTCTTTATGGGTCTAGTAGCATAATAATAATCGATAAAAAGAGCACGTGGTAGTTCAGTGTTCGATTTTTAAAACAGACAGATTTAATCAAGAAAATGTAATATTAGAATATAAGAGGGAGATAAAAAGTGGGTGAGATAAGGACGTGTATATGGCACTTAACAATTGCTTTTTAATTGACCTATCGATTCAAGCTTAGTCGATAGATCAATAAGTTCATTGTAATAAGGTTTCGAACAGAAATGGACTCCCAGAAAATCTAAGACAAAACTGCTGCGTCGCGGCATGTGAGTAAAATTATCGGAGGCCATGTTAAATCCATGGTTAGCCAGTATGTATCCACACACATCCATAACCATCGTTTTTCCCAATATTTATACTAGTGTGCTCTTCCATAATGCATACAAGGATAATTACTGGCTAATGTGCCATCACATTTACATTAACATTGTTCACAGGACTCTGCCATATGCCTTTGGCCACTCGAACGCCTTCGAAGGATCCAGAATCCTATGTTCCCGTGAAAGGAAATAAATAAACACACAAGTAACAACAAAGACCAACTTGAGGTGAGATGATAAAGACTCCAAATGTAAAAAAGAAAAAAGAAAAAGAGTTTAAAAGGCTCATGTTACCAATATACACGTACGGTTATCTATCTAGTATTGTAAAGAGGTAAAATTTGTAAGTTTGTATGTAGGGGGTAATCTTTGGAACCGCTGGTCGGATTGCCAAAATTCTTTCATTGATAGGTAGCTACAATGTTCCTGAGTGCTATAGGCTATAAAACACACGCTACGATCAAATGGGGCCGAGCAGCGGGTGAAACCGCGCGAGAATAGTTGGTAATCTATCCTTACGTGTATTGAAACATACCCGAACACACAAGGTTTTCAAGGATATGTTGTTCTGGTGGCCAAAGCCCAAAAACATCAATGTCTGTAATTTTGCCGACATTACCCCTTTTCATTCATTAAAAATCAGGACTTTCGTTGTTGTATTTAGGTACTGTAGACCCTAGCTAACAGGAGCTGCAGTGGTTTTAAGAGGTGGTCGTAGGCTTGTCCAATTTAAAAAATCCTGATTCTAGACGGATAATATTGAGCCGCTATTACTCCAGCTAGAAAAGTAGAATTAGATTAATATTATCTCTTGTAAATATTCTTACAAATACTTATAGTCCTTTTTGAGGGAGAAAATTCTCTTATGATTTCTCCCATCCGGGGTGGAATGTCCACTCTTCATGATTGAAAATCACCCAGATCTCCAGTGTTGAGACGAGTACTTTGAGTAAATAGTCAGACCTATTCTAGTATAAGAAAATAATGACTGTAATATTGACATGTGACATAGCGTTCATCAAACCTGTTTATTCGTTTTTCCGTCCACTCAAAACAAATAGCATGTTGTCTAGGGCCTAAGGTGCTGCTGTAATATTTAGAGTGTCACTGTTAAATCATTTAATATAGCTTTTTCAAATCACTTTTAAGGAATCCGTTCTATGTGTCTGTAGTCCGGGACTATCCGTTATAAAGTTAACGAATGTTAAAAGGAATGATATTGTTAGAATAGCTATTTTGAAGTTGTCAGCAAATTTATGAAAATCAATAAATCTGTGGTTTCACAAACAGTTATCTATGTTGTATTTTATCTTAGCTGGTATATAATTAAACTTTTTCATACAATCAGAACACAACTCGTCTATGATTCTAACATTGAGATTAGTCCAACAGAATAATACCATTACTGCACAACCACAGTTCATAAAATTACTATCTGCTTATGAAATTTACGGATTGAGTGGCAACACTACATTCAACAAGAACTTTGGAATAAAATCAAACAAAAATTATTAACTATTAACTATTTATTTTAACTTAATATCACAGTCTCATCTACTTAAGATCTCTTGAATTTCCAACAAACTTTTTCCTTTAGTTTCTGGAACGAATATAGCACTAAACAAGCAGGCCAGTACACTGGCTCCAGCGAAGATCCAGAAGGTAACGCTGGGTCCCCAAGCAGGTAACATGTAGCCGAATGCAGCCGATACTCCAAATCCGAAAACCCATCCAATAGTAACAGTGAAAGTGGAACTGAATCCCCTGCAGTTGTTAGTGAACATTTCTCCTATGAATGTGTTGGGGATGATACCAAAACCTGCAAGGAAGAAGACGGTAGTCGAGGTCATAAAGTATTACAAAAAAGAGAAGAATTTTGCATAGGTCGGGTTTTTTGCAGATTCATTCGTTTCGATGATGTTGCTGTTAAAATCAATTAAATTCAAATTCAATTCAATTCAAATCAATAGAAAATTGGTAGATTACTTTAGATTTAATTTGTTTTTTAGGATTAGTTTAGAGTTTGGTCCGATTTTCTCATTTACTTTTGCTTTTTTATTTAATTCTACTTACCACTGAAATAAGCTATAAAGTACAGCACGACTGAAGTTAATGCCATCCATTGCAGGTCGTCAGCGATTGTGTATTCATTGTCGTATAAGAAAAAGTAAGCCCCAAGTGCAAACTAAAAAATCACACAAGAAGATCAGCATATAGTCAGATATAAATAGAAACTCCAAATGTGTATATAATGAAAAATCGATAGTTTACTTTAAACGAATGGATATTATTTGACAAATACCACCAATGAACACAATCCACAACTATATTAACATACTAACGCACTTCAAGGGGCCAACAGACCATCACAGACAGGGCCTAATATGTTCACCTGGGGTTGGGGTTGCGGGTTAAACGCAACAATATCATTGGCCCCAAAGGCCTTCTATCAATACAGAAGGCCTAGAGCAGGAAAAGCAACTTGGAGGTTTTTTATCAGAAAGAGTCTGACACGCCTTCTCGTCAGGATGAGAGAAGTAAATCGATGATTTTCCCGTGTCAATAAAAAAAACTAAACAAAATCGTAAATGGTTATGAACTTACCAAGCTTATAGAACAAGCTGCTGAAGAAATTAACAATAGAATCTTCCGTCCAGTTCTATCTACAAATAGTGGAGCAATACTTGCCGCACCTACTTGTGTGACTCCAACAATTATAGTAGATACATGGGGCTCCATAGACGACCCAGTCATTTCAAATATAGTAGTAGAAAAAGATAACACAATATTTATTCCACTTAGCTGTTGTAGAATATTCAGTGTTATTATTAAAAATAATGCTTTTCTATTCGACTTTATTGTGAACATCTCAGCCATCTGATCTTTGTTGGACATCGGTTTCTCATTTGCTTTAGCCACTACATCATCTATGTCATCTTTTCTGCCCAGTGATGTGAGGAGTTCCATCGCTTCATCTCTCCTGTCTGAAAATTTGGCGTATTTAAGATCTTTTAATAGTGCTCTCTTTTGACAGAATACCAGCATGGTGCAACTCTTACGTTTTCTTTCGTTGTATGAGTGAGATTACCAGAGACCCAATCTCCCCCCCCATCTTCAATCATCAAATCTTTTATCTTTAAATCTCTAATAACCAACAAGAAGCAAGGCACTTGTTTGATAACTCCTTTGATATTGCAAGCGTCCATATGCAGCGTAGATTACTTACCACCAGAAACCGGCCAAACTATGTCATAAAAAAATTACTTACTTGCCATAACAAGATAAACAGCAGTTTCTGGGACAATGAAAAATAATCCAACCATGTAAGCAACTACAATGCCAGCGGCTATCCATGATATAGCTGCATAAGATACAAAGGGACCCACAGAGTAAGCTATTAAAGTACCACATGTACTTGAGAATCCTGTCAGTGTGAGAAGAGTCCCACGATTTCTTATTGACCTGGAAGATAAATGGTTTTACAGGCAAAAGTTTTGAAATTACTTTAATCATCAGGAAACAAATAAAATTTTGAAACAAGACGTTAGATCTAAAAATATTCGGGCGGTGGGAGGACGACTGCTGGTGTGAGAAAACCTCAACGAAGGTGACAATGTTGAGGAAGATACTTTGACTAAATAACCGTTAGAAAAACGTAAGACAACAAGCAGCAAATTTCAAATTTCAAAATTCGATTTTTTTTTGTTTTTGTGATTGAGATAAGCAGTGGATAAGGTGTTTTATTTTTTTGTCTTTCAGGGGGGGGGGGGGGGGTAACCATGGGTTTTTGTTTCAGAATCTTACTTCAGTGTCGGTACAGAGCTAGACAACTTGTATAGCTCTTTCTCTTACTCCCACTGGAGTAAGATTAAAACAATCTTACTTTGAACCATTAAAAGCCATGAGTATAAATGTGGATGGATGGAGAGGGAGAGGGAGACCAAAGAAAATATGGATGGATTGTGTGAGAAATGATATGGAAGAGGAGTTAGTGATAGCGTGACGGGTGACAGGACAGAATGGAAAAATAAAACATATTGCGCCGACCCCAAATAAAACGGGACAAGGGCAGGAAGATGATGATGACTTTGAACGTCATGGTTCACTCCAGGTATAGTATACATAACATTGATAGGTACTTACGCCAACTCTCCAAGGTAGACTAGATTTGTGACGAATAGCATTCCTGTACCGAAGCCCACGACGATCCTACCAAGATATATGATTGCTATATGTTTAGCTATGGCGAGGATCATAAATCCTAGACCTAGGAATGCACCGCCAATGTAGAGACAAGGCTTTCTGCCTATCACGTTACATAGGTAGCCAGACACATAGGGACCTGAAAGGAAGATGAAGTTATTAGAGAAAAACTAAATCTACCTGAATATCGTGGTGGCCCGGAGGTCAAGGCTCCCGCTTTTCATATATAAGGGCGTGGTTTTGAAAATTTTACTTTCTATGATTGATGAAGAGACATCGGGAGGAAACCTGGACTTATAATTTCTAATTTTAATTTTGATCACCAATCCACCTTGAAAAAGCGTGGTGATGAATGCTCAGCATTTCTCCGTGTAGGAGAAGAGACCTTTCTTCAGCGGTGGGCACTAATAAGCTGATGATGATGATAATTACTCTGCCTTCCTTCCACTTGAACCATCATATTTATGCCAAGCACAATTTACACACTCAAGTTTTGGGTTTTTTCTGCACCTACCAATTTAATATGAATTTACCTGTGAGAAATCCAACAAAACTAGATGATACAATCCAGGATGCTTGCTCAACTGTTATTGGAGTTTCCAATATGGTAAGCTCTGGATTCTGTAGCAGAGCTATTACGGGCGCCGGCCATCCCAATCCATAGCCACACAATAACTGACCTATATATACTGAAAAAAGCAAAAAATATATTAATGATAAAGTTTTGTTATACAACCTCTTTTTGTCTGCTCTGCTTAACCTCCGTTTTGAAGTGATTAACATTTGATAATTTACTTTAATAATTCCGTATGTATTATGATAAGTATTTGCGATATTGTATTTAATGTATGTATTGTGAAATTTAATCGTTGGAGAAAAATAAATATAGTGTCAGTGTATGTGTGTATGTGTGAGAGAGAAGGAGAGGAATTGAGATCGAGGGATAAATTATGAGTGAAAGAGATTGAGAGTGGACAAGAGAGAGATAGGCATTGGGAGCCAAAAGTTAAAAGTCACAGAATAATTTATTTAAATCCGAAACTTACAGGCAATTTTAAACGTACCAAACAAAGCTTAAAGATAAAATGTCTGTCTGTCGGTCAGTCCTGTTAGTGAAGCTATTTGTTTAGAGCGAGACAGAAGTTGAAAGCAAAAGAGAGAGTGAAATAGAGAGGGACAGATTAAGTGATGTGAGTTGTGCAGTTGACCGCCACGCACAGTCGTTTCGAGTAATGGGAATAAGTCAAACTTTTGATGTATACGAGATTCTACATACGATAATAACAAAAATAATATATAGACAGGTAACTTACAGCATCCGGCAATCAAAAATTGTCTTCCGATACCAACTTCAACTCCCATCTTTAAAAAAATATCACAGACTTATTCTACCACACTTATAAAAGTTTTCGGTACGATTATCTATATATTTTCTATATTTTTTATATAATTTTTATCTGGAGTATTTTGTTTTCGTGTGTATAACATTCCACGTTAAAACAGACTATATCTGTTATCTTTTTTGTTACAGAATATTTATATTTAGATCGTAAATCAATGTAACAATCTGGATTGATAGAAGGTATTAGGGTTATATGTGATCAAAACAATACCTAAAATTAGTTAAGCAAGTCACTATTGCGTAATATGGCACAATTTTTTGTTTGTTTGTGTAAGTTCATTTCGATGTGTTTGAGTTTGTTTTTTTATTATTAGGTGATAGGATATTAAACAAGCTGACGGATTACAAGATGATGAGCAATCAGCGCCACCCCCCACAGACACCCAAAAACGGAGGAGTTACAAGTATTAGAGTAGTAGATTAAGGTTATGGAGATTTTGGGATTAGGGGAAGAAAATAATTGCGCCTCCACTAACCTTACTCATTATGCATCAAGCAAAAAAAAGTGAGCACTGTTCTGTTTTGTAAAGTAACTGTTACACAGTAAAAAAAATATATTAACAATAACGTCGTCGTTTATTGAGACGCGGCGCGTTTACGTATATCGTGCGTTTGTTGTACATTGCAGTAGGGGGTCGCGTTATCGTTCACGCAAACATAAAAATATGCGCAATGTACAACGAACGCCGCATCTCAGTTAAAGATGCCTTACAACCTCGGATCCCTAAATAAACTTACATGAGACGTTAAACAGAAAAATATAGAGAATGATATTATTTCTTAAAATAAACAACAAAACAAAATTGATAAGTTTTAAAAAAGCTTATGGTTGAACAGTAAGAACTATACGGAACCTGGTCAAAGTCTGTCTCTTTTATCAGAATTATAATAATTATGATTACCTACGAATATATCACAATACCCCACGGAGATATACTGAACATAAGAATAGTATATGTGTATAGGCTGTTCATGGGTAATCAGTAAATTGTGACAGTATGACGATCACACACGAAAACCTGTTTGAGAATTATCCAAAATTCTGAGTAAAAGGTGTAGTGGAGTAGTGGAAAAGCTATTTATCCGAATTAGAACCAATCAAATTCTTTAGTAAAGTAAGCTAGGTCAGGAGTCAGCTGGGATGCAGGGCACAGTCGGAGTTGCAGGACCAGCGCAATAGGGTATCGCGACCATGGCTTGGAGCAGGAGAAGGAACGGAGAGTTTTTAGTCAGTAAGAGTCTTACACTGCCTCTCGACCAGGGTGAAGCGAGAAAAAAAAAGGGTCTCTGGTGCATGATCACCGGGCCAGATTACCTACATTGGTCGGATCCCGTTTTCGATTTAGCTGTCCAATCTTGTGATGATATAAGCTTTTATATTGGCCCTATTGAAAGGCTGGTACTTCTTGCCTGTTCTGGGAGGAAATTAGGAGAGTTTTCTCTTATTTTTTAATGTCTCAAAGAAACCTTTGAGCCATTTTTACGCCGTAAATGTAAGGCCAGTCTAGCAAAGCGGTAGCTAAATATATTAAATTACGACATTTTCAAAAATAACCTTTGCATATTATACTTAATTTTCTGTTCTGTGATATTATACTTCTTTCTTGATAATAACTAACTGTATACTAACAAAAGATAGTATAAACACAGCATTTCCTGTTTTAAAGATTTCATATTATCTATCTGTTTTTTGGTTACCTGAACAATTTTATCAAATTTTTACCTACTGAAGATAATTTGGAAAAAGCATGAGTGAGGTTACTGGAGGCACAACCCTCACCTCTACACACCCTCAATAAGAGGAGGAGGTACTGGAAACTCCTACGAAAACTCATGAGTAGGTATGACATCCTAATTGGCAATTTTTAGTTAAAATTCTATTATGAAAGTACAATAAGGGGTTGCGGATGCAACCGCAATATTATACCGTAAAGCGGCCTTTACCATGAAAAGAACGACCACCTCATTCCCCTGTTTTTAATCAGTAACAATTTAACAATCCGCATCGCCCCACCAAGGGTGGAAGAAGACATTTCATGATTTCCTCCCCTTTAAAAGCTGCTGTAGTAATAAGACAGATATAGTTTAATTGTGGGAGAGCCAAGCTGCGGCACGAATGGGTCGGCTCGACCGGAGTGATACCTCGGCCTTACTCAATACCTTCGTGAAACACACAACCACAGCGTTGTGTTTCGCCGTGTGAGTGAGGTTACCAGAGCCCCAATCCCACCTCTTCCCCTATCCCTTCCCGATCTTTATATACGCAACCCCTATCCCCAAAACGCCGGCAACGTACTCGTAACTTCTTTGGTGTTGCGGGTGTCCATGGACGGCGCCAATTGCTTACCATCAGGTAATCCGTCTGCTCGTTTGCCAACTTATACCATAAAAAACTCAATATTATGACAATGACAGTGCCATTTTGTTGTCAATAAAAATCCACGCATAACAGACGATTTACTAGATATGACGACAATATATATCGATGATATGGAGAAGTCATTTTATCGAGAATATTAAAAACATGTCATTGATTATGTAGGAGATTCTTATCATGGATATATTTTCTAGTTGTGGCTTTCCTTGTATAGAGAACAAAAAGATTTTTCTTAAGTTATAAGTATTTTCTTGTTTGGCAACAGTCCGTCTTTTTCAATTTATAAGCGTGTAAACATAGCTTTTATTTTTTCAATGGATTTTCTTATTTATCTATACAATAAAATATATAAGTTTTGGTACCGGGGATTTCTTTTTTCTTTTTATGCAATATTATCTCGGTAATTACCGATTTAATACACAATTCATGCGATAAATAAGTTATGTAGTTATTTACTTAATTACGTATTGGTAAGAATTTTCGACAATTTTGTTGCCTTTACTCAAATCATACAACAGTGTTTTGTTTTGAAAACGTCATACAGTCTATAAGTGCTTACTAATGAGCAAAGACCTCTTCTCATATGGAGAAGGTATGAGCAATAATCAGCACGTTTACTTGACAATTTCAAACATAATATGAGTTTATAAGTCCAGTCTTATCACGATGTTATATGTTATATTCACTATTATTCAGTGGTGTCTAAATAATCTTAGAAAATACATAAAAATTTAAAAGGGCTCCAAAGCGAAGCGGGGTACCTTAACCTTCGGGCAACCATAACCTTTATTTTTCACTAGCTCAGCTCACTCTTGCGCGGTTTCACCCGCTGCTCGGCTCCATTTAATCGTAGCGGGATTTTTAGCCTATAGCACTCAGGAACATTGTAGCTATCTATCAGTGAAAGAATTTTGGCAATCCGACCAGCGGTTCCAAACATTACTCCCTACATACAAACTTACAAACATACAAACTTACAAATTCTACCTCTTTATAATATAAGTAAGTATAGATTAAACTATTTTTTTTTGCCTAGCCGTATATGACTGTTCTCAATAAAAAGCCAGTAAAGAACTATATGAATTTAGGTACACGAACGAACTTCCCTTATATACCTACACGATTAGGTACACTTTTCAGATTTACATAATATTTACATAATATTGTGTAAACATATAATCGAAGAAAAAGTTTAAAAATAAATTGTATCACATATTATATATACCTATAAGAAAATATATTTCATAATATTTTGCAATACATTTTTTAAACGCGTTTTATATCGACGAATTAGTGTTGTAATCTTTTATGTAATATGGATTTTTATCTTTATACCTACTTTGTAAAAGGAATTATTAATTACTTAGATCGAATTACTATAAATATGTATATCACGATGGATGTAGGATTAGGATAATTTCTCAATGAAACCGGCGTAAAGCAATACTTGAGTTTTGTTTCGCCGTGTGAATAAGGTTACCGGAGACCCAATCCTTCTCCCCACCCTCAATCTTCAAATCCTCTATCCTTTTTTTTTTGTCAGGGGAAAATCATCCAATGACTTCTCCCGCCCAGGGTAAGGCGAGAGAGAGAGAGTGTCAGACTCTTACTGACTAAAAACCCCCCGTTCCTTCTCCTGATCTGGGCTGAGGTCGCGGTACCTCATTGCGCTTACCCCGCAACCCCGGCTAAACATCAGCCCTATTGGGCCCCGTCTGTGGTGGTCTATTGGCTCTTTGAGGCGCGAGGAGGATAGTTTCCTCACGCGCTCCGCCTCCTCCTTTGCGAGCATAACTGCTTCGCAGAAGGAGGAGATAGCTTCCCAGTTCCTCTCGCTATTAACCATGGCCTCGATTAAGGCCGGGCGCGAGAGGTCGCCGCCGCTGATCACTTCCCTGAGAACACAGCGGTACTCAGCACAAGAAGGGCACTCCGCCATCGTATGCTCCACCGAAATCCCCTATTCTTAAATCCCTAATAACGCACAAGAGGCCGGTAACGCACTTATAGTTACTCCTTTGGTACTACGAGTGTCCATCATCATCATCATCATCAGCCTATAAGTGCCCACTGCTGAGCAAACTAAGGCTCTCATACGGAGAAGGTTAGAGCATTAATCACCACGCTTGCTCAATGCGGGTTGGCGATTTCAAACTTATAATTATAAATTGTAAGTCCTGGTTTCCACACGATGTTTACCTTCACCGTATGTCAGTGGTTTATCATTCATTATCATTTTATCATTTTTAAAAAAACGTTGCCCCACAATAGGATTTTCTCCTGTGTCGTGGGTGCGTTTACAAACATACAAATTCACATGCACATATCACACCCAGACCCGGAACAACAATCTGTGGATCACACAAAGAGTTGTTCCGTGCGGGAATCGAACCCGCGACACGTTGCGCAGCAGCCAGTTGCCCAGCCACCGCGCCAACCGTGCAGTCAGTAGTAGTGGTGTCTAAATAATAATAGAAAGTACATACAACTCGGAAAAAGTCACATTGGTACTTGCCAGGTTTCGAACCCAGACCCTCATGCAAGAGAATCGGGCTCTGTAGCCTTCGGGCCACCACGTCTACACGTACGTATTATACACTAACTTCTACCAGCGATATTGCCCTCAGTAACAGGATGAAAAGTAGTCCATGTGTTGTTCCAGACTATAATCTATCTCTGTGCCAAATTTCATTCGGATCCGTTAAGCAGTTTTAACGTTAAGAGAGTTAGAAAACTATTTGTACAAACTTTAGCGTTTATTTATAATAATATTTGGATAGCTATGACGATGATTAAATTCATCTCGTGATCTTTCTTATCAAGTTCCTATACTTATTGATAAGCAAACAAAGATTTCTATCACAGAGATAAATTTATATTACAATTTCTGATTACGTATCAACTGTTATAATTTGATAAGCGTTATCAAATGTCTGACGAACTTAATATGTAATTAACTTAATTATTTAAATTACATTTTTATCTGAGTTTGTTAAGGTTGATTTTAGGAAAGCATAGGTTGACCTTTTTCGTAAGATTATTGTCATTTGTTGGGTTCAGTGTACTTATAAAAATATGTGTGTGTTTGATTGTTCGAGGCGGTAGACAATTCTCTCTGACAGAAATATTTTTGTGATTAATCATCCAGTTAGAGGTCTAGCCTATTTAATAAATTATAATGCAGCACAATTCTGGAAGCGAAGCGTTCTAACCTAATAGATCTTGCTTTCAGCAACGCTCTTATTTCTTACTTAACATTAATGACCTGCTTAGGCCTGGTATCTTTGGGTATGCCGATGGCAGCACAGTGGTCGAAAGGTATATGTCCGATGCAGTACACAGATCCGGTCTCTAAAATAATCAATGGTTGAACGTTTCAACTAATCCTTCAAGTCAATCTCCGACTGGCGTGACGCCAACTTGCTTAAGTCATATAAAATTATCAATCAAAACCAAGAAGATGTGTCTGTTGCTGACTAAAAAACCACCCCGTTCCTTCCCCAGCTCCTGGCCAGGCCAAGGCCTCTGTGCATTATTGCGCCGTTTTCTCGGGCGTAAACGCTGTTCCTTTTTTCGAATATTGTGTAAGTATAGCTGTTGCTAGTTGCAAATGCATGTTAATAATTCGCTCAGATGTTTAATGATTTTACAGTTAGTAGGTTGGTTGTTCTTATATTTAGTAAAACAAGGCTGATATTCAGCCGGGGTTGCGGGGTAAGAGGAATACCTAATAGACTACAGCCAAGCAGGAGAAGGAACCGGGTAGTTAGTTTACACTGAACCCAGGTCGAGAGAAATAATTTGATGTAAGTAAGTTGACCGCTAATAAGGTTAATATTCATCATCGTCATCATCATCATCATCATCATATCAGCCACAGGACGTCCACTGCTGAACATAGGCCTCCCCCATTGACTTCCAGATAGGCCGGTTGGAAGCGACCTGCATCCAGCGGCTTCCTGCGACCTTAATCAGGGTAAATTATTATTAAACGAGAAAGTATGACCTCTATGAAGATTACCTTGGGTATGTCAATATTTATGGGTATGGTATATCTGGGTATGTCAATATATGTCAATATTTGGGATTTAGTTGAAGTTTATACAGATGCAGATAAAAACTTATTTACTTTTACAAAAATGAGACAGTTTTGGATTTACCTAGGGTTGTCTAAGTTTGAAGTTTCTATTTTTATTCTTTGCTAATGTTAGCGTACAGGTTTGCTTATACCTATCATTAAGTTAATTATTCCTTGGTCCTTCAAGTGTGGGAGGGCCATGCTTTGTCACAAATGTGTCGGCTCGTACGGAATGATACTACGGCCTCACAGAAATCCGGCGTGAAACAACCACAGCGTTGTGTTCCACCGTATAAGTGAGGTTACCTCCAATCCCTCCCTCATCCCAAGCTCGCAAAATCCTCAAAAGGTCAGCAACGCACTCGTAACTCCTGATTTGTTTCGTTTGTCCATGGGTGGCGCTGATTACTTACCATCAGGGACGCGTTTGCGGACCTATCACATAAAAGAAATAACATTTAAGTGTCACCAAGCATATAATAACCACAAAATTTTAAATTCTAATAGAAGTACAAATTCGTAAAATCTTGTTACGCACAATAACCATGCAATTAAAAAAATGTTTGCCTCATACAAAACAGTGAAACTAAAATACACATCTTTTTTCGGAACCTATACACTCTTCAAACATTTAAAAAAAGAGATAGTTAATTTTTTTGAAAGGTCTTCTTCTATCTGTTTAAGATTTGCGGGTGGGTATTCAAATACTTTGATCACCTTGAGCGCCTGGTTCGATTTTCTCTCTCTCTCTCTCTCTCTCTCTCTCTCTCTCTCTCTCTCTCTCTCTCTGATCCCTATGATTTGTGGATTAAATTTGAACAAACCAATCGGTGATAATCAATCTGATTCTAGGAAACTACCAGCACTGTTAACAATCCCAGCTTTAAGACGTCTCTGAAACTGCGAGTTCAACCATGTACATAGGTAGCTACCAGGTGTTGGGGATAGAACAGTCTTTTGATCAGTATTGTTCGTCGGACAACTAAGGAACACCCGTTAGTTTAATTGGTTATAAACTGACACATTGCGCGCCTTTCCTTAGAACGGGTCCACTTAAACTGGTGCGGTTCTTTCCTCAAAAGACCACTACAGAATGGACTTGCACGGTTCTCGCACATTATGTTCTTTTTCACATTGTCTGAACTTAAAAAGAGACTGACCTCTGAGTTTGTTTCGGCATTTCTTCTCAGAGTAGTCAGATAGGAAATGCCGGCTCCATCTAGTTTTTGTATGTACGTGTAAAAGTGCCGTTTTATGACCTATTTACAAAAATAAATTCATTGTTTCAACGCAGTGGTTTTCAGTAAGTAGATAAGAGTCTGGCACTCCCTCTCGCCGCAACCACCTTAAAAACCCAATACTTTTACTATACTAATATTATAAAGAGGTAAAATTTGTTAGTTTGTATGTAGGGCGTAATCATTGGAACCGCTTGCCAAAATTCTTTCACTGATAGATAGCTACAATGTTCTTGAGTGCTATATGCTGCAAAACATCACATCTAATGGGTGAAACTGCGCGAGAGTAGCTAGTAAAATAATAAAACAAAATTGAATGATCCTTAGAAATGTCTTTCAAAAGACAAATTACTCACGGTTCATTAAAAAAATAAACTTAAACAAGATAATAATGAAACAGAAAAAAGAGTTTTTATCTCCCATTCGACATCCTTACGGTGTAATTAGATATTTCTTTGTTTCGTTCAGTTTCTAGTTTACGTCTGTGTAGCTGAAGAATATGTTTTCAGATCAGTCCTGAATGGATAGTCATGTGAGACGAGTTTTAGTGAAAATAGATTTTTTAAATTATTTTTCGAAATGTATAGTTTTGGTAATCCCATTTTGAGACAGTATTTAGTTATTATTACTGGTGAGTTTTTTTTTATATTAAGGAAAATGGGTTTGATATTTGATTGGTCAAATTCATTACTTATTTAGAATTGTGAAGATTGACAGTATCTGTGATCTTTTTTGCAAGTTTGTGTGTCAATTATGTCTTAAATATATTTACTAAAATGGCAGAATAAATAAATAAAAAAAAATATCAAAAATCTATCAATTAAACTGGGATTATATTTAAATATTTTATTGCATTAAAAGGTCTTAACCAATGTTTATGACTAACGAATAGGGTTTTATAAATATGCCGCTTAGGCCCGGTATCTTTGGGTATGCAGATGACAGTAAAGTTGTTGAAAGGTATGTGTCCAATGCGCAGACTAGCGGCACACAGATACAGTCTATCCGTGTGGTTTAACACCTGAATTCCCCCCATTGAAGGGGTCTCCGACTGGCGTGACACCAGCTGGGTCAAGTTTCCCGAGCGTACGGCTCGTAGCGTTCCGCGCGCGCCTCATAGAGTCAATAGACTACCACAGACGGGGCCCTATAGGGCTGGTGTTCAGCCGGGGTTGCGGGGTAAGCGCAATTAGGCACTGCGACCTCGGCCCAGAGCAGGAAGAGGAACAGGGTTTGTAGTTAGTAAGAGGGATTGTCCCTCTCGCCCGGACCTGGGCGGGAGAAGTCATTTGATGATTTTCCCATCACAAAAAATTGCTACTCAGATAATGCTTGCATTGTATTTTGCTGTGGGACTGAGATTACCGGAGACTTAATCTTCATATATCTATCCCATAGGCAACACCCTATTAACACCTTGTCTTTACGAGTGTCCACGGTTGGCGCTGATAGCTTACTACAGGTGATCCGTCTTCTTATCTTGTTTACCAAAGTAGCCCATAAAAAATATTCATTTATAGGTATTTATTTTTATTCGTTGAATAGACGGTATCAATACAACCTTAAGACTATTGCCATTGACCTCAATTTACATTGACTCATTATTTCTATTTGATACTACAACCATTTCTATGGAAAGTTTTGTGTTGTTTACATTTTTATCTATTACTTGACAATCCACACACAATCCCTAAATCTTCAAATCCCTAATCGCCAATGCACTCGTAACACTGCTATTTTGCCAGCCTATGATATAAATAAAGAATAGGGACGGATAAAGCGACTTTGTTTTATATTATGTAGTGATTAGGATGGGAGTCATTAGAAAGTCAGGTCAAAGTCGTTAACTATCAGGCCATTGCTAGATACGGCTTAAGGTGCAATGATCTCAGCCAACATCACACGTGTCAACAATCTTATGAGCCAAATCAAGATATTAGCCATGTTAATCTCTTTAAATTTTAACAAGATTATGAAATTGTATTTAATTTTGTGTTGGTTTAAGTATTTTTGCAGAGTGTAAGTTTCGTTGGCTACGAGTGTAGTGTCAATGCATGTTCACACAATATAGTTTCTTACACAGAGAAGGTTTGATCATAAATTACCCAGCGTGTTCACGGCTGCTAGGACGTCTGGTAGTAAGCGCTGATCTCCTGTCACCGTAAGCACGGGTTTGCGGACGGCGACCAGAAACAGACCCTAGCGTTCCGCGCGCGTCTCAAAGAGCCCATAGACCACCACAGACGGGGCCCAATGGGGCTGATGTTCAGCCGGGATTGTGGGGTAAGGGCAATGACGCACCGCGACTTCGGACCAGAACAGGAGTAGGAACGGGGGGTTTTTAGTCTGTAAGAGTCTGACACTAATGGGTGGGTGAAGTCATTTGATGTTTTTTTCCTCACAAAAAAACAAAACACATAGAAGGCTTGAGAATAAATCACCCCGCTTGCTCGAGGCTGCTAGTCCAGGCAACGGGGACCAAGCGACGATCTTTGGCCACCATAAGCGAGGGTCGGCGGTCGGCGAGCAAGGGTAGCTCGCCGCCCGACCAGAATTAGTATCAAGGATATGGCGTGTAGCGTTCCGCGGGCGCCTCAAAGAGTCAATTGATCACAAATGGGGCCCAGCACGGCCCCATTTGTGGTTTTGATGTTAGCCACGGTTGCGGGTCAAGCGCAATGAGGTAACCTGGCCTCCGCCTGGAGCAGGAGAAAGAACGGAGGGCTTTTTAAGTCAGTAAGAGTCTGATACTCCCTTTTGCCATACCTATACCATAAGCTGGAAAAATCATTTGATAATTTTCCTCCTGAAACCTGACTTATTATTTCTAATTATAAGTTTGAAATCGCCAATCCTGGTGCAAGCGTGGTTATTGCTCAAACCTTCTTTATCCGTGAGGCCTTTGCTCAGCAGTAGGCAGTTAAAGGCTAATAATACTTAAATGTAAAAACTAAAAACACAATAAGTGTTACTAGTTTTTTCTCGATTTACGTAAAACTATAAAAGTAGTAAAAACAGTGTGACAAACGCACATAATTAGGTATCTATTCTGTCCATTAATAAGCATGTTTCTACCGTATGTGTAAGTGGAAACCCTTGTACATTATGTATAGTTAATCATTACTAAGTATTGTCTGTATCTAAGTAATGGCTGTGTAGACTAATTACCCACATTTATACACAATATATCTTAATTGATCTGTACTTAGTTACTTAATAACTGTGTACCAAGTTTAATTCAATCTTTTTTTTTGAGTTTTCAGAACTGATATGTTCTGATTTGATTTGAATTTAGTTTGAGTTTGTGTGTGTGTGATTTCATGTTTTATTTTTGCGTAAAAAAGAAAAATAAGAACGTTACTAAAATTAAGTACTTACATAGTTAAATTAACCATCGAAAGTGTGTGTGTGTGTATTTTTACTGTATTCTATTTTAAAAATATTTTAGTATTTCTACATAGCATAAAATTTAAAGTGAGAAGTGATATGGAAGACAGAGGAGTTAGTAATAGCGTGACGGGTGACAGGACAGAATGGAAGAAAAAAACATATTGCGCCGACCCCAAATAAAACGGGACAAGGGCAGGAAGATGATGACATAGCACAAAATTTGATCGCTTTCTCTGTCCCTATATCCTTATATATGCTTAAATCTTTAAAAGTATGATGCAGTTATTTTACTAGAAAAAGAAGGTTTGTATGTATGATAACATCCACATCCCATCCAAGGCGAGAGAAGTAATTTAATGAATTTCCCACCTAAAAAAACTTTTCTCGAAGTAACTTTGATAAGAATATTTTAATGACGAATAACACAATCAGTAACCTTGAAATAATAGCAATATTGACAGTGCGAATATATGTAAGTAGGTAAATGTCATGTACCTATTGTGTTAACTAGGAGTTATATTTAGATAAGAAAATGACGAACGAATACAGCCATTTTAGCACGTAAAAGTAACATTGACTGCTTTTGTTTCTTAAGGTTAAGGGCAGTGGCTCTTTTACCAAGGTCTTTGATCAGGGTCTTTTAAGAAGTTTGTTGTCATTAGGGGTATTTTTATGTATAGACTACAAGTACCCAGCTTCATTAAAAAGCAGACTGACGGGGTATTTTTCTACTTTGATTTCAAAATGTCTTTCTTTCCAGCCAACCTAGCTTTCGTGTCTATAGGCCTGAGCGTCTCATGGTCTTCACCAGTCCTGGTGAAGTTGATGAATAAGACGGAGACTATACTGTCCAGACCTTTAACTTATGAAGAAGGGTCATGGATAGTATCTATAGGATCTGGGTGTGGTTTGATAAGTGAGTACCTAGTTAGTAATTTTAATTTTTTCTTTATATTTCAATCAGTCATCCATTGTACCTTGTATATGGCTTGTTTAGGGTCATAACCTACTGGATTGAATTCACGGCATTCATCTTCATCATCAGTAACATGATCACATGATCACATCCTATCATCATATTGTAGTTAAATGGCAGAGTGACAAGTCAATGCGTTTTGAGCAAGAGTTATGATTAAGTCTAAAATGTTCTCCATGTGAGAAGAAAAGTGATAGAAGCATCTTTCTTTTGTCAGCAGTGGACTCTTTTTTATTTGATAGGTTGCCAAACGAGCAGGCGTATTACCTGATGGTAAGCAATCAGCGCCGCCCATGGACACCGTAACAACAGAGGGTTACGAGTGCGTTGCCGACTTTTTGGGGAATAGGTAGATAGATAGATAAGACACAAACAATAACAGACCCAAATTAATTTACAAATAACTGGGTACACAATACAAATTAACACGACAATAACACAAAAAAATTCAACCAAAAATATTATTAATAGGGATTTCGATATTTAGGGATTGGTTAGGGCTTGGGGGAGGGGAAAGATTGGACCTCTGGTAACCTCACTCACACGGCGAAACACAACGCTGTAGTTGATATAGGCGAATGATGATGATTATGATTTCAATCCGATGGTTGATAGTGATAGATCATCAGGCAGCAGACTTAGAAGGCGTACGTTAAAATACGAAGACTTATTTCTGCACTGTGAGGGATTGTTGCCTCCCCGTCAACAAATGGCTCTAGGGTGGGGCGAAAGGGAGTGTCAAACTCTTATTAAATAATAACCTCCTAATTTTTCCCCTACCACCAATAATAAAATTATTTTTATTTTGTTTTCAGTAAACTTCACAGTTGGATTTCTGATGGACAGTTTAGGCCGTAAAGCCTGTTTGATTTTGGGTTTTGTGCCTCGATTGGTGATGTGCTTTCTCCTCATATTTGCCAAAGAAGTGTGGGTCATATACTTGGCGAGAGTTTTCGATGGATTTGCCAACGCTTGTATCCTCGCTGCAGTCCCTACCTACTCTTCAGAAATTGCTAGCGTGAGTATTTTTTTGTGTTGTACCTTATATGGTAAGATTACAAAATATCGTTGTGGCCTGGACCTTAAGGCAATAATTTCTTATACATGAGGTTAAGGATTTAAAACTTGGCAAGTACCAGCGTGACATACACGTACTTTCTTAATATATTTAGACACCACTGACAATCGGTGAAAAAAAACATGTTGTGGCAACCTGGACTTATTATTTCTAATAATAAGTTTGAAATCGCCACATTTACCATCAACAAGTGTAATTCTCAAACCTTTTCCTCGTGAGAAGAGGTTTTTGGTCAGTATTGGACACTTCTAAGCTGGTTATGTGATGTGGTGAGAACATATAATATATCAATCAATAGACACTTGCAACTAGAGGAGTAAAAATGAGTTGCAGGCCTTCTGGGGATTCGACAATTAGGGATGAGATGGTAGGAGAATTGTAAAGGATTATCATAGTTAAGTAGTGAGTCTGTTGATATTGACATCTTGGCAAATTTCATATAGATGTTATTTTAAATCAAATATACAAAACTGATGTCCCTTCTGTGAATGATATGATAATAATAATCAGTTACTCGATACACGAATGGGTCGGCTCGAGCGGAGTGATACCACGACCTCACAGAAAACCGGCGTGAAACTGCCACAGCTTTATGTTTCGCCGGTTACCGTAGCCCTAATCCCTCCCTGTACCCCCATCCCATCGCTCCTTACTCCTAGCAGGCCGGCAACGCACTTGTTACACTTTTGGTGTTGCGTATGTCCATGGGCGGCGCTGATTGCTTACAAGCACCATACATCACCATAAACAAATTTGAATGTCTTACGCTTAACCGGTGCGCATTGACCTGAGACAAAAAATAAATACAATTTTTGATGACTTGAAAATAAAAATAAATTACCTACTTAAAATGTCGTCTTGTATTAACAACATATCCGTTTAAATATCTAGGTAATTATGATAACCATTGTCGTAATGCATGAATTGTCTTTTACCTCCCGGACATTCTAATTTTATCTATCAATATATACAATAAATGTCTTTTATGTTATCTTGTTCGTAACTCGAGAACGGATTTTTTTAGGGGGAAAATCATTAATTCCCGCCCTGGGAGGGGCGAGACTCTCATTGAGTAAAAACTTTCTTGTTTCTTCTTCTGCTCAGGGCTGGGGTTCTGGTACATAACTGCTCCCACAACCACGGCAAAAAATTGGCCCCATTGGTCCCCATAAGTAGCTCCAGAATCTGGATCTGGCTAGATCGACTTTGATCATGAATATTTTGTTGCGTTTTCGAATCAGGACGCAAACAAAATGTTATTGGGGCTATTGAAATAGAAAAGCCTGTTATTCGGTTCAGAAATAGGCAAATTTGTAGTAACGGGATACGAGCTTCGTGTAATTTACCTGTAATTCTAAAGTAAGAAAACAGACCCAGAGCTCTAAAATCATGATACGATGTTGGAAAACAAAATATGCGAGTGACACCACGGGACAAATCTAGCAAAATACCTAAACACACAACTAAAAATCAAAGTAATATCGATAGATACATAATCAATATACTTAGTCATATATTCAGATATAAACTAAGCTGATTAGAATAATGAATAGCAATATTAAGTAATGTCGTCAAAAATATTGTGTAGGTATTTGTGAAATATTACGTTGCGATATTTTATATTTAGCAACAGATAAAGCCCTTACTTGTATTGCCTTATTATCTGGATGACTATTATTTCTTTGTTTTGTTGACGACAATGTGGCGTGGTTTCTGATTAACTTATTTTTTTGTTTATGTGATAGGACGCGACTTGAAGGCGAATTACATGATGGTAAGCAATTGGTGCTTTTGCTTTTTATGACAATCCCAGACGAGCTAGGATTACGAAACACAACGCTTTTTTTTTTTTTTTTTTTGAGTGGAAAATCATCAAATGACTTCTCCCGCCCAGGGCCGGGCAGGAGGGAGTGTCAGACTCTTACTGACTAAAAACCCCCCTGTTCCTTCTCCTGCTCTGTGCCGAGGTCGCGGTACCTCATTGCGCTTACCCCGCAACCCCGGCTGAACATCAGCCCTTTAGGGCCCCGTCTGTGGTGGTCGAATGGCTCTTTGAGGCGCGCGCGGAACGCTACGCGCCGTACGCTCGGGCCTGGGTCTGGTCGGGCGGCGAGCTGCCCTTGCTCGCCGACGCAGGCCCGTGCTTACGGTGGCCGGAGATCGTCCCTCGATCTCCGGCCGACCTCGATCTCGATCGACGCCCGTAGTGTCGCCAGTTGCGGCTGCTGGGGCGTGAGGAGGAGGATTGCTCCCTCGCGAGGGCCGCCTCTCTTTTTGCGAGCATGACTGCTTCACAAAAGGAGGAGACGGCGTCCCAGTTCCTCTCACTCCGCACCATGGCCTCGACTAAGTGGTTGTTTTTAGCCGGTTTTTTTTTATGTAATAGGTCGGTAAATGAGCACACCGATTACCTAATGGTAAGCAATCAGCTCCGCCCATGGACACCCGAAACGGAGGAGTTACGAGTGCCTTGCCGAACTTTTAGGAATTAGGGTTTTGGAGATTTAGGGATTGGGGAGGGATCGAGGGAGGGGAGGATTGGGCCTCCGGTAACCTCACTCACACGGCGAAACACAACGCGGTGGTTGTTTTTAGCCGGTTTCTTGTAAAGCCGTGGTGTACTCCAGTCCAGCCGGCCAATTCGTGCTTGATCATCGAAACTTCTCCCAGTTACTTCTATAAAACCGTCAAATCATCAGAGTATGAGTGATCACTATCTGGCAAAAGCCTTCTCACTCAGAGCCTTGAGCGTTAAACACGACATTGGCACAATGAAGGTTTTCCATGGGGGTCTAGGGGCCTGATGATTAGAAATTTAGGATAACCGATTTTTGACAATCAGTTAGAGTGAAGATAATGATGGAAAAACTGGAATGGTTTTAGCTAGATAAGGAGTTTTACTATGTATGTTTCGCAAAAATTGCACAATAAAATTGTAGACTGCCAACCATCATCTATACGATAGAAATGAAAATGTATTCACGTGGGTCGATGGCGAAATGATATATATATATATACGCTGTTGTTTTTTAAGAAGGTATTCACACTTTGCTCCTGCTATTATCTTAGGTATAGCAATAGTAGTTACTGGACAGTCTAGTATAAAGAGCCAGTTTTTGCCCAGGAGGCTTAAACACGTTTAACTTGAAGTTGAATTAATGTAACTGGCGAAAAACTAGAAATATGAACAAACTACCCTTTCTATAATAACTATCGTGAGACATACTAAATTAACTAAAATTCGCGGGTTACTCACGTGTAAATGTTGAGAAAAGCTCTACTAGTTTCGAACCACAGAGGGGTTCTTCCTCATGAGCAGCGTGCGCGGACGCGGCGACGTCGCGCAGCCTACTCGAAACTAGTAGAGCTTTTCTCAACATTTACACGTGAGTAACCCGCGAATTTTAGTTAATAAACTACCCTTTCCTTCACAGACATAATAAACACGTTTCATTTTTTATTTCAGAAAGAGTGTAGAGGTGCCTTAGGCACTATATCACAAATTGCTTCTGGATTGGGGATGTTGATCTTCCTCAGTATTGGACCATTTTTGCCATACTTCGAGTTGCATGTGATCTATGTATGTATTATTGCTACCATCTGTCTCCCATTATGGTTCATACCGGAGACTCCCTATTATTTATATTCGAAAGGTGAGTGGAGCACATTTTAATATTCAAGGAATTAAAATAGTAAACTTAACTTGACCATTCGTGCCGAATCAAAGCTCTTCTACATTAAAACGCTTAAGTATCCCACTACTGAGAAAATACCTTCTTCTCACATCATAGAGAAGGAATGAGCATTAACAAATATCAAGGTGGATTAGTAATTTCAAAATCATAATTTTAAGATTATAACTTATCGGGTTTCTTCATATTTGGGAACCGTTTGTCTTGGTATGGCCATGTTAAAAGGAGGGATGAAACGCATGTTACAAAGAAAGCCAGGAGTATAAATGTGGGGGGTGGAGAGGGAGAGGGAGATCAAAGAAAATATGGATGGATTGTGTGAGAAGTGATATGGAAGACAGGAGAGTTAGTGATAGCGTGACGGGTGACAGGACAGAATGGAAGAAAAAAACATATTGCGCCGACCCCCAATAAAACGGGACAAGGGCAGGAAGATGATGGGTTTCTTTACGTTGCTTAATAATTCTTGAAAGTATTTTTTTTCTCAGGTCACATAAAGAAATCATTGAATACTCTAATCTATTTACGTGGTTCAGAGGCATTAGCCCTTGAAGAGATGAAACTATACTCACTGAGTCAGCCAAAGATATCCAAGAGGGAGATTTTTAGAGACCGCACAACGCTTAAGACCTTGGGCAAAGTAGTGTTCTTGAGTATGTTTTTGGACCTGATTGGGTATAACGCTGTATTATTTTATATGCAAACTATATTGAAATCAACACATACATCTGTGAGTGAACAGATAGCTTCCGTTGTTAATGGATGCATACAACTGGTGGCTTGTTTCTGCACTATTTTCATGACTGATAGATTTGGAAGGAAACCCATCTTGGTGACCACGCTTATGGGAATGGCTTTAGGAATGGTAAGTTGCAATTTTTCTTTACTTTATGCCTCGTTGTTACTTTTTAACTTTACCAAGAAAGAGGTCTTCTGTTCAATTCCTGGATTGAGTATAGTTAGGTTTATTATTTTCGGAATTGTTATCTCATAGAACGTAGTCTACTTAAAGATTTCTTCGGATTTATATATACCTATATATACCTGTGTCCAGTAAAATTTAAGGAAGAAAATATTTTAAATGGTAATTTAATTTGAATTGTTGCACTTTTGCCATGTGTATTCTATGAGGATCACTCGGATTACATAGTACACAGTGGAGCTTACGATGACTGTGTAAGTACTCTGTTTAAGCTGAGAACCACCGTGTCCTCAGGAATCGACGGCGACTTGTCGCGACTGATGTGTCGCAGTGTCGTGTGTGTGACAGTCGAAGTTCAAGTGAAAGGATCTTGGAAGCCGTCTCTTTGATTTGCAAAATAGTCGTACCGAAAAATATATTTTTCCAGAATATTTTGAATCCCAAATTGTCATATCAGAGCTATTAGACAAAAAGTGTCTGAATCTCGTGCCACATCCAAGGCAGGAGAAGTCATTTGATAATATTTCCTCCCCACAAAAGATGAGCCAATTATTATCTGACTTTAACGTTTCAATTTTTTTTTTATTTAATAGTTCGGCAAACGAGCATACGGATTACCTGATGGTAAGCAATCAGCGCCGCCAATTGACACTCGCAACGGAGGAGTTACGAGTGCGTTGCCGACCTTTTAATTAGGGATTTGGAGATTTCGGGATTTAGGAGGGATTGGGGGAGGGGAAGGATTGGGGCTCCGGTAACCTCACTCACATGGCGAAACACAACGCTGTGGTTATTTCACGCCGGTTTTTTGTGGGGCCGTGGTATTACTCCGTTCGAGCCGACCAATTCGTGCCGACGCATGGCTCTCCCACACTTTATATAATTATATGCTTGTAGCTAATAAAAAAATATTACCCAATAATTCCTTATTTTATCAATCTGGGAAATGAATAGACATTTTCTAGACAGCCCAAATAAAGTAGATAGACAAAAACTATTTGATGACTTGTAACAAATTTTATCGAAACATGACAACAATGAAATAATTGATGATGATGATAATTAAACTGGCGCTTACTTACATAATTAGAAGTAATTGAAACGTAAATAGTCAATGAGATAAACAAAAATGTAATCAGCTTATAGGCATAATGATTGTATGAGTAAAACCTTTCCACTTAAGTACAAGGAATCGTGAGATTTTGTTGATGATTCTGCGTTTTTGCTATCATTAATGTGTAAATTTACAATGATATTCACAAATTTGTATTATCGCTGCTGAGCACATAATCGGGGTGATTGTAGGTATAGACTGAACGAATATCGCGTTTGCAATATCTGTCTCAAGGGTACCTACCTATTCCTCAAATACCATCTCAGTTATTTGGACTTGTCATGCTCACTCAAAAGTTTTACTGGCAGTATTACGGGCACTAGATCGGTCGATTTCCTACAATATGGTTAAGTTGGGCGGTGCTGGTGTTCCTACGTGCCATGTTTGTAAACAGGCCATTTCAACTTGAGACTGTCTAAATATTTGTTGTTAAGGTTATTTTCTTTTTCTCAACTCATTGGCTAAATATGTGTTACTCTGTTCTTACATGAAACTGACAAAGAATTAAATAGTGAAAATGAATGAAATTTTTGGAGGTTCTAGCTCGTTCTTCTTCATAGGAATCTCTTTGGAACGAGCTAATAGCTTCACAAGAGGATCGACCGACGACAGACTGATCAAAATTTGGTCTGGTTTGATCAAAATTAATGATTTTAATTGAATTTTAAATAGACAAGCTGGGAGCTCGTTCTGAAATTTAAATTACTATAAAATCATGATGACTTACGGTATCATTAATTGTTCGACATTTAAATTAGGTGCACTTGATATTTCTTATTTTTCATCAATTATAGGGATTGGTGGACATAATAATCGCAGTTCAGCTTTGCAATTGAAATTACTTTGAAATTTTGATCCCTGCAATTTGCTAATAAAGTTTTTATCTTTCCTTTCCAGCTTGGATTGGGCACATTTTTCCAATTGAAGTCAGTGGCAGTACCCACAGTGGGATTCCTCAACTTCTTACCGCTTCTCTCTATGATGCTGGTTATATTTTGTTTTAATGCAGGTAAATGATAAATGTCTTCTTTATTATCCTTATATCTATAAGAAATAGACGATAGTTATTCAACTTAGAACCTTCACACCTACTAGGTAAGAACTTTACTCCTTCTGACACTTATAACTTCTTAAGTGTAACATTTCTTCTAACTCTGGATAGCCTTATGAATCGACTAAAGTGCTTAGTGGTAGGATTAAAGTTTAAGTGACATAGTAATGTGTATAGAGTAAGCAGGGGTCCTTCGTGTCGATTGCCGGGTTGGGTACCTAAATAGATATTAGGGTTTTATGTTTTTTCAATAATGTTTCGGGACTAAAGTATTTTTTCCTAATTTCAATAAGCGTCTTCACTAGCAGTACCTACAAGAGTAAAAATATAATGTGATTTTAGGCCATAATATATCTCTGTACCAAATTTCATTCAGATCCGATCAGTGGATTTACATTACCAAACTGTCGTGTTTATAATTATATAAGTAATTATATTACTTTCTAACTAATGAAAAATATGTATATGTACTGGATCATGAAGGTTCAGAAGATTAAATAAGTCTTTCTCTTTTTCTAGGTATGGGTTCATTATGTTGGACAGTCGTAGCAGAATTATTTGACGGACCAGCTCGAGCAGTTGGCGCGTCCGTGGCAATAGGTGTCGCCACTTTCTTCGCCTTCCTAATTACCAAATACTTCGTATATGTGTCATTTGCTATCGGTGTTGCAAATGTATACTGGATTTTTACCTGTAATTGTGTTATCACGGCCTTATTTGTACTGTTTTTTATACCAGAAACGAAAGGCAAGACATTTTTGGAAATACAAGAGGAATTAGGACGAACAATTGAGAAGACAGATCTGAAATAAAATATATAGATTAGCTTTTGTTTTTTTTACCACATAACCATGAGTAATCCTATGATTTAAGTGTGTGGGAGCCAAGCTTCGGCATGAGAGTGGAACTCAACCGGAGTGATACTACGGCCTCACAGAAAAACGGCGAGAAGCAACACTCAAGTTGTGTTACGCCATGTGAGTGAGGTTACTGGTGGCCCAGATCTCCAACCCATCCTGAATTCTCAAATGCCCTATCCTTAAATATCACTTTTAGTAATTACTTTGGTATTACGAGTCTCCATGGGAGCTGATTGCTTACCACCAACTTATCTCGATTGCGACCTATGAAATGGAACAAAAGCCAATTTTTAAGCTACAAGCCAGGATTTAATGTAGATACAACCATGAAAAGTCCAAAACATTGAAGTCCCAGGGACATAAGTGTCTTGGATCTGCAATGAAATAAGTAAAAAGATATTTTTAGAGAATAAAAGTTAAATAGCTTCCATTTTCGTCGGTGAATGTATTGCCAATGAGATGCGATGCTGATGTTCATTAGGGCTCCAAGGGTGAGTTGTAATAGGGGTTGCTCAGTTAGGCCTTGGAGCTGGTCTTATAACAGGACCTGGTGTCCCTTAAAGGTGCTGTTTCAATAAAAGGTTAAGTCCGTCTCTTAAAGGTTTCCCTTTTTATGAGGAAGGAACATCTTCCAATAACCTCTCCCGCCTGACCCATCTTGCACCACCCAGGGTCATCAACATTATTTCGGTGAGACTTCGGGGGCAACATTCAATAGAAATAACAAAAGCATCTTTTATCACAACTTTATTATTAAAAATTTTACATTAAAGTACTAGTTACAGAAACAGTCATACTTCTGCAACACACTGAGGCAGGTTAAGATTGTTTCCAATTACTCAATTAATAGTAGGTATAGAATTTAAAACCATAAATATTTTAACACCATCATCAGTCATCACTTCATATCATAAATTGAGATTACATTACTTTAAGATTTATTATACCACGTCTGACCTTAGCGACGTTCTCAGCAGCACAGGCCTATCTACTTGAAGCATCATCATCATTTGCCTGATTTCGTGCATTGCTAGATATAGGTCTCCCCAATTGCACGCCACTGAGCTCGATGTTCAACTCTTTCTATGCAACCATTGCCAGCTACCCTGGACAACTGTTTAATTAACTCGAAATGCGGGGGAAAAGCGTCGCAGATCAATTTAGAGGCAAGCCAATTGCCATACACCGGATTCCGTGCGCTGAGCTTCTACTGCGTAATTTTTTGAAATCCATAAAAATGCCATTAGTTTTTGCACGACTTTAGAATCGTAGCAAAGACACCCAAGCAGTCGCGCTTGCGATCATCTTGTCCAGCACTTATTGGTTCTATTAAATCACAAACAAACATTCTTCTCATTCCAAATACTTAAATACTATTTTATTGTTTTTATCATTTACGAATTACTCACGTAAATTAAATTAGAAATGCTTCATGTTGCGGCGTAGGCGACATCACGCAACAAACGTTAGTGGGTCGTTATATATACTAATATTATAAAGAGGTAAAATTTGTAAGTTTGTATGTAAGGGGTAATCTTTGGAACCGCTGGTCGGATTGCCAAAATTTGATTTCCTGAATGCTATAGGCTATAAAACATCACGCTACGATCAAATGAAGCTGAGCAGTGGGTGAAACTGTGCAAGAGTAGCTAGTTTTCAATAAATTCAGTATGTCTCAAATAGTACAATAAATTAATCACATAGTACAATACTCTATTTTACATTTGCTTTGCATTGTCTGAACCCGAATCATCGAAATTCGAAACATTTCATTGCGGCCTCGCCTTTTGTCAATAAAAATAAATTTCACCTAGACAAAATCAGCAAAAATAATCCTTAATCTAACTTATTCTAAAAACAGTCTAGCACTTAGTATTCTCCTCTTTCTTCCCTCTCAAAATATCTTGGATTTCAGCAAAAGTCCTCCCCTTTGTCTCAGGTATACAGACCATTATGAAAACACATAACAATACACAATTTACGCTAAATATCCAATATGTTATAGCTGGTCCTATAGAAAGGGATACAATAGCGAAATATTTCGTCAACAAAAATAGGAATAGGGTCGTCATAACTAGAGATACTGACATTCCGATTCCTCTGGACGGTCCGTCGAAGAGTTCTGCGTTCAACACCCACATGAGGGAGCCGATTCCTGGAAGATATAAAAAAGATTTAAAATTGGCTTGTAAATAGAAGTTGTAAAGCTAAAACTAGATTTTAAAAACTGTTTCATCCATAAATACCTACAGTCATTGTTTTCTCAAAATTTTTCAAACGATAAAAGTGGTAAAAAAACAGAAATACATATTTCTTCGTGCTAAACTTTACTAAAGCTAGGAAAAAGGAGTTTTTGTACTATTTACATAAGGATTATTTTGAATTAATATAATAAAAAAAGAGTAATTTACCTGCACTATAACAGAATACGACCAGTATCAGTGAAATTAGTGGCACGTAGTTCATGAAACCATCCACAGGACCACTTTCTTTCAACTTGAAGAACAGGCCCAAACCAAACTGAAACAGAAATATATTTATAAGTAGGGACTCAACGATCACGTTCAAAAGAGGATCACCTAGAAGAGGGCCCTACCAGGCGAAAGAATAGTGAAAACTGTCTTACAGGATCATGCTATGCGGTTGCGGGGTAAGCGCAATGAGGCACCGCGACCTCGGCCTAGAGCAGGAGTAGGAACAGGGGGGTTTTTAGTCAGTAAGAGTCTGACACTCCCTCCCGCCTGACCCTGGGCGGGAGAAGTCATTTGATGATTTTCCCCTGACATAAAAAAGGATCATGCTATGCAAAATATTTTACTTTGATTGTATTATTTTCTTTCTAATCACACAATCATAATCGCAAAAAGGCCGCCAACCCACTCGTGACTCTTCGGGTGGCGCCGATGGCTTACCATCAGGTAATCCATCTGTTAGGTTGGCGACTTATGAAATAAAAAACATCATAGAAAATTATTTTAAAATTAATTACGGGGCCACTCATTTCGGGTTACCACTTCGAAACTTCGTCATTCGAAACTTCTTGTCCAAAATGTCAGTGACCCTCCCCAATATCCGGAGGGATCATTACTGCCTAACAACTTTCCCTCCTAACACCAATGGCAAGTACGAATGCAAATACCTGAGGCTAACGTTCAGGAATGAAGTGGCATCAAGAAGAAAAACAATATTCAAAGTGACAGATTATCTTGTTGATGGAGTGGGGTCAAGGGTTGATTACAGTATACTAATGGGTTTAATAGATTTGAGTTAATTGTGCGGTTTTGCAAAATCATCTTAGTACGTAGTAGACTTATGTACGAGTATAATGTTTCTGATCTATGGCAATACCTTATTGTAAGGAATTCGAATATACTGATGGACTTTTTAGAGCGGCAATCAACCTGACTTTTTTTCGTTGCTTATTGGTTATTAGACTTAGGAAATTTAGGCACTGGGAAGCGATGGGTCTCTGGTAACCTCACTCACACGGCGAAACACATGCTGTAATTTTTTAAGGCCGTGGTATGACTTTGGTCTAGCCGACCCGAAGCATTGCTCTCCTGCACTTAAATACATGGATGTCGTGCTTATAGTTTTTTGTTTGCTTGCCAGAACTTTCCGAAATTTGCAACTCCAACAAGCCAGCATCTACTACTGTAGATGTTTGATGATTTGTTCGTACCTATTGGTACTAACATAAAAACACCGAAAGCGCGGCACACGAAAATATAATTAGAAGAAAAGAAAACGAGTTTCCTCTTTCCTAAATTAATTTCTTAGAAAAGACAGAATTACTAAAGTCAAAAGAGCGTGCTATGTATTACTTATTGATTTGAAAAATGAATAAAAAAATAAAGTACTCACCATTCCTATTCCCATGCCAACACAAGTGACAGACAATATAGGCTTCCTTCCAAATCGATCAGTTACTAAAGTGGTACAGAAACTAGCAAACAGCTGAATAAGACCAATAGTTACAGAAGCCATTTCAGGCCTAACCGACGTCTGGGTTGACTCCAAGACCGTCTGAAGGTAGAAAGAAACCGCATTGAAACCCACAAATTGTGACCCAAAGCCCAAAGTTAAGACTAGGATCAACGATTTCAAAAATAATCGGTTCTTTATTAGGTCTTTTTTGGAGACACTTTCTGTGTTCATTTCATCGGCCTTTTCAAATTCAGCTATTTCTTCTTTTGCTTGTGTTTCCGAGCCTCTCAGGAATGTTAGGACTTTCAGTGCTTCAGCTTTGTGACCTGGAATTTTAAGATTAAATGGTGAAGTTGAAAGTTGCAATGTTACAGTACCTACATCAAAACACGACTATGAAAAAAATTAAATATAAAGAACAAGTTCGGTTCAGAAGTACAGAAAATAATTGAGATAAAGTAACTTAAAAAACAAGTATCTACAATTGAGTTCGGTTCAGTACAGTTAGTCTTCTAGACTTAAATATTCGCATCTAATAAGATTGGGGATTGAGGAAAAATAATAGTGTGTCAGAAAAATAATGAGAAAAGTATTATTGTCAAAATAGTTTGTATGTGTATAATTATGTTTATAGTTTTGGTTTTTTAGTTTATAAAATAAACAGTAAAATACATAGATATTCTCCATCTCTCTCCATCTCTTTAAGGTGACGTTATTTAATACTCTGAAGTAGTAGTTCTTTTTACAACTTCATCTTCGTCATCGTAATAATCATCTTCAGCAAGGGCCTCTTGTTTCATGGAGAAGGTTCATTCCTTCTGGAGTGGATTCATGGAGAAGGTTTTGGGATTTCGAACTAATAATTTGCAATTATAATTATTCAGTTTTTTTATGATTTTTTTATTTACTATGTCAGTGGTGTCTATGTATTCCTATAAAGTACCTACATATAACACGAAAACAGTCACATAGGTACCTTAACGGCAGGCGTATTAACCTTCAGAGTTCAGGTCTAATACTTCTAAATGTGACATTACATTTGATAACTACAATAGGCAACTAACGCTACGTGACAAAAACACTTGTACGATGAAGAATAAATGGAACGTGTTAAAATGTACTTAGATTTATATGAGACTAACGGCTCGTCGCTGCTTAGGATGGATGGCTTAGTACCTTAGTGGCAGTCATTTGTTTTATGAGCAAATCGCACAGCATCGACACGGTTGTTATTTTGTGAGGTAAAAGGGAGTCCTGTACTTTTCTTAAACTTTATTTTATAAGGACCTTTTCTTGGTCCTTGTAAACACAGAATTAATAAAATATCAGAATCTGCCTAGTTGTGCACGCGTGATTCCATGACAATGGTAATTTGGGATTCATTTCTGTGTATAAAGATTACAGTACATTGATATTCTTTGTTCTCAAGCGCAATAATATTAATTTCTACTGATACCGGTCTATTTAACAGACATTTTTAATTTGGTTTGTAAGAACGATACATGTATTCTTTAGAACAGATGGGTAAAAACCTGCAATGATGGCGGTTATCGAAAAATGAAGGTGGCAATTATAACGACCCTCTTTATTTTAAATCATAATCAAAATATAAATACAATTATAATAAACAGCCTGTTACATATTCAATTTGAGTTTGTGGGCACAAATTCTATTTTTAGGGGGAAAATCATCGCATGACTTCTACAGCGCTGGATGGGTTGGAGAGGGAGTGTCAGACTCTTACTGAGTAAAAACACCCCGTTCCTTCTCTTGCCTCGAGCCGGAGCTGGGGTACCGTATTTCGCTAGAAAGTTTGGCAGAAGAAGGAATGGGGGTTTTTAGTCAGTAAGAGTCTGACACCCTCTCGCCTCACCCTGGGCAAAAGAATTCATTTGATGATTTCCCCTCACAAAAAACAATTCAATATTTATTAAATATTTATAAATGAGGTATACCAAGGATTAACTTACCTCTAGAATACAAAGAATAGGGTCCGTCAGGTACTATCAACAACGGCAGTGTCGTAAATGTGATGAAGCCAATGTAGATCCAGTTCAGCGTCGTGTAGGATATGAATGGTCCCATGGAAAGCATGGTGACCACGCCAAACGAGCACATGATTTGGAGTATGGTGCCCAAACTGCCGCGAATTTCTTTCTGGAATGAAAAGTGGTAATTTTAGGGTAAGGTTGCAATATAATAGACAGTTCACCAGCAATCACACGACCAAAGAAGTTGCAAGAACTTTAAGGGCTTAGGGATTTGCGGATTGGGGTATTTTGTGATAGTGGATGGACTAGGGGAGAATTGTGTCTCCAGTACTATCACTCATTACACAACATAACACAGGCGTTGTTTCACGTTGGATTTCTGTGAGGGTATCACTTCCTGCACGATGGACTAAACTGTTGGTGCGGTGGCTGTGCAACTGGCAACCGCGCAACGCGTTGTGGGTTCGATTCCCGCACGGAACAGCTCTTGTGTGATCCACAAATTGTTGTGTGATGTATATGTGAATTATATGTTACAAAACGCACCCATGATACAAGAAAAAACCCTACAATGGGCCAACGTTTTTTTTTTAAAACCTTCGGTTGAGCCTGCTCATTCGGGCCAAAATAAGGCTCACTCACATTTAGTTATGGAAGAGATTATGAAATAATCATATGTAATTTTACGAAAAGACAAGGGAATTTGATTGAATACTAATACTGGTGTAACAGGTATAAACAGGTTACCGTAACGGTTTTTCTGAAGGTGGACACCATTCGTTTGTTTACAACCTCTTCTTGTTTTAATTTTTCATCGGTGTTTTTATGAATGAGAATGAGACTCACTTACGTATACTTGTAGGTATGGATAATAACACATACCATTTATCAAATGAACGATTGAATTTATTATTTTCAAATATATGTAGAATTTTTAGTGAGCGCTCGGCTAGCTTTTGTCCAGGCTTTGTCGGTAAAGTAATTAATTTTTTATAATAACTATCGTGAGACATACTAAATTAACCAGTAGGCTGCGCGACGTCGCCGCGTCCGCGCACGCTGCTCATGAAGAAGAACCCCTCTGTGGTTCGAAACTAGTAGAGCTTTTCTCAAGATAGACACGTGAGTAACCCGCGATTTTTAGTTAAGTAATTAATTATCACTATATAATAGCTTCCACTCGCAGCTTCGTCCGCTTCGTATGTTGATAAAAAATAGCCTATGTCCTTTTCCGGAGTGTATCCTATGTCTGTGGCAAATTTCATCCAGATCCATCCAGCCGTTTAGGCGTTATTGAGTAACAAACATTAAAACGTCGTAACTTACGCATTTATAATATTAGTAACATTTCGTTCCGCCTCAAAATAACTAATATTTTCGGATTACGGATTGGGGTAGGGAAAGGATTGGGCCTCCGGTAACCTCACTCACACGGCGAAACACAACTCTTTGGTTATTTCACGCCGGTTTTCTGAGAGGCCGTGGTATCACTCCGGTCGAGTTTATCCATTCGTGCCGAAGCATGGCTCTCCCACACTTACCTTACCTTTAAAACCTTCCTTTGACTTCCACGAATATTTTAACTCAAAATTACCCAAATCGGAGCTGTAGTTTCCGAGATTTAGCGCAACTAACGAACAGCAATTCATTTTTATATAAGATTTATATCACAAATAAAAATTATACCGATGTGTATATTTTTATATGGTACCTACAAAAACTTGAACAAAAACCAGTATATTTTTATAATATTTTACCCAAAATAAAGTAATTCATACAATTATTTCTAATTATACTTTAAGAGTCTGTTCTTAATGAATGATTTTAATAAAAATAAGACATTTTTCTGCATACTGCATATATAATTTCCTTTGTGCAGTGATAGTGATTATAAATATTTTTTTGTCAAAACAAGGTCAAGGATTTTTATTTATTTTTTGAATAATTCATTGTGTATACGATTAATTCAATTAATAAATACATACTTTTTTTTTAACCTAACCCCAAAAGAGTTTTTTTTTTTTTTTTTTTTTGTGTGGGGAAAATCATCAAATGACTTCTCCCGCCCAGGGCCGGGCAGGAGGGAGTGTCAGACTCTTACTGACTAAAAACCCCCCTGTTCCTTCTCCTGCTCTGTGCCGAGGTCGCGGTACCTCATTGCGCTTTCCCCGCAACCCCGGCTGAACATCAGCCCTTTAGGGCCCCGTCTGTGGTGGTCGAATGGCTCTTTGAGGCGCGCGCGGAACGCTACGCGCCGTACGCTCGGCCCTGGTTCTGGTCGGGCGGCGAGCTGCCCTTACTCGCCGACCGCAGGCCCGTGCTTACGGTGGCCGGAGATCGTTCCTCGATCCCCGACGCCCGTAGCCTTTTGGGGATAAGGGTATATTTTTGACTGCACGGTTGGCGCGGTGGCTGGGCAACTAGCTGCCGTGCAACGCGCCGGTTCGATTCCCGCACGGAACAACACTTTGTGTTATCCACAAATTGTTCTGGTCGTGCTTCAGCATGGCTCTCCCACACACAAAACCAAATTCAAAACAAGATTTCTTCATTATTATACATTTTCTTATCATGTTCCATCGAAAACCACTGTTCATACAGTGACTTTGAAAGCCAAAAAACCGCATATGCAAGTACTTACGCTAGCAATTTCTGAAGAGTACATAGGCAGTATGGTGAAGATTCCAGCATCAGCTATGCCCACCAACGCTCTGCCCAGTAACAACATCCAGACTTCCGAAGCGTATATATAGAGGAAGCCAGTCACAAACTTCGGCAGACAAACGAGGATCAGGAATGGCTTTCTGCCAAGCAGGTCTATTAATGTGGTGCCAATGAGGAGGTTCGCTGGAATTGAGAAAAGAGAAAATTAAACAGTATTGTAGAAAGTTTACAGAAGCTCCTAGCTAACGAAAAATAACAATAATACAACTATAACCGCGTGGACAGCATGGATACTATGAATCAATGTACACAAAACAAAATAAAAAATGCATAAAGATATCCTTAATAGCGGTAACGAAACCATAGCGCGATCTATTTCGATCCCAACGCCATCTATCGAGCCTAAAGACAACATTTATACAATTTAACGTTAAACTAGATTCTAAATTCGATTGATCACACTATGGCTTCGGGTACAACGTGACACAGCATTGTATGTTCGAACAAACTGATGTAAAGATATTGTTACAGAGGTTTTGTGTTGATACGGATATCAAAAATGATGTCCAAATCGATGTATAAGATTGTACTGAGAGATAGGTGGGACATCCCCAAGATGGCTAACTAAATACGGCTTTAAACGTAAGTGTCAGTCGTTACATTGTTTGTATATTAGAGTGTGGTTGAAATTGAGCGGTCTTCAGAAGTTCTGATGAGCGCGTTTACACAAATAAGTGTGAGAGAGCCATGCATTGGCACTAGAAGGCAGGGTCGAACGGAGTAGTGATAGGACGGCATCGCAAAAAATATGACAATCAACAATGCTAGCGTTGTGTTTCACATTGTGGATTGAGGTTATCGGAAGAACTGCAATCCTATTTCCCCCATTCTCAATCATCTAACCCCGGAACCACACTTACGACTCTTGATGTTGCGGGTGTCCATTGGCGACGTTGATTGCTTACCATCAGGAAATCTGTATGTTTGTATCCCGTAAAAATCTGTCTCTAGACTTTACAATAAGTATACATGTAGATAAAAACGTGAGTAAATTTGTCACCAGACTTAGGCCTTGTTTACGTAAACACACTGTTTTTTTCGTTTGTCGTATGTACATACATTGCCGCTGATCGCGTCTTTTGCTCGCGAAAACACAAACATAATGAGCAATGGACGACGAACACGTCTTTATATTTGGGGCCGTAATTAGTTGACCGAACTCACGTGCTCTTACTATTTTGCTAAACGTTCTGTATCGTGCACTTAGAGTAGACTGTTATTATAGATAATTCGTTTCATCCGGTCTACAGTCAATGCCTTCGCTCTTCGTACACTTATTCCAGTGTTTATCATTGCTTTTTGAGTAGTAGGCACTTACTTAAAAACTATGTCATCATTATCATCATCTATAAATGATAAAGTGTCTCTTCTAAATCAGGGTTCCGAGTAAAGTGCAATAAGAGTAAATATGCAGTAAATATGCAGTGCAGCGTGATTTGGTGCAGGAGAAGGATTGGAGTGGTTTTTAGTCAGTAAGAGTCTGACAGGGACGGAGTAGGAAGAAAGGGATTTCTTCCTACCCAGCGTGGAAAAAATCATTAAGTAGATGATTTTTCCAATAAACAAGATCTCATCAACATAACAGAGATTTGCCTAATTTGCCCCGCTTGGAAATTAGATTGAGCATCGCAGTTTTAAAATCTTGTATATCAGATTTCGCAGATGCCAGTTTTTTAGTTACCCACTGTAAAAACAGAGGTCTGGAAAAACATATTGTACTCAATCTTCAGTCACCACACGGTAAAAGTAACGGCGTTTTTATTTTTATTGAAACTTGCAGGCTTCCTAATTTTCGGTTGCGAGACAAGCGCAATATGGTGCCAAGAAGAAGAAGGAACTGGATTGTTTTTAACCAGCAAGTGTCCAACACTCCTAGTCACGTCACCCTGGGCGAGAGAAGTCATTTATGATCCCCCCCACATTTTTCACAATAATTTTAATTTAGCTATAGGATGTGATCTACTAAATTAGAAGCTCGTTAGATGGATGGTAATCATGATAATAGGTCTTCATTTATTGTGTACATATTAACTACAATTTTTAACTGTCATATAAAGTACGGATATTCCCATGAGTCATGGTACAATCAGCATTAAAATAGACCAATGTTTTAAAAATATGATACAAATATTTGCCTATTAATTTACACTATAGTGTATGTACTAGTGTCAGGTATTGGAGTCTGTTCTTTGTGAACAACGCACGAAAGTCCTCTTTTGAAGGATTGGTCCTCCGGTATCAAAACGCTGTGGTTGTGTCACGCCGGTTTCCTGTGAGGTCGAGCTGACCCATTCATGCGGAAGCTTGGCTCTCTCACACGTAAAACGAATTGTCTTTGCCCACCAAACTACAAATCTTTCCAAAAATCTTCTATTCTATTCTCACCTATAATTCCAGCTAGAAATCCGATGGAGACTATCCAGGATCCCTCCTCGGCGGTGATGACCCTGGGGAGTACAGTCTCCGTCGCATTGTTGAGCTTGACCAGCACTGGTGAAGGCCAGGCCAGGCCTAAACCAGCGCATAGCATGCTGAGATTCACTGAAACAGAAACAATGTTACCAATAAGTACGTGTGCACCAATAACAATATGGTTATATTCTCTTTGGTGTGCATTATCTACCTACATACTTATGTATAGTTATATTCTACACGTTGTGTAGTGCGTACATGCAGTTAAGTCACTCATAATTTGATGACAAGTCACAACCGCGGGACAAGTCAGGGAGTGTCAAACTCTTACTGACTAAAACCCCACCGTTCCTTCTCCTGTTCTGGATCGAGGGCCATGGTGCCTCAATGCGCTTACTCCGCAACCCCAGCTGAACATCAGCCCTATAGGGCCCCGCCTGTAGTAGTCTTATTCTATTTTTTTATTTATTTTATTTTATTTTTTAAAAAACGTTGCCCCACTTTAGCATTTCCTCCTGTGTTGTGGGTGCGTTTACAAACATACAATGTCACATAGACATGACACACAGACCCAAAACAACAATTTTTGGATCTCACAAAGTGTTGTTCCGTGCGGGAATCGAACCCGCGACACGTTGCACGGCAGCCAGTTGCCCAGCCACCGCACCAACCGTGCAGTCTAATGGCTATTTGAGGCGCGCGCGGAACGCTACGCGCCGTACGCTCGGGTCTGGTTCTGGTCGGGCGGCAAGCTACTTTACCTTACTAGCCGTCAGCTGGCAGACCCTCGCACATCTATACTAATGTTATAAACCTGTAGAGTTTGTTATAACGCTTTCATCCCTGGAACTACTACTGATTTGAAATTAACAATTATTTTTGTGTTCGTTAGTAATAAAATACCACGCTACGATCTGTAGGAGCCACGTGTAAATAAAATAGGTACGAAAAACGTCTAATTACATAAATTACTACGGAAATCCAGCCACCGCAGCACCAGTAGATACTAATGTGTTCACAAATATGGCACGTTATTGTAAACTGACCTTTAACTGATGTAAAAACCTGAAAGATGAAAATTATTGATGACGTAATATAATCATGGGTAATCCCTCCTAATCAAAATACTACTAATAGTAATGTAAATTGTGGTTTAAGTATCCCATTTCATGTAGATTATCTTAATTTGTCTAAACGCCCTCTTCCTGAGGTCCGGGACCCTGTGGTCCCGTGAATGGAAGTAAACACATAAAATAATATCATCATAAATGCTAATGTAATAATGAATAAGAGTCCCGTTGTGACTTGAAACTAGTCGAGCTTTTCTCAATTAATTCACGTGAGTAAGTCGTTATCTATACTAATATTATAAAGAGGTAAAATTTGTAAGTTTGTATGTTTGTAAGTTTGTTTGTAGGGGGTAATCTTTGGAACCGCTGTTCGGATTTCCAAAATTCTTTCACTGGTAGTTAGCTACAATGTTCCTGTCCTACAGTGTGCAGCGGGTGAATCCGCGCGCGAGTAGCTTGTTTTCAATAAATGTGATGATGTATTTACGTTTTTTTTGAGAGAAACAAGTGCTACATCACGCCAGTGAGTCCAAAATAATAAGTAACATCGTACAACGTGTTAAGCCGTAGCTAGGCGGAAGACCCTCCTTTTCCGATCTTAGAGAATTGTATTCTCTATTTCCTAAAATATTCCTTTTTGATAATGGACCCAGAAAACTTATTCCGAAAGAATCTTCACTATACATGGACCTCATTTATTATAATTGGCAAAAAGTTGACTTAAAATGCGCTGCCGTGCTCACCCAAACTTAAAAACAATGCTTATACGTATAGGATAAAGAAGTATTTTCAATGGACATAATTGCTTAGTCAAAAAACATTAGCGGATGGTAACAAAAACTTGTGTACCTACTTTAGCTTAACCAATATTTATTAGAATCCATTGAATTTTGCGGTTAACTCTGGTATCTTATTCACACTTTTTTAACTAAAAGAGGTCCTTTAAATATGTTATGTAGTTACGTAATCGCAAATTGATTGAATATTAAACTTAAGTTTGCACAACATTTTGTAACATCACATTAAGTTTTTGAACGCATGGAGTTTTACAGAGCCGATTTGCCAGACGAATGGATCGACTTATCCCGAGTAATATCACGGCTTCAAAAACATCCGTATAGCAACGCTTGCGTTGTTTCACGCCATATGAGTATTGTTATCCAAGGCTTCATCCAAATCAGGTTAATCAGAGAGCGCTGTTGCTATGCCATCTGTGCATATGAAATTTCTTAGGACTTATTACGACGTCGAAGATCGAGACACGATCTCCGGCCACCGTCGGAGCGGGTCTGCAGACAGCGAGCAAGGGTGAATCGCCACCCGATCAGAACCAGACCCGAGCTTAGCGTTCCGCGCGACTATTACAGATGGAGTTGAATAGGACCGATGATCTGCCAGGGTTGCGGGATAAGCGCAATTAGTTACCGTGACCTTGGGCTAGAGCAGGAGAAGGAACGGGGGGTTTTTAAGAGTCTGACACTTTCTCTCCCTTACCCTGGGCGGAAGGAGTCATTTGAGGATTTCCCAACCATTAAAAAAAGGCCTTAGAGTCAGTTCACACCGAGACGCGACCGACAAGACCCAAGTGAACAGTGAGGGTGGTATAGTATACTAAACTTCGTATCAATGATAATACAACAGCTATTCTGTATATAGGACACTATCTCTCTATTGTCAGTCCTATTGCCAGAATTGCACAATGCACAACAAGACTCCATGATTGGTCCAAATTGTATACTTCCCTTCGTTTTGTAAACTACTTAAGTACGTTGGCTTAAATGATCTTCATCATCATCATCAGCCTATAAATGCCCACTGCTGAGCAATGGCCTCTTCTCACATGGAGAAGGTTTGAGCATTAATCACCACGCTTGCTCAATGCGGGTTGGCGATTTCAAACTTACAATTAGAAATTATAAGTCCAGGTTTCCTCACGATGTTTACCTTCACCGTATGTCAGTGGTGTCTAAATAATCATAGAAAGTACATATAACTCGGAAAAAGTCACATTGGTACTTGCCAGGTTTCGAACCCACACCCTCATGCACGAGAAACGGGCTCCTTAACCTTCGGGCCACCACGACATAAATGATCTTAGAAGTCTTTAATAACGAGGTCTGGCAGAACTGAAATTTTATGGTATCTTAGGCCGTAGGTTTTTTTGCTATCGTTGGGAAATCTTCCAAAGAACTTATTGCGTGGGACAGAAGGTGAAAAACAGTATAGGGTCGCTGTACATTATATGGCTTGCTCCCGCAACCCCGGCTGACCATTGGTGTTATTGGGCGCAATTTATGGTGTTGTTTAATCTCTAAACGGCCAAGTCACGCATCCTTAACTGTAATAATAACAAAATCGCAATACCTTAGACCTTAAACGTAGCACGAATTTGTTATATTTCATTACAGCAGCTCCATTGACACTTGTTATGAATGTTTTGGTGGGTATTTTTTTTCTGTCATCAAGACTGTATAGTTGACGCGGTGACAGGGCGGATGGCTCAGCCGAGGTTGCGGGGTAAGCGCAATGAGGCACCGCTACCTCAGCCCAGAGCAGGAGAAGGAACAGGGGGGTTTTTATTCAGTAAGAGTCTGACACTCCCTCCTCTGGGTCTGGGTGTGGGATGTGTATGTGAAATTGTATGTTTATAAACGCATACACGACACAGGAGACACTCGTCACGTAGGTACGTATGTTTTAGTAATCTAACGTAGTAATTTTATATTTATTTATTTAACAAAAGTACAATTTTCAGAATTACCTTTGGTTCCCCTTATTAAAGATCCTCGCCATACATATCGTTTAACCGCGAGAAGCGCTCATTTCTTTTCTTTTTTCTTACTACCTCATTACGTACCTTATAATTACCATAAAAAAGAAAACGAAAATCAAACCAAAGAAATACACATTATAAAAATTAAAGAATGCATTGCCTATGCAATTCTTGACCCAACTTTTTCTTCAACATAAACAGACTCACTTTATTTTCCTCTCTCAATAAATCTATTTTATTGAATGTTTTTGGCACTATGTGTTTTTTAGTTCTCTCACCATAGTAGTTTATTATTTTAGGTTTATTGAACATGTGTTAATGTTAATTTATTAAAAATTTCTTCCCATCCCGGGGCGAGAGAAGTCCTTTGATAACTTTATCCTTCAAAAAAAGCCCAATGGGATATAGCTACAAGTTTATGCGGTACTTTAGGTGCCTTCCTCAGACGTCAGCAATACGCTGTCCTTTACCTTGACGTACGTAAAAGATGAGGAAGGAAAATATATATGCACTTATGAGAGTCAAGAAACTTGATTTCTAACTTAATACATTTAGGAATCAAAATGCCATGATTGTAAATTTGTTAGTATGACGTGCAAATTAATGAATTTTATATTTTATTATCCTTGTAATAAAACTTTCTTTCGTCCTTGTTGTTATTCATGCACTTGAGAGACTAGGAAATTGAATTTTAGTGACAACAAAATAGGAACTAAATTTCAATGACAGTGATAAAGTTGTTAGTTTGAGAAGTACCTATAATAGATTTTAATTTTTATCCTGTAAGTTAACCTTTTTCCTGGCCTTGTCATTCTACAAAATAGAAATGTTTGGGAAAGTGTTTGGATACGTATTTCTGCATAGTTACTATTGTGTCACCTCACAGCTAGACTCGGAACATGAATTTATAGAACTCACAAAGAAAATAAATGTTCTGTGAGGGCATTGAAGACACGATAATTGTGTTTCAAACAAAATTAAAGTATAGAGCGTAATATTATATAGACATTAAATATTTCGATGAGACAATGATAATTTTTTTTCCAAATAGACCATTAATTTTTTTTAATTGTTAATAAAAAACTCGATAAATCCGGCATTACCTATCTGACTACTCTGAGAAGAAATGCCGAAACAAACTCAGAGGTCAGTCTCTTTTCAAGTCCAGACAATGTAAAAATAACATAATATGAGAGAACCGTGCAAGTTCATTCTGTAGTGGTCTTTTGAGGAAAGAACCACACCAGTTTAAGTGGACCCGTTCTGAAGACAGGCACGCAAGTGTCAGTTTGCAACCAGTATAGCTAGTGCTACTGAGTTGTAGTAGTAGAAGTAATAAAATATAATGTGTGAGAACCGATGTCCAGACAACTTAAATGAAATGGTTTTTATAATATTTTATTCCATCCCGGTTAACTACTGGTAACTTTTTAGGGGAGACTGAAAGCGTAAATATTTATCAAGGTCCCGGCTCGGAGAAGAAGAAAGAAAGGGGTGGTTGTAAGTCAGTAACAATCTGACACTCCCTTTTGCATCATCCAGGACGACATATTAACATTTGATGAACCTCCTAACCAACCCAAGGCGGGAAACAACATTTGTGAGGACCACCTAGAGGACACGGTGGAGCATACGGTGGCAGAGTGCTCTGCTTGGGCTGAGCACCGTCATGTCCTCAGAGAAGTGATCGGCGGCGGCGACCTCTCGCGCCCGGGCTTAATCGAGGACATGGTTCAAAGCGAGAGGAACTGGGAAGCTATCTCCTCCTTCTGCGAAGCAGTTATGATCGCAAAGGAGGAGGCGGAGCGCGTGAGGGAACTATCCTCCTCGCGCCCCAGGCGCTGCAGAAGGCGACATTCCGGGCGTCGGGGATCGAGAGATGATCTCCGGCCACCGTAAGCGCGGGTCTGCGGACGTTGAGTAAGAGTAGCTCGCCGCCCAACCAGAACCAGGCCCGAGCGTTCCCCGTGCGCCTCAAATAGCCAATAGACCGCCACAGACGGGGCCCTATAGGGCTGATGTTCAGCCGGAGTTGCGGGGTAAGCGCAATGAGAGACCGCGACCTCGGCCTAGAGCAGGAGAAGGAACTGGAGGTTTTTAGGCAGTAAGAGTCAGACACTCTCTCTCGCGTTACCCTGGGCAGGAGAAGTCATTGGATGACTTTCCCCTGACAAAAAAAGGCGAGAAACAACATGTGATGATTTTTTGTATTCTAAAAAAACCACCGCTTCTAATATGTGACCCTCAATGAAACGACAGACAAAACAAACAGAAAATACTGTATTTACTTATTTAAACAATTTAATTATTTAGCTACATTGTTGATTAACAAAGGACATTAGAGTTAGTCACATGAATTCTCAAACTATCATATCAACTATATACCTAGGTATCAGAAAATACCGAATTGAATAGAAATGCGGTGCAAGGACATACCTAGGTACTTTATTTTAGTATTTAATTAGGTCAATAATAGTATGGTGAGCAGATATACTTCCAAGGTTATTAGAAAGTTCAAGGTTAAAGAAGACTAGAAACATACATAGGTTTTTTTAGGGAAAACCATCAAATGACTTCCCTCGCCTAGGTTCGGGCGGGAGGGAGTGTCAGACTCTTACTGACTAAAAACTCCCCCGTTTCTTCTCCTGCTCTGGGCCGAGGCCGCGCTGACTCATTGCGCTTATCCTAGCTCTTTCAGTCGAAACTGCAATTTCATTCAGAATTGGTGAAAGAGTTATGCTTCGGCATAAAAGGGTCGGCACGATCCGAGTGACACCACAGCTTCACAAAAATCGGCGTGGAAAAAGCACACGTACATATTATACTACAACGAGACCGTTGTGTTTCGCCGTGTAAGTGAGGATATCCTACCCTATCCTACTTCCCCTCCCCCAATCACTAAATCACCAAAACCCTAAAACCCGTTGCATAAAAGGTCGGCAACGCTGCTGCTATGATGTTGTCGCGTTAGAATGTTTGTATAAGACAGTGACAGCAACAATTTTATTCCTCAGATAACAATAATTTATCTGACTATTGAAAAAGCATTATTTAATTGTTTTTTTTTAATGTTATAAAGTCGTCAAACGAGCAGTCGGATTACCTGATGGTAAGCAATCAGCGCCGCCCATGGACACCCGCAACGGAGGAGTTACGAGTGCGTTGCCGACCATTTAGTGATTAGGGATTTGGAGATTTAGGGATTGGGGAAGGGTCCGGGAAGGGGAAGGATTGGGCCTCCGATAACCTCATTCACACGGCGAAACACAACGCTGTGGTTGTTTCATGCCGGTTTTCTGTGAGGCCGTGGTATCACTCCGGTCGAGCCGACCCATTCGTGCCGAAGCATGGCTCTCCCACACTTGAGTGTTCTATTTTCCTTCAAAGTATCGATTAAAAACATTTTTGAATTTAGAAATCATTTACTTTACAGATTTTCGATTCTATTACAATAGTAATAAAGTTAAAAATCAATATCCACACCTAAGTAAACTGTTATGATTGCATGCACATAGTTGTTATATGTGTGAAGTAGATGGTATGTACTAGTATTAACTTTGGAGGTCATTATACCGATTGATTTAAACTACCAATGGGGATGTGTATGTATATATCAAGGTTTTGGTAGTTTCAAACCATTTTGAACCGTGTCACTATGTATTCTAAATTGAAAGTTGAATGACATAGGTATTCCATTAAAAGTGAGTAACCTTGTATGGATGGATTGGGTTTAGTCTCGTGTTCGTCATCACTGACTGTCGGTCTAGACGGTACTGGGTTCGATTCCCGTGTTCAACAAGATTTCAAATTTATTATTTGCAGAATATGGGTAAGTTAACAAGATGGTCGTGGTTGTGGTGGCCCCGAGGTTAAGGCGCCCGCTTCTCATGCATGAGGATGTGGGGTCGAAACCTGGCAAAGTACCAATGTGACTTTTTTCAAGTTATATGTACTTTCTATGATTATTTAGACACTACTGACATACGGTGTAGGTAAACATCGTAAGGGAATCTGGACTTATAATATCTAATTATAAGTTTGAAATCGCTAACCCGCATTGATTAGCGTGGTGATTAATGGTCAAACCTTCTCCGTGTGAGAAGAGGCCGTTGCTCAGCAGTGAGCACTAATAGGCGGATGATGATGATGATCAAGATGTTCTAAAATGAAATTTAAAAAAGCCATAGTCAGACTCACACTATGCAAATATAAATTAGGAGTCATTCGTTTTTATGTTCGGTAATGCTACTCATATTACGAACTCGAAAATTTTGAGTAAGGACGGGTGTTTGTTACTTTTTCACGTTCGTACTTAAAAACTTCTTAACGAATTTGAATGAAATTCGGTATAGATTAGGTATATAGTCCGGAATAACAGATAGGCTACTTTTTACCCTGGTATTAAAAGAGGAATTTTTTTTTAAGCTAGTAATAGCCCTCTTTGCAATGCCTGAAAAAGGCCGTTAAGCTGTGCCTGTCATTTTAATTAAGACCCTTGTACCTATCTTAACCTGCAAAGAAAGACTTCGCATTTGTCAAAATTCTTTCACTGATAGATACTTAGCTATAATGTTCCTAAGTGCTACCTATAGAGCAACTTAAACCGCGTGAGAGTAGCTAGTAGGCCTATAAACTTAAAGGCTAGGTCTATAAAATATATACATACATTTCCCTGTGTAAATAGGCTCTCAGCATACATATTAAACACAATACATATGTGTTACCTTTTCCTCGATAAACATTTCAAAGTTTAATCACGTACACGGTTTTAAGTAGATGTATTTTACGACTATGATTGACCTTCTTCAATACTAATAAATTATCATAGTATAAGTTTTTATGTCGCCAAAAAAAGTTCCGATTACAAAAACACTTGGGTCAGATAACTCTATATTATAAAGAGGTAAAATTTGTATGTTTGTATGTATGTAGGGGTATGTTTGGAACCGCTGGTCGGATTGCCAAAATTCTTGCACTGATAGATAGTTACAATGTTCCTGAGTTCTATGAGCTATAAAACATCACGCTACGATCAAATGGAGCCGAGCAGCAGGTGAAACCGCGAGAGAGTAGCTAGTAAAGTAATATTGGGGTACGTTGCCCGGTTTTATTTTTGCGAGGGAAAAATCATTGTAGGATTTCTCTCGCTCTGATGTAATATGTGGGCGAGAGGGAGTGTCAGACTCTTACTGACTAAAAACCCCCCAGTTCCTTCTCCTGCTCCGTGCCGAGGTCGCGGTACCTCATTGCGCTTACCCCGCAACCCCGGCTGAACATCAGCCCTATAGGGCCCCTTCTGGTGAGTGAGGGTGCTGGAGGCACAACTCTTCTCCATCCAACCCCCAATATGAGGGTAACGCACTTGGAACTCCTTTGAAAACTAACTCATGAGTAGGTACGACCTCTTAGTTGGTAGGTTATTATAATAATAATATGATAACACGGGTTGCGGATTCAAGCGCTGAACATCAGCCCTTTAGGGCCCCGTCTGTGGTGGTCGAATGGCTCTTTGAGGCGCGCGCGGAACGCTACGCGCCGTACGCTCGGGCCTGAGATCGTCCCTCGATCCCGAGGCTGCGATTGGATTATTGCGCTTGCCTCTCATCCGTATTTGTCTGGGTTACTTTTTAAAAAAAGAAAACATTTAAGAATATTTGCTTAATGTTTGTTTTTTTGTGGAGACACTTATAGGTAGTATTATTTAGACTTTTATTTATGTGCGTATTGACAATCGATGTATTTTTATAAAACGCATTTTTTTGGCTTTTTAACTAAAAGGTTATTTTATCTTAGTAATAATATGTTTTTGAATACGCTCCATTTCGATGTAAGTGCATAGAAAGGAAAGTCAAATGTTATTATCTCATCAAAACCATCATCTTGGTAGGTCCCCAAGACAAGTTACCAGATCCTCTTAATAGGCACTATTATATAACATAATAGATTTTTTAAATAAACGAGAATTCTCAAAATTCAATAGCCACTACGAGTTTTGCTAGTCTAATATAGTGTCAAAAACCAGTTAGTTAAAGTCCAAATTAGTATGTTGGTAAACTAGACTTATATTCAAATACCTGATTTATAACATATGTATATGTAAAATGATAAGTCTCCAAACGTAAGGCATCAAATACCATCTCGTTATTCACAAAACTAACCTTGCAAACACACGCAACACCATAATTTCATAACAAAACAACGACAACAAAAACACATTTATAAAAACACTAAAAACAAATAAAACACACTAAATAAAAATAAAAATAAACAATTAAAACACATACCTATAATCACAACGGCATATTGCCGTAATATAGGATTCGAAAAAATATTATTAAACATTTTTAAAACACTGCGATCATCTGTTCGAAATTTAAATCGTTAGTCGTGTTCGTTTTACAAAATTTACTAGCGAACTGCGCGTGCGCACGTTTAAACTTGTTATGTTTGAGAGGGGGAAATAAGGTAGTTAGGTACTTGACGCTCTTAAAACAGCATCAATGTACCATTCATTCGTGATGATTAGGAAATAAATTATGGCCGATTGCTTACCAATAGGTAATACATTTGCTCGTTGTCACATAAAAAAATTGAAGTAAGTAGGTAGGTACACAGATAAAACAGCAAAATTATTGTTTATAACCTTTTTTTTGTAACTCTATTGATTTGTGCAGACTATTGACCATGGTTTTAGGTTTAAAGGCCACGAATTGATGGTCAATAGTACCTTACAAATGAATTTCGTACTAAATTATTTACTTTATTTAAATACATACTATTTATTAGCAAGCTGAATAAACCCAATCACTGTTAATAGGTTTTTGAATATCATTTTTCTTTTTGTTACAAAAAAACGTTGTTTCACGCTCACATTTTCTCCTGTGTCGTAGCCTCGTAGGTGTGTTTTCAAACATACAAATCAACACACACAGAACCTCCAAACACGAAATAACAATAAGTGGGTCACACAAAGTGTTGATCCGTGCGGGAATAGAACCCACGACACGTTGCTCAGACAACCACGTCAACCACCAAGAAATTCGTTGTGTGATTCTGTTTGTTGAATGTGACGGTCGGAACAACACGCCGTGTTTCCGTACTCGAACCCTAAGTGTTGATTACATAAACAATTGATATACACATTGAATAATACAATTCAATGTGTATATCCACTCAAACTAAAGTGCATTACCAGATTGTGATAAAAGGTACCTACTTGTAATTCCTAAGAATAAAGTAATAATTACATAAAGGTACAGTTATAGTATAAAGAGAAGGGGTAGGCTATCTCTGGCCCAATCCGCGATATAATTGCCTACTGTGTTAGGGTTGTCACTTTTAGCAAAATTTTTAATCAGTGCCTATAAATTGGCAAGGGTCGGGAAGTTGTATTTTTTACTTGTATTGTCTGGGTACAGGGTCTGAAAAAGGAATAAAGTGACTAAAATATTATAATTAAAAGAAGCACTAAAACAACATTAAAAACTAACGCCTATCTCTTAGACTATAATCGAGTTGCAGTGTTAGCCCCGACTGACGCACTGAAAAACGGGTCGAGATCTTGTTACAGTGTGCGTGCGTCGACGCGTAAATACTATGGCGCACACATTCAAGCCGCGCGCGGTGCGTTTGTATGAAGATAACCTACTTCCCTTCCCTTTATACTATGGTACAGTTACGATCCCCGACACCCGCGCCCCAGGCAGCGTGCTCTAAAATCGCATACCTGACGGTTTTTGAGTAGCTCGTTATAAGCATGCTTATTTTGAGCGTAGCAAGCAAGCAAGGTGTCGTGGTGGCCTGGAGGTTAAGGAGCCCGTTTCTCATGCATGAGGGTTCGAAACCTGGCAAGCACCAATGTGACTTTTTCCGAGTTATTACTTTCTATGATTATTTAGACACCACTGGCATACGGTGAAGGTAAACATCGTGAGGAAACCTGGACTTATAATTTCTTATTATAAGTTTGAAATCGCCAACCCGCATTATTGCATGATTAATGCTCTAACTTTCTCCGTATGAGAAGAGGCCTTTTCTCAGCAGTGGGCACTTATAGGTTGATGATGATGAAGCAAGCAAGGTATGGACACACGTGCTTATAAGCAGCAAAGAACTCCTCAGGTGTAGGCACCAATTACTTCCCAGAAGGAGACCCGTATACTCGTTTGTTAAATGTAAAAGTAGAACTTTCTGCTGACAAATCAGTACATGTAAGATAAACTGGACTGGTCACCTTAAAACTGTCTGTCCTTCAGGTTACTTACTTTATTTGACACTTTGACTAAATATTTGTTTTAGGTAACATTGACTACATTGTTCTCACATACATACGGTATCTAACAAAGAAGTAGATTGTAAAAAAGTAACCATGGAGTTTCTTGGTCGTTCTTTGTCATTCGGACGAGCAAGTAGCTTCATTAGAGGATTAACTGGCGAAGTGACAAATTGTATTCTTTCAGAAGACGACCCTGTCAAGATGGTTGCGGTACTGCATATCTTAAGCGTTTTTTTTAACAAAAACCCACACTAGTTTACGCATTACACCCAGACCCGGAGCAACACTTTGTGGATCACACAAAGAGTTTTACGGGGAAATCGAACTTCCGACACATTGCGCTTCAGCCAGTTGCCCAGCAACGGCGCCAACCGTGGAGTCAAAGTAATGTGGCGTGGGCAAGCGCAATAATTTACCGCGGTTTTTAGTCAGTAAGACCCTAACACTCCCTCTCGGTTCATCTAGGGTGGCAGGGCGAGAGAAGACATTGTATTCTACCTTCAAAAATGAACGAAAAGAAAAAAGCGGAAAATTCCTCTTACGTAGAGGATGCTTATTTAACAGGGCGAAGAATCACGTATATAACATAAGTGAGATGTAAGGGCTGACTCACTGACTAACTCCACCCTTTCCTTCTCCTGCCCCAGGTCGGGGCTGCAGAGTATGCCTTGCTGCAGTGATGCTACAGGAAGGCTCATAGCTCACCTGTAGACTATCTATCGTAGGCTGTTGTTGGCTGTTGATAATGACAATGGAATTTGTTGTTTACCTAAGATATTAATCAGCTAGCCTAGATTCGCATAAGTAGGTTAAAAACATAAACTTTTTTGCAGTATTTGTATGCTATATTTGAAGGTGCTGCATCTAAATGGTAAAAACAGGAATCTTATTCCTCATAGCCTCGGGCTAGAGCAGGAGAAGGAAAGGCAGGAGTTTGGCAGAAAAAGGAATGGGGGTTTTTAGTCAGTAAGAGTCTGACACCCGCTCTTGCCTCACCATGGGCTAGAGAACTCATTTGATCATTTTCCCCTTACAAAAATAGGAACCCTATTCCTATGTCTCTATTTTCGTTTGTCTGTCTGTCACCAAGATGTACTATATGGACAATGATGGATAAATAGATAGATACTAATAATACTTTTGTTTCCCCTGTAACAGCAAATGCTACATATTGACTGGCCGGTTGGCGCAGTGGCTAGGCAACGGGCTGCTCTGCAACGTGTCGCGAGTTGGATCCCCACAGACCAACACTTTGTGTGATTCACAAGTAGTTGTTTCGGGTTTGGTTGGCACCCACGACACTGGAGATAATCTCAGTGTGTGGCAAGGTAAATAAAAAGGAAAAAAAAATGAAATTGATTCTGATACAGAACCCGTTGTACGCGAGTCCACCTTGGCCGGTTTTGGTTTTATTTGATTAGAATATTTGCAGGTTATAAACGTATTAAGATACCATCTTAATAAGTACTACAGATTTTTATAAACGGTTAAATGAAGGATTAGGTGAATGACCCGGTAACCGACTTAGAATATTTGTTTTATGAATGTCATTATTATTTTTATTTAATTAAGGACCGCCACCTTCAGCCTATCAGAATATATATAGCCTTGTTATGGTTGGAAAATCAGACTCTTACTGACTAAAAACCAACCCCAACCATGAAACCTGCATCCTGGTTGGAGCCATCGAACCTGCATCACTGTGCTTGCAGCTGCAGTACCAACTGTCTCTATCATCGTTTTAGTCGTCTTTGAACTTGGCATCGTGGTGGCCTGGAGATTAAGGCAACCGCTTCACATGCAGGAGGGTTCGAAACCTAGGCAGAACCAATGTGACTTTTCCGAGTTATATGTACTTTCTATGATTATTTAGACACTACTGACGTACGGTAAAGGAAACATTAAGAGGAAACCTGGACTTATAATCTCTAATTATAAGTTTGAAATCGCAAATCCGCCTTGAGCAGGCGTGGCGATTAATGCTCAAACCTTCTCCGTGTGAGAGGAGGCCTTTGCTCAGCAGTGGGCACTTATAGGCTGATGATGTGATATGAACTTGGCGTGAATGTGACGCGTGGTTTAGTTACCTGGTTTAGTGATATCCTCAATCGCTGTCTATCTTGCTTACAGAAGCCGGAGATCGTTTCTCAATCAGCGACTACCGGCACGTCTCCTGCGGTTGCTAGGACGTGAGATCCTACCAATAAGGAGCCAGCTACCCAGTTCTTTTAAATCAGCACTTTGGCCTGAACTAAGACTGAGCACGAAAGATAGACTCTAAGGTCTCATTTATTGGGACGAGGCGTGTTGAATTGGGTTATATTGCTCATTCATTTGTGTTTGTGCGGGATGTGAGGATATTTTATATTAGTAGTTCTTCTCGATAACCGAGGGATGAGATTTGTTTATTTTTGTTTTTATGTCGTAGGTCGGCAAACGAGCAGACGGATGGCCTGATGGTAAGCAATTAGCGCCGCCCATGGACACTCGTGGTCACCTATTAGGGATTTTAGGATTGCTTCACGCCGGTTTTCTGTGAGGCCGTAGTATCACTCCAATTGAGCTGGCTGGGCCATTCGTGCCGAAGGATGACTCTCCCACACTTACTAAACTAGGACGCTTACCTAATATCGATTTTATATTATTTTCAATTCTATATCTAGCCAGCAAAAGTCCAGATAGTGAGACTAGTTACAGAAACCGGTAGTTAGATAAAAGCAGTTCTTGTCCTGGCAACATTTTTAGCGCGCGAAAATGAAATATGGCTTCTTTTTTAAATCAAAAGCCTCGGTCGGGCCTCTTTTTTTTCATATTTCGATCCGTTTTGGCGTTCGAACCGGTTTTTTTATGTGGGAGACAATCTTCGAATGTCTTTTTTCGCCTAGGGTGAGACGAGCGGAAATATCAGGCTCTTACTTTCCTTCTCCAGGCCTAGGCTGCGGTACCTTATTGCACTTGCCCCGCATTCCCGGTTGAACATCGACCCTGTTAGGGCTTATCTGTGGTGATCTAATGACTTTTGAGGCGCACACAAAACTTGTGCATTTTTAAGTTTGTGTCAAAAATGTAATTCGATCAAGATATTTAGGTTCAATAAGTATCACTTGTTAGTTTCGATCGTTATTCAGCTGCCTCGGTTCCACATGGGTGTCCTGTTACAAAATTTCTAAACTATTTAATAAATATTATTACACATATAAACCTTCCTCTTCAATCACTCTGTCTATTAAAAGAACTGTTTCAGATACGGTGGGAGGAAACGGTTAGGTGTCGCCATTGTAAGGACCACATACAGGACACGGTGGAAGATAATTTAGCAGTCGGCTCAGGCTGAGCACCGTAGTGTCTTCAGGGAAGTCATCGGCGGCGGTGACGTCTCACGCTCAACCTTAGTCGAGGCCAGTGACGGAGCGAGAGGAACTGGGAAGCCGGCTTCTCTTTCTGCAAAGCAGTGACGCTCGCATCATGCAAATTTCAGCACAAAAAGATCTATTAAAAGAATCGGCATCAAAATCCATTGCGTAGTTTCAAAGATTTAGGCATAAAACATTTTTATGTAAAAGGTCGGCAAACGAGCATAATTATTACCTGATGGTGAGCAATAGCTACCGCCCATGGACACCCACCACAACAGAGGAGTTACGAGTGCGTTGCCTACCTTTTGGGGATTAGGGATTCGGTGATTTAGAGATTGGGGGAGGGGAACGATTGAGCCTCCGGTAACCTCACACACGGCGAAACGCAACGCTGTTGTTGTTTTTCGCCGGTTTTCTGTAAGCCGAAGCATGCCTCTTCCACACTTAAAACTTTGTTTTATACTATGTAGTGATTACTCCACAAGAACTTATCCATCTCAATGTTCATTAAAATCGATACAAATAAGAAATGAAGTTCGTAAAACGTTGCGGTGCTCCAGATCGCTCGATGCTTCGGCGAACAAAAAACATAATACCGAGAAAACTTTCAATATCTTTGAATCACTGCGTATGAATGTTACAATGTAAAGAATTAGCCAATATTCGTAAAAACGCGATCTTTTTTTGTGAGGCGAAAATCATCAAATGACTTGACTGAATTCTCAAACTATCATATCAACTATATACCTATCAGAAAATGGCGAATTGAATAGAAATGCGATGCAAGGACATGACTAGGTACTTTATTTTAGTATTTAATAAGGTCAATAATAGTATGGTAAGCAGATATATAAGGTTCTTAGACAGTTCAAGCTGAAAAAAAAACTAGAAACATATGTTGTTTTTTTTGGCAAAACCATCAAATGACTTCTGTTGTGGTTTTTAAATTCATGTGTGCTATGCGCAGAAATATATGTTTTTTTTTTGGGCCCCGGCTATGGTCGTTTGGCGTATCATTTTGTACGCTTGTAATATTCATACTCAAAGTTTTATAGTTTTTATTTTATCGTTGTGAACACTCGCTCTTCTCTACGGAACAGAACTGAGATATTTCTTGTAGAAACTTGAATAGGTACTGTATTCTTTTATACGTTTCTACTACATCATATAATATGTAGGTGTGTATCAATGCTTAGTATATGGTACTAGGTTATTTAGATAGGGGGAAATCATCCAATGATTTATCCTACAGATGGGGCCTAACATGGCCGATGTTTAGCCTGACGTGCGGATCAGGCGCAATAAGGTGATACGGCCACGGCCTGGAGTAGGAGAAGAAACGGGAGGGGGGGGAGGTTAAGGAAGACATAATAATATGAGTAGTTTCCCTTCTAAAACAAAAACGCTTTCGGACTATTAAGTAGTTTGTTATTTTAAGTTATAATTATGTCGGCAAACGAGCATTCGGAATACCTCATGGTAAGCATTCAACGCCGCTCATGGACACTCTTAATATCAAAGGAGTTACTATAAGTGCGTTGTCGGTATGTGGCTTTTGGGTAATTAGTTATTTTAGGATATTGTGGATGGGAGGAGGGATTGGGCCTCTGGTAACCTCACTCACACGGCGAAACACAACATAGGAGTTGGTTTACGCCGGTTTTTCGTGAGCCCACACTCTTGCTATGGTCACATTTAACACTCCAGTCGACCCGGTTTATGTTTTTGCAAATACCTTTATTTATTATGTAGCGAATCACGTACCAAGCCTCTAGTACCATCTATTTAAAATAATGCAAAATATACGTCATTCAGGTTATGGGTATTTTTAAATTTATTATAAGAAAGAACAATCGAACGCCTGCCTATAAATTCATAGCAACGAATACGTTTAATATCTGGTTGTAGTGCCTGCTTATTTTTAATAGCAGCAATTTTTGTATGTATGTGTATATTGCTTACCATAAGATAATCTATCTGGTCGCCCTTTTAAAAAGAGGGAGACAAGGCATAGACCTTTTCTTTTCCATAAAAAGCTCCCAGTCTTTTGTAAATGGTTTAATTGAAATAAATGGTTTTTCTTTCTTTTCTTTTAAGAAAGCATACGTTCTTTTTTTGAAGATTTGAAAATAATGTTATGGCATAAGACTTTTAAAATTAAATTCGACTTTAAACTTAAGCAGATAAGATTAAATATTTTGTGACTATCCTTATTCTTCTCTTACTTAGACTTACCTACGAGTTCTTTTTTTATTCATTTCAATTTCAAGGAAGAATTCATTAAGGCATTATTTCATTTTTACCGATGCATGGTTTCAACCGCTGCTCGGTTCCTATTGCTCGTGGCATAGTTGAATTAGCCATCTAACTAACGGCCTGAATGACTAGTCGTTTGATTGGGTGGATAATCTTTTCATTCTGGTTATAAGTGAAAGGGTGAAGAAATTAAATATGACTAACTGTTTGAAACGCAAGAAGTCATTGAATGATTTTTCCAACCATTAAAAAAATATGCCTACCGTCTATACCATACCATGCTACCATTTCAGACTATACTTAACAGACATGACGTATTGAATTGTCAACTATGAATAATGACAGTTTAATTTCTGTACCAATTTCAATGTAAACAAGTTGATTAAGTACGTAATAAAATGTACGCAAATTAGTACAAAATTGCTGTGATTTTGATTGTTATGGACAAACTGAAATAAATATTATTCATGCAATGTAATATGTAATATGTAATTGTGGTGTTTACTTCATAATCGTGTTTCATTTTTAATGAGATAGGATACGTGCCGATGGATTACCTGATGGTAAGCAAACACCAACACTTATGGATACTCACATAACGCCACGGTAGTGCATCCCCAACTATTTAGGAAAGAGAACGCTCTTTTCTTGATGGTTTGAAGATCGTATAGGCTCGAAAATATCGCTGACGACAGCTCATTCCATAGTTTAGTAGTCCCACTGAATGTATTAAGTGGGATCATCAACAAATTACTTCTCCAATAGCGAGTGGGGTGAGAGGGAGTGTCAGACTAATACTGACTAAAAACCATCAAATCCCTTCAACTGCTCTAGGTCAAGGTCACGGTACATTATTGTGCTTATTGTAGATTACCGTGTATTTACTGTTGCTTGCTTGTTGTAGATTACTGTGTACCTAATCATTACAGTGAATAGCCCGTATCAGTACCACGGTAGGTTCTAGGGTTGTCCAAAGGTACCTACTCTGTTTTTTTACGTATGTTGTACGTAGGCAAACAAGCGGACGGATTACCTGATGATAAGTAATCGGCGCCTTCCATGGACACATTACCAATGGACATTACTGCCATAGTGTTGCCGGCTGCTTGTGGGTTATTGGGGATTTAGGGATAGTGGGATTTGAGGATTCAGGATGGGATGGGAGAAAGGATTGAGTCTCTGGCAATCTCATTCACATGCCAAATCAACGTAAGTGTTGCTTTACACCAGTATTTTGTGAGGTTTCCGTGATATCTCTTCGGTCAAGCATGGCTCTGTAGACACCTACAAAAAATAATTGGCAAAAAAAATCCAAGATTAAAATGCTCGTAAAGATCATTCGCTGTTACGTAATTGTTTCACATTTTACGGCTGGTTTGGTTACAATAAAAATGCTTAAGTCGGTATAAACAGGACCGATATCATAAGCAGCTTATAAATGGCCACTGCCAAGGCTAAAAGGCCTTTTCTCAAAAAGAAAAGTTTTGAGAAACCACTAAACAAGTTAAATCTATTTCTACATCGAATTTGGGGCCACCTTAAACGTTGATATACTTAATAACGGCTCTAGGTGTAAACTTATCTGTCCCTAGTCAATATTCAACACATTATTACTCGGTAGATAACTTGCAAACAACTTGGATTGCCAATCAGACTTGCACAATACTATATGTTAAAACTTGAACCAACTTATTAACGACGATGGAACTTTCCAGAATCGATTTGATGTAAATTTCAAATCATCATAACATTAATTTGTTGGAAATCATTAAAAAATAGAGATAAATTACTGATGAAAAGTGGAAAAAAGATTTGTAAGTATTGCATACAAGACAAAAATCTAATAAAAAGTTTTGACAATTTCAGTAACAATTTACGCTTAGTGGCGTTATGTTTTTTAAGACTAAGGTCAGCAAACGAACAGATGCATGACCTGACATGATGATAAAAGCAATCGATGCCGAGGCACAAGGCGCTATCGCAGGAGTTAAGAGCGTCGTCGGTTTTATAGATAGGTATTTGGGGATTATTAGTCCAAGCAGACGGAAATCCTGGGTCATGGGCCCAAGCCCAATTATGTATCGCGGCCTTTTATCGGAGTAGCAAAGTCGGTAAGAGACTAACACTCCCTCTTGTTCCATTCAGAGCAGGAAAAGATATTTGATGAATTCTGCGCCACACAAGAAAAGCAGACAGAAATAAACGCAAATAAGCCAAATTTTACTGTTTAGTGTTATGTACCAAAAAGTATGGGTGTGTAAATGAAATACAAAAGTAAGATTTTATCATTTATTATTTCCACGATGTAATCTATAAAGCAATGAAAATTCAATAAACGTTGAAGGCCTACGCTATACTCCAAAGTTCAGAACAAATCTCGTGCCGTGAATTAAACGTGAAAAAACTTTTACTTTGCATTAAAACGCCAGTTTGTTGACATGAAATGAGGACAAAATAAAAACTATTAATAAATTGATAATAAACAGGGGATGTAAATCATCCATAAATTTAAATTATCTTAACAATTTCTTCTGGCAGGGTTTCCTGGGCAGAAACATGGTTTTGGACATAGCGATTTTGGCCCTTTTTGTTGACAAGTTGCTTTTGGAGGAGGTGGACAACACCCACCTCTATTACAGTTAACTGCTTCCTTCATCTGCATCATAAGTTCGTTTATCTGATTCGTGAGTTGGCCAACAGTGTTACACATTTGTTCGACGACATGAAAGGAAGGCGTACTGCCACTCATCTGGAACATACCAGCGTCTCCGTGAACATCGTTCTGGGAAGAGCAGCCAGACGGACATCTGTCGGTCAAACAGGCGTCAGAAGATGTTATCGGAGATACCGTGCCGTACCGATTGCACGGCGGCGGTAGAGGTGGAGGTGGACAACCATCCATTTGATGGCTACTACTGTACTGCTTGCAATCAGTACCACATGTACCGAGAGCACAACTGGGCGCTTTCGGTCGTCCGCATTTCTGGTCGCTATTGATAGGGCACTGCGTATTGTCACATTTGGGTGGTCGGTTAGCTGGGCACTGTGAATTGTTACAACTATACGGCGTGTCGGTTCTGTATTCTTTTGGCATGCTCGTCCTGCAGTCTGGACAGGGACATGTTACTTTTATGATACCGGCCTTTATATCCTTGATTTTGCCAGGGGTGTAGTTCAGGCAATTGTAGTGTGCCCAACTCTGGCAGGCACCGTGGCATTGTAAGCCGTTCTTGTTTGTTACAGGTCCTAAGCATATCTTACATGGGTTTTTCACTTTGTTGCATTTTGACATTGTGATCAGAAACTTCCTGAGCCTCTTTTAAAAACAGTTACCATGGTTGACGGCTAGCTTCCTAGGCTTACGTTTTGAAAAGTTTTATATTTATTATGGCATAGTGAATTTTGGAAATGTAATTTCATGTTGACATGCTTAGGTTTTTTTCTTTCTATGACTGTCTGTCAGATAGTCTGAGATAATTTTACCTTTTTGGAGAATGCTTGGATGTAGGTAAAACTGACTTTTTTATGGTTAACCATAGACCATAACGCAAGCAAGGCACAAATGTTCTGTTGAACTATTGCCATAAAAAACAAAATACTCGACGTATAGTTGAAAAAGTATAAAATAATTAAAAGCTATGATTTAATAATTATTTATAGGTGACGAGAGAAGACGCCAGTAAATCTGTCGACGGTCGCTATTGAATGAACTAGCTTTGTAGTTTAATAGTTAAGTAAACAATTTGGAGATATGTATTTCCTAGGTATGATACCTCATATCCTGTTTGCGCAATCAACAAAATAAATTCACTTATGTTGAAAACATTTTATCTAGTGTTGACTTGGTGACAAAAAAACCATTGAAGTGGTTGTTCTGCCGACACCAAAATTTGGAATTCCGTTGAAACATGTTCATTGCAAAATGTAGCAAAGATTATTGTTATTGTTTGTAGCAATGTAAATTAAGAGTTTATCTAGGAATGAAAAAAGGTTAAACTTCAAGTCGTTATTTTATTCTGATTAGACATGTTAAAACCTTTTTGAACTATTACACATTCTATACAAATAATTTGATTGTATCACACAAAAAGTAAGGCAGCTGCACATCCTTTTACTTTGCTCCATTGGATGCTGATGTTTCGGAATCAATTTTGCATCATTTTACACATAAGTTCTTTCAATTGCACTGAAAGCTTGCCAACGGTGTTGCACATCTCTTGCACTGCGTGCACCATCGCCTGCTGATCCTTTCGACTCAAATTGGAGTCCGATGACGAACATTTAGGGCGGGAGCCTAGAACATAATTTAAAAAGAAGTTAGAAATGATTTCGGAGACATGGTAGTTTGGACATTAAAAGGGATTCCGCTGTCCGCTTGTGCTATGAAACTAGAACAACGCAGAAGCGATTTCTGGATTTTGATTTGGAAAATAAGACGTCAAAATAAAAATATTTTTTAGGTCCATAGTACCAAAATAAGAATATTATTCACAATTTGAGGTTGGATATGGAAATAATCTTCTGAAACGGAGTTCAAGTGGTAAAATTATTAATATGATTATGATAATTATTAATGCAGTTGCTGTCTAGGGTCCAGGTGTAATGATGTGAATGTGAAATCTGTTTGTAAAATTAATTGCATCCACATGACAAACAGGACAATATTCTTTATAGTGCATACTACTACTACCCCACATATAAAGAGATAGTTTGATAGAGACTATAAGACATAAAAAAATAGTAGACATATTTTTACGAGTTTTTTTTTGTGGAGGTGAAATCATCAAATGAATTCCTCGCCCAGAGTATGGCAAGAAGGAGTGTCAGACTCCTAAAACCCCGTCCCTGCTCCTGCTCCAGGCCTAGGCCGCGATATCATTTTTGATAGTATTGGTACGAAACTTACATTTAGTATTTGAAGTGGATGATAGTAGTGAACAAGATGGGGATAAAACTGCCGGTTTCTTCTTCACTTTGTGTCTGTCAGCCCTAGGTTTAGGAGCAGGCAGTTTTTTCGCTGACGCAGGGGGGCTTTCTGTGCATGGCTTTGGTAATCTCGGTGAGCGGCACGGCGAAGATGATGGAGACTTTTTCGAAGCACTCCGAGGGGGTGTTGGAGGGCGCGGAGGTAGCAATCGGGGATGAGACCGTTTTTGAACTTGAGTTGTAGATTGTGGGCACTCAACAGCTGGACAATTTACTGGCTCTTTGGAACAGCTCTTATTAGCACATGAGGTATCTGGCTTCTTTTTGGGGTTCAACGGGCAATCCTCTGAGACACATTTTGGCCCCCTGTTCGCTGGACAGTTTGTATTCGAACACGTGTAAGGTGGTTTTACCAAGTACTCTTTGGCTTGAGTCGTTTCGCAATCCGGGCACGGGCATGTCACCTTAATTATGCCAGCTTTGATATCGGATATTTTTCCCGGTGTATAGTTGAGACATTTATAGTGAGCCCATTTTTTGCAAGCTCCTTGACACTGTAACCCATTTCTATTGGTTACTTGTTGAAGGCAGAATTTGCAAGGGTTCTTTATTTTGGTGCACGAGGTCTTGGCAGCTTTTATCTTGGTACTCATTTTAAAAGGCATTTTAAAATTGTTACCATTTTGGCTATTTTTGTTCGCTACCACATTTTTCTGCAACTAATCACATAATTGATTCTAGGACTTGAAGTTTGCCATTTTTCTAGCAGAGTTTGAAATTGTTGACAGGTTTTTGACAGATTACATTGATAGTGGATAGTTTCCCTATTCTTATTATAAGTACTCTTTCCTGGATAGTGATTTGTGACTATAAGGTAGGTCTTTAATAAATACTTTTTAGTTTGGACAAATGTACAGGCTGACGAAAAAACGAAACTGGACGCATGACCATGAGCACTATCAACACTTTTAAATTTATTTTAAACTAGCGGCCTGCCCGTGCATCGCACGGGTCCAAATATATCGCTATCAAATGGTCACTTTTTCCTAATATTCCCCTCTACTTTTCTAATATTTTGATAAGAACCTTCTCCTTACAATAACAAACACAACAAAAAAAGAATTAGCAAAATTGGTCCAGGCGTTGTTGGGTTATGCGCTTACCAACACATTTTGCGATCCATTTTTATAAATAAGATTGTTTTGTTCGTGTAAGAATAACTTTTAAATTGTTAATGAAAAACAATATAGTTCGTCCATCTACCTACTACTACTTTATGATGTAAGAAAGACATGTAAAACTGATTGAAAAAGAGTACTTACCTAACCATGGAGTTTCTTGCTCTTTCTTCTCCATAGAAACGAGCGAATAGCTTCACTAGAGGACAAACGGATAGACTGACATGCTTTAAGTTAAAGCTCTTAAAATACTTTTTTTAACGTTCAAAAGTGCCTACTGTAGTTTAATTTAAATAAATGATTTTGACTTGTGACTATAAGCCCAATAGTATATTGGTAAAAACTAGGTTTTACCAATCTTGTGCAATCCCTTGCAATTGCAAAACCTAAAGCCATTTGCATTACACCGAGCAGAATCTTATTGATGACTTCATAATATCTATGATAATATTTGGGAAATCCTCAAAAAAACGAACCTCAGAGCCCACAACAATCGCACATAGACTATAATAATATGTTACGCAAGTACTGGTTGGTACAATATTATTATCTTTACCATCAAACAAAAAACTGCTGAAAAAAAGTAACATTATTGATTTTCCTTTGCTCCAGTTTTTTATTGCTGCGAATCATTATATAATAAAAATAACAGGACTGAGTTATGGTTTTTCAATAAAGAAACTTCTTTAAATGTATTAATAATATACATTCGTATGTACTTGCAATAAATTATTCATCTAAATACAATAGTCATGAATTAAAATGATAAAATTATGTGATAAGCTTGATTTGTTTGATTTTGGTGAAATGGAACGTACTCGCCGTCAAAGTCAGAAACCATCTGTCACGACTGTCACAAACATTCTTGAAATTTTGAGGTTAGGTTCTTGAAGCTTACAGGTTACTTTTGTAATAGAAAAATCACTTTAATAATCAAATATGCCGTTCATGAAAGGAAGAGCACCTATTCGACGTACTTTAAACTATTTAAACGCCGGGAGATTAGTTTTGAAGGATAAAATCAAAATATTCTCAGTGGCTTACAATATTAATGGACAAAACAATTCCGGAGCTAAGGAGTTTGTATTTTGGTATTTACCACAGATTCAATATAAAAATCCTGACGTGCAGGTGGCAACGTTGAAGAATCTGACTCCATCACCATTTATCAAATGTTATTTTGAAGATGGAAGAAAAATTTTAGTTGATGTTGACAATAAATCTAAAGAAGAAATTCTAGAGCATTTAATTAATACTGTTGGTGAGTTTTAAGGCTCTTTTTATCTACAAGTTAAGCCATAGTTCATGTATAGATACAGATAGACTCTTAAATTTAATTAAAATAAATAAATATTGACAAATTTTCTATATGACAATGCAATACATTTGTTTTCCCCATTACCATATTATTATGAGAATTAAAGATAACTTCCATTCATTAATCAAATACCTTCTATCTAATATTGTTCATCCATTATTGGGGCAGAAACCTCTACCATTTTCTACCATACCTCTACATTTTGTGTAGCGCTCATCCATTCTGAATATTTTGTTTAAACAGCCCAATATGGACAGTCTTAATTATCTTATTTTTATCCAAAACGCTGAACAGATAGTTAAAACTTGTTATTAAAAAATTACAGGAAAATCAAAAGAAGTACTAGAACAGGAAGCGATAGCTGCGGAAAAGAAGGACAATCCTGCAAACTTTGGCATCGGTTGTGAGCGTCCATGCATTTGTGAGGTTTATGGACAGGTGCCATGTCCCGGAGTAGTGCCGTTACCAAAGTTCATGAGAGGAAAGTACAAAAATGCCACAGATTAGACTATATTAATTATAATTATGTTGGAAATGTATAATGATTTCTTTGATAAAAGTGAATTGAATCCAATGCCGAGGAATTATAAACAGATCAACATAATATTTTCAATTAAGACCCGTTTCATTGTGTGTGATAAGAATCTTTCTCGCTTATAAAGAAAAAGACACTCATTATGTTACATTATAAAGAAAAAGACACTATGTTATTATATACATATTAATATTCCTCAGTCACTCAATCAAATAAAAAAATCTGCATCGAAATCAGTTGTCTAGTTTTAAAGGTTTAAGCATACATGATACATGTATAGGGATAGAGAGACTGTTTTATGCAATGTAGTGATTTTACTTTTGTATTTGTTTATTTTTTATTGGATAGGTATAACTAACCACCGTTTTCATTTTCTCTTTTGGAATGAAACTAAATTGTTGCTAAAGAATTTAATTTTAGAACTTAATTAGATGAGTGGGACAGACAAAGTAGGTGAATAATTTTGTTCTTTTCAACCATACTTTTCAAGTATTGTATATAAATAAATTATTTCATTTCCATAATGGTAGCTTGGTAAGCAAAAAGTAACATACACTTGCTTGTTATATATACATTGTGATGCATTCAAATAACACTACCTATCTATCACCTTGCTATGCGCAAGAGAAGACATTTGATGATTTTGCCCGTCATTCTGTAGGTAGGTAGCTCACAATTATCAACTTGATAATTGATTTGACTTTTATCAATTGAAAAGCATTGACATTTCCAACATTTAAATTTAAGCAAACTGTAGATAATGCAAATAGGTTTTAGCTGTAATTTAATTAAAATAAAAACAAAATCAAAGTAACTTAACTTTTATTTAATACCTACCTACACTGTTAATATAGTATGGATTCTTGGTAATAAAATATTTTATATAAAAACAATACATTGACAACAGGTACATCGCAGTACCGTTTTCAAATTAAAAAAACATCACTTTGAAATCTTGACAAGTCACTTATTATTTAGCCTAACTTTTGCCTTTTGCAAAAGTTTTTATCAATCAAAATATGAATCTTAACATATGAATCATCACATTCTCTTAATTTCAAATAGGCCCACATAATTATAGTGCACCATCTTCTCCAATTACCTAGTTAGCTATAGGTATCGAATGTAGCTTCAAGAAAAATAATTATCCCCATTAAAATCGATAGTCCCGGCAATGATTAGCCATTAACGCGGCAGCAATATAGTGCATATTCTGAAATGCTGTGAAGGTTCTGGAGTTTTCATTCCAAAAGAGTAAATCATCAACTTCATCCCCTCGTGGACAGGTGTGGAGGAAAATCCAGCGGAAACATGTTTGCCTGTTGATGTCCTGGAAATAAAAGTGATGTAAGGTTTGTATAGTAAGTTATTAACTTAATATAAACACTATTGTTACTATCTTTTATTTCTATTCATTCTAAAGTTTCTCTGTAAAAGATCACCTTGTGCAATCAATCTAGTCGTACTTCATTCATACTTCACATATCTAAATTTATGTTTAATAATAATATTATTTAATGGGTTTATGTTCGTTTTTAAGCCTTTGACTGCCGACAGAAAACTGTTGAAGGTAAATCCTCCGCTAACGGAGGTCACCGGTGACCCCCATGGCGCTTAACGTGTTAAGGTATATTAAAGGCCACTACCGCCTCAATATAAAACATTAAATCAAATTAAAAAGAACCTGAGATTCTACAGTTATCTATTTAAGTTAGTCTACTCATAGTAATAAGTAGGTTTTTCATGTAATTGCACGGCAAACTAGCTGACGTAAGCAAGCAAGCTACCTGTAACCAATCGGCGCCGCCCATAGACACCTGCAATACCTGAATTTAAGGATAGGGAAGGGAGGGGGAGGGAAAGATTTGGGCTCCAGTAGGCTCACACACACGGCGAAACAACGCTTTGATAGTTTCACGCCCGTTTCCTGTGAGGCCGTGGTATCACTCCGGTCGACCCGAAGACTGATTATCTTCGTATCTTATATCTCCTCCCGCCTTGGGCAAAGCTAAATCTTAAATGTGAAACTTGTGGGTAAACAAAATGTAGGTACCTATAGTCAGAATTTTAATTCGATTCCTGATTTGACATGACGTACTATCATTTTGTGAAATAATGATACCACATAAAAAAGTGTAGTGATGAACACAAAAATCGATAAGCAATCTGTGAATCAGTTTCAGGAAGGCATTCAAAAAGTTATGGCTACCGAATGGTCTAAATGCGTATCCCATGTTGTCAAAGAAGAAGAACAAATGAGTAAGCTAGATATGTTAATTGACAATAAAAATCACAGACACAATTCATAATAAATGTTACAGAAAGTAACAGCGATGACGGCGACAATTTATAAAATTTCTGTTTTATTTGTCATGTTCCTTCATGATCACATTTTTTATTAATTTCACACAATTACAAAAGAAATGTCTCAGATCGTTAATTAATTGTCAAAACCAAATTATCGGTTCAGAAATATTTTATTTCCTGATAAACTTAGTTTACGAGAGTAAATTTATAAACGAGAGGAATCGATTCAGAAATATTCGATTTCCATATCGAATAATTTCGCAACGTCACTATTTTGTACGTGTCATAACGTTGCAACACTGAAATTGTCAAATCTGGAATGGAATTAAAATTCCGAGTATACTTTTCCGAACATTACTTGACACAGACATACATATATGTAGTTTGTAGTCTCAGATGTAGGTACCTAAGCTAGTATTTTCACCAATAATAAGGGCAAATCTCGCTTCAACCGTACTTAGATATCTATACATATTTCTTTTTCGTTCCTAATAAAGAATATTTTGGTATCTACCTACATATGGGCTAACAATTACTTAGAAGGCGTGACGTTAGGTTAAATTCTTTATTGATTACCATCACTGAGAGCGTGAACTCTGGGAGCTTTTCCTTTTTCTCTGTAGTTGGACCAGCTATAACTACGCAGGCATTTCTTACAGCTTCCGCGGTATCCGCACATTGTTGAGTTTCGGTCGCTGTGCTTGCCGTCATTGCCCTACTAGTATCGTAAAAGAGAGGGGTCACTGGACATATCTGGAAATAAAATATTCACAATCAACAAGCATTTTTTCCACACCAGTTTTATCACATCACTAGCCTATTAATGTCCACTAAACAATGGTCTTTCCTCGTACCGAGAAGGCCTTAGCATTATTCACGACGCTCCATCTATTCCGGTCGCGTTGCTATTGAAAGGTTTCGTTTCCAAAGTGTACATAGATTCCGATGCAAAAAAAACTCCACCCTTAAGTACCTACTGTTTTTCAATTAGCTTCATATACCGATTAAGTTTGTGTGTTGCCTAGAATTTTCGCTTTGCTATTAAACATTTTTTGTATTCTTCCTCTACAACCTTACCTTACAACAACATTTGAATCTGATGTTCGCGCCCAACATTGGGCATAACAAGAGATATGAGTTGAGAACCGGATGAGGAGGCCCCACGTAGGACAGATTTATTCCTTGCATTGTACCAAATTCTTCCTGAAATCAAAAACTTTTTATTGTCAAAGTTTGCCAAGTTGCTTTGTCTTTTGGTGCTAAAAAGTCAAAACTACAAGTGTAGAACAGGGATTCACCAAGGTTGTCCATAATGTAAGATTTTGCCTAAGATCTGGTGACAAAATTGCTTTATTTGTGCTATTAATTTTCTATCGCCTCTAAGTTAAGTGTTTCGAGGAATTATTTGATCCCCATTGCATCTTTTCGCCATCGACCCATTTGAAAACACCTCCATACAGATGGTTCGCAGTCATCAACTGTGCAATCTTCGCAAAACTTTATACCTTGGACAACAAAACTTTGGATTGATCTTCCGAGGTTTGAGACTCTTTACCTCGAGCGTTGGGCCATATATCTATGGAAATGTGTTGTTTCATAAAATGTGAATGAAAATACCATAATCGCCATGATGGATGCAAGAGCCTGTAAGCAAGCGTGTGTCCTGGACTTCAAACACAGTACTGGCACTGAGGATCTGTCAGCAAACCGCTGAGCACACATGTGAGTGTTTGTTGACAAAAATATTATATCTGCCATGTCTGAGAATATTCTGGAACAATCAAATCGTTTGAAATTAATTTTGATTGCATTGTGAGGGAGATGCCTGTTGATTAAAATGGAAATACCCAGTGTAATAATTACATTATCTGGCTTATTTCTCATTGGTCGGTCGCTGGTGATTTTTCAGGGCTAATTAAATCTCCTAGAATAGCTAGCACCCTAGTGTTATGATTTAGAAATGAAATTAAACTATATGTAGACTCATAACTTGAGACCTGTTCATATTATTAAGACAACTGACGAAAAATTGATCGAATTTATCTACCCTGATGAAGAAAAAAGCATTGAAAAATTGGACATTGCTGAAGTTTTACAGTTTCAGTTTGATATCAGTTGAGTGACAGCCCTCAATAACTTTATAGGGGTGATACGATATCTTTTTTGGTAGGAAAGTTTTTACCTTTCAACTACCCACATAGCAACGAATGACATATCTACTATAAAGAACGCAGATGATAAGAATATCAACTTTTAAATTGAATAGCAGTCAGTGCTTTTTTGTGAAGCTTTTCCAGCACTAATATTTTCTTGTGTCGTGGGTGCGTTTACAAATATATAAATTCATACACAACATCCAGACAGAAATAACAATTTGTTGATCTCACAAAGAGTTGTTCCGTGAATTCCAGGAATCGGACTTGCGACACGACTAGAGTCACGCGACACATACTGCGCGACGCCTAGTTGCTAAGCCACAGGACCAACCTTGCAGTCAAGTCAGTTTTGTTATATAACGCTGCTCCGTTTGTGTTCCTCCGATCTCCGACGCCCATGCTGTCGCCTACTGCAGCGGCTGGGGTGGTAGAAGGATAGCTCCTAATGTAATGTTACCTGCCATGATAGTCATGTTCCCATTGCATGCTGTCGATTATCCCTACGTCAGCAGCTCCTAACAGGGTCGCTGCTTTTGAGACAGCCAAAGTAAGTATCGGTTCGTTGACCTCTTGAAGGATCATAACTTTTGCGTTTGGTATTATGTCCTGTAACGAAAATACTTTACTATTAAATTATAAGCTATTATATCTATCAGCCGAGTGATTTAAATTTTTCAAATTCTTGATTCTACAGAAAAGCTTCTTTGAGTTTAAAAACCGAAAACGGCGATTATGGAAAGCTCTAGTTTTTAAATAAATCTGTGCTGCCCTGCGATTATGAGCGAGAAGGCGAATATCTATCTTTCCAAAAAGGATTCTGTAATATACAAATTTCTTGCATGATTTAATGCATATATTATTATATGACCATATAATCTATACCATTCTTTTGTTGTGAGTATCTCTCATCCGACATTTTAAATTTAAAGCACTGAATATAATGTCTAAAACCATTTGGCCGGTCCATTGTTTAAAACATATCAAATGTCGTGGCGGTAGGATTCTTGTGTATCTGGGGAAAGAAAATTTCAAACATTAATTTATTTTTAACAAATATGTTTAAGGGTTGGAATATTCAGCCTGGGCTGCGGATGCAACGTCAATGGCGCAAGACATAGTGGTTTATTCACAGTTAACATGTCCAAGAGCAACTTAAAGCACAAAGATAACGAGATTAGAAGTGCTTTAAGTATTTGTAAGACAATTTGGTGTTAGCTAAATTTGAACGCATGTTAAATCTAGCTGCCGGAAAAAATGAAAACCTGAATTATTTTCAAAACGATATTTATTTGACGCCTAACTTCAAAGCCTTAGTGATGTTTTTGGATGTGGAAAACCTCCGCAAAAAGTCAATTTGGTTTTGACTTTGCCAATAACCAAACTTGTGTCCAATTTTCACTACTATACTGTGCTAAAAAGGGCGCAACCAAGTGCCATAGTAAGGTATAGTCCTTTGAAATTTATAAATTGCAATTTAAGGTAAATAGATATTACAATTAACAGTGAGTGGAGAACCATTTGATAGTCAAACACGTTGTTCAGTCAGAGAGCCTGCATCGGCCCGGCCTCACAGAAAAATATGTCAAACGACCACAGCGTTGTGATACGCCGTGTGAGTGATGTTACTGGAGGCCAAATCATTGCCCACCCCAATCTCTTAATCTCCGAAAATGACGGAATCTAAGATGTTGCGTGTGTCGATGAGCGGCGCTGATTGCTTACCATTAGGAAATTCGTTTCATCGTCTACCCGCCTGTCATCTATCGTATGAAAAAAAAATGTTTGCCTTACGAATAAAAATCCAAATATTGCTAGTAGTAGGACTATGAAGGATGCAGTGTCAGAAATATTTTATTGGGAAAATAATGACGATCAAGATCAAAGCAATTGATATACTCACTCGCAAATCCTACAGTAAGGGGAACGTTGTAAAACTGAATCATATTTTATTACTGATTTTAAATATTTTGAGGCTAAACCAAAGTCTAAGGCTACAGGACGAAAATTTCGAGTCATTTTATCTATTCCAAAGATATTCAAGAAGATAAAATTATTGATTTGACATTTTAGACAGCTAAAGATATTTTGTTTTTAAATTTTCCGGATTGTCATAGATGTAGATTTTTGTGGTTGAAACCTTTTTCGATTTTTTATGCTCCAGTATTCGTTCGGTTGACCCTCGTTTGAAATTGGAGATATGTGTCTTGCACTTTCTTATAATACAAATTCTTATAACTCAAAACTTTGCAAGATGTCACAAATATTATGTTATACCTAAAAATTGGTAGGTAGAGGTAATTATTTTTTATTTTATACATTTTATAGGTATTTTATTGCTAAGAGCACTCTCGATTAAGTCATTAGCATTCCCTTTCAGTGCGCTTTCATTTGAGATCCCAGTCGAGTATATTTGCAGACCTTCGGTTACCCTTCCCTACTTAAACCTGCCATAACTTCTAAACGGCTCAACCGATTTTCATCAAACATGTCTAAGAACACTCGGACGTAGCTAAATTGAAATCAATTGACCCTTTCGGGCTCCAGAATGCCACAGGCAGACAGACAGACAGACACGTCAAACTTATAACACCACTCTTTTTCCGTCGGGAGTTAAAAAGGACGCACAAAAGAACTACTTCGCAATTGTTTCATTTTTTTACTGTAAACGTATTCTACATAGCTTTACTTATTCAATGTTAAAAGTGAAACAAAATAAAAATGGTTGCAAATGGCCGTTGTGGCAAGCGCGGTGAGTTTGTAGAATTCGTTAGCCGAATAAACCGTGCGGCAGGAATACTTTTCAGTCACTGTATAGAGTTATTGCAGCAGTTCAAGGGAATGTCTTGGTGGGATTCGATTTTTGAATCTTTTATTTGATTAGTTTTGTTTACTGTTGTATTCTTGAATGTTTTATTTTATATGTACCTAGATAGTACAATTTTGGATTAAATTCAAATGTTACAAAATATATCTTTATACGAGCCTTTTTTGTGTTTCAATGTTGCTTACAGGTTTGATCAGCCATTACACTAACCTGCCCGCGTTGCCCTCTGTACTTTGGCAGTAGCTCTGTTTTAGTGAAAATACCTTTGCACTTTATCAAACGGACTTTTCATCATTCATCATCAAATGGCTTCTCTCGCCCTGCGTCAGGTACGAGGGGTTTTAGACACTGACTCTAAGCTCTGACTGAAAAAGTCTCTTCTGGACCAGGCCGGGGCTGGAAAAGGAATTAGGCCATTCGATCAAATTGCTTATTAAGGTAGTAAGCTAGCTAAGCTGAGTTTAAAGCGATTTCGATAAAATGTTGTGTGGTTTCGGGAACTTAAAATAAATGTAGACAGGTTCCATATTCAAAAAAAAAAAATACGAAGCAAAGATCGTTTCTTGGTCGTTCCTCCATACGAATTTTTGGAACGAACCAATCAAGTACTGGCTGACAAACTGAGATTGTTCCATTTCTGACTTTTCAAAAGTGCCTGTTAGTCTATTACTCGCAGATTATTAATCTTATTGGTTTGCTCTTTTGAGGTAAGGCTTAGCTTAGCTTCCGCCTATGGTATGGTATATAAAGTATGGTAATAAGTAAGCGTAAGTAGTAAGTAGTAAACGATAACTTGATTTAAATCGCAATTCAAGTATAGTTTGTCGCCTTATAGCATTTAGAAACATTGTAGCTATGCTAGTAGCTGTTCCAAAGATTACCCGGTACATACAAACTTACAAATTTCACCTCTTTATAATTATAATACAGACAATATATGCAAGTTTCAATAGGTATTTTATGTTGCGGTTGCTCTCCAATGTCAATGCTTAAGACCAGGTGACCATTTTGGTCATTATAAAAATTCTATAAAAACTTCTGTAACAACACTGTTTAGTGTGGAACTTCATTCAAAGTTTGCGTCGTTAGCAAAGCGATTTCGTCAATGCCATTCATCACAGTGTTGTTTGGAATGCGATGTCTGTTTACTTTTGTCACTTAGTCTGCTTACAATATAGGTACAAACGTTTTGGAAATGGACAGCTATCAGTATAAGACCTAAGTATGTAGGTAAAATTGTTGGATAGTTAAATTTTATTTCAAAACTGTGAAATGGATAGGTAAAAACAAGTTATATTATGTATACTACAGGCTCAATGAGGATATGTATTTTATGTAGATATATGAGCCTACGGATTACCTGATGGACGCCTGCGACACCAAGACTTATGAGTGCGTTGCCGGCCGGTTGGGGTTTCGGAAGGAATGAGGGGTAGAGAACGATTTTACCTTCGATAACGACACATGGCGAAATACAACACTGTTGGTATTACACGCCAGGCCGGCTTTCTGTAAGGCCGTGGTATCATTCGTTCTTGTCTCATTGCTACTGTAGTACGGGTCTCTCATAGGTACTTGTAAGATGATGCAAATACAAGATTCAGAAACCTCTTGTGGTTTTTTTTGTGGATTAGGTCAGCAAACGAGCAGACGTATTACCTGATGGTAAGCAATCAGTGCCACCCATGGACATCCGCAACGGAGGAGTTACAAGTGCGTTGCCGATCTTTCAGAGATAAGAGATTTGGAGATTTAGGGATTGGGGGAGGGGAAGTATCGTGGCCCTTTGTTAATCAAACAGTTAGCCCATTTTATTTGGTCAGTCAATTAAAGAGGTTGTTAAGAAGTTTGCCAGTAAGGTAAGAATAATATTAACTTGTAGTCTTGACTCCTATCCTCATAGTCACGTTTGAGACCACAAGACGAAAAGAACCAATTTAAAATTTATAAATCGCAACATTTTTGTTATTAATTTACAAATCGGCGAGGAAACGCTAAGCCGGAAAAGAAACGGATCTCTGTCACACAATTTAAAAAATAAAGCGGTTTGCTCTTTGAGTATGTATAATGCAAGGTTTAAAATTAATTATCACGTGTCTCACCATAGTTACACTATAATTTAAATATTGTAATACATTGAAAATAAATAAATTTTTGTGATAGTCAATTCAATACCGTTAAATTCATGCCAGTTTTTTAAGTTACTTGTATTGTTCTTTTCAGAGGAATGTAAAGATTCTATTAAATTATTTACTTGGTCAAATAGCAAACATCTCGTTAAAAATTCAGTTCATTTTGAAAATTAAGTAGTAACATGGTGAAATGGATGAAAGTTTTAATAGGTAGGTATTTTTGATATCTACTATTATTTATTTGCTTGATAGAAATAATCGAATTGGTTTATTTTTGAATAAGGAAACTAACCAATTTGAGTGATTAAAATACATGAGTGGGAGGGCCGTGCTTCGGCACGAATAGGTCGGCTCGATCGGAGTAATATCACGGCCTCATTACAGAGCCGGCGTGAAAAATCTACAGCTTTGTGTTTCGCCGTGTGAGTGAGGTTACCAGAGGCCTAATCCTTCCCCTCCCCCAATCCCTAATCTCCACATCCCTAATCCCCAAAAGGTCGACAACTCGGTCAGCACTCGTAACTCCTCTGTTGTTGCGGGTGTCCCTGGGCGGCGCTGATTGCTCACCATCGGTAATCTGTGTGCACGTTTCCCGACCTATCACATAAAAAAAAGAATGAAATTTTTTTGCCCTGTAGCGCTCTACAGCGTTATTCAAAAATACCTACTCTTAGGAGCTGAAATTATTCCACCCTCCCTAAAAAGTTGGATGCGGGCCTAACAATAGAAATTGTCTTTTTTCTCTTATTAAGGAAATATTTGAATATTTTATAATTTTTCCTTTTGCTTTGGACAAAATTCGGATCTTCCGTTTTGTTTGTTTTTAGGATTGCGTAACATCAAACTTCTTTACCATAAAGAGCTGGAAGAAAAATGGTATTATATTATGTTATGGTAAAATGTTACGTGTATTTCTTTTTGAAAGAGGTTAGCAGTGTTTAAATAAAATTGTGGTAGTGCTAGGAATCATCATCATCAGCAAAAACATAAGCCTAATACTGAGCAAATACCTTTTTTCACTCGGAGAAAGTTTGAGCATTGATCAAGGAGGATTGGCGATTTCCTAATAATATAATAAATACACGTTGAGGCGAGGTGACAGGAATTAGCGATCCCGCGGGCTACCATCATCCCGATTGCTCCAGGGAGGGGGCACCACACTCACCTCCGGCTTGCCTTTATTGGCTAGCCGGCGTGAACGATGACGAGGAATAGGTCTCCCACCTCTGGCCTGAGTCGCGAGAGTAGTGATCCTTATCCTGATGCTCGGATGGTGAAAGCTGTTCGTAAGCGGCGAGTGGGCCAGTGATGCAGGATGCTTAGGCAGATGCAGATTATCTGAGTAGAAAGCTGGTGGCAATGGTACAACAACAACAACAACAACAATATTAATTACCGAACACAACTTCGACTGCTCGGTTGGTGATTGGGCTACTGGCTGCAGCGCAACGTGTCGGGTTCGATCACCGCACAGAACAACTCTTTGTGTGATCCACAAATTGTTGTTCCAACAGAGGAAGGAGGAAACAAAGGAAAAATTTTAGTAAATCATTATTTTCAATCAATTAAATACATCAAAAATAAATATCTCGAACAAAAATAGAATATAATTAAATATACTATAATACCCAAAACTTATTGTTTATTATTTTAAATCAAGTCATTCGGCCTTTAAGACAATTACGAGAAGAAAAGTAGTGGATATAAAATTAAATGTATCCTAAACTGTCGACACAGCAAACCGACAGTCACCATTTACAATTTTTTTTTGCTATGTATGGATGAAAAAACTAATATCGTTTATATTACGACCAAGACATTACGTAAATCAGCCGTCAATATGATGTTCACAGCTGGCTAGAGGCAACGTGGATATAATGTTTCATTTGCATTAGCAATTTTTTACTAGATCTTATAAGGCTTTTGTAGACATCTCAGAATCGGAGCGTCGAAATTGACGGCAGGCTACAATATAGGAGAGAGTTTAGTGCAAGATTTATATAAGATTTAGTGCAAGTTAAGTGTGGGAGAGCCATGCTTCGGCACGAATGGGTCGACTCGACCGGAGTGGTAGATACCACGGCCTCACAGAAAACCGGCGTGAAACCACCACAGCGTTGTGTTTCGCCGCGTGAGTCAGGTTACCGGAGGCCCAATCCTTCCCCTAGTGAAGCAGCTATGCTCGCAAAGAGGGAGGCGGCCCGCGTGAGGGAGCAATCCTCCTCCTCACGCCCCAGCTGCCGCAACAGGCGACACTACGGGCGTCGGGGATCAAGGGACGATCTCCGGCCACCGTGAGGCCGGGGTTCCGGGGTAAGCGCAATGAGGCACCGCGACCTCGGCCCAGAGCAGGAGTAGGAACGGGGGGGTTTTTAGTCAGTAAGAGTCTGACACTCCCTCCCGCTCGACCCTGGGCGGGAGAAGTCATTTGATGATTTTCCCCTCACAAAAAAAGGGGTGTAGCGATACCCATAGTCCGGTAGTCCGATAGAATTCAACCATTTGACTAGAGATTTGATTGGAGATTGGAGCAAACTTCTCTTATAGAAATAGCAGGCCTTTATGCTCTAACAGAACAATGTTGGTAAGTCTGAAGAATAGTGAGATTTTAGCCAATGGAATTTTGACACAGGCGAGTTCCTCCTAGGGGAAGTCAAATGATGATCCTGACCCTCGAAAACAGATTACACTTTTGCTGTGGATGATGGTGGTTAAAAAGCAACGTTAAAAATATGTAAAAAGTCACTTTAATATGGATGGCTAAAAACGACAGTAGCGCCAATTGGCAATTTGGCGTTCTCTATGATATAACCTAAATATTCTCGTCTGGTCCATTCATCAAATATTTAATCTATCAGAGCCGCGTGTTGCTATAATTGGGACACAGTTATTGATACTTTTCCACTTGATTGCTCTTTTAAATTAATTATTAAGTATCAGAATTCTGTCTAAAGTACCCATGAAAGAATGATGTTGAAGATTATTTCTGACTTTCTAATTTTGATTTTATGATGTCAATCAATTTGATCAAACTTAATAATATAATTAATAACGTTACGATTTTTTTTTTCTGAAAGGGTAAGCAGTAATGCAGATTTTTAATAAAACACTAATTATTTGTAGTCCTAGCTTCGCTCGTTTGCAATACTGATACAAAGTTATTCCACTATTTAGGGGATGTTATTAATACATAACCATATTAAAAGTCTTCCACTTAAAAAGTCGCATCAAACCCCGTTGCGTAGTTATAAAAACTTAAGTATACATAGGGACAGACAAAGCTACTTTGTATTAAATTATGTAATGACTAGCTTTCCGGCTGACGCAAGTGCTTACCGGACACGGGTGTTTCGGGAAATACCTGTGTCGCATAGGTCGGGAGCCGACGTCTCAGTGCCACCATTGTGGTGATTGCAGCGACGATACGGCGCTGCATACGTTGGCGGAATGCCCAGCTTGGGCCGAGCAGCGCCGTGACCTGGTCGCGGCCGTAGGTGCTGCGGGAAATCTCTCGCTTCCGGCTGTAGTGTCCACTATGGTCGGGAGCGAGTCAGGGTGGAGTACCGTCGCTACCTTCTGCGAGGCCGTGATGCTCGCAAAAGAGGCGGTGGAAAGGGAGAGAGAGGCTGCCTCCTCTCTCCCCTTCCGCAGCAGACGCACTAGACGTTGTAGGGTGGCCGACCTGCGGCCACCGTAGGGCGCGGCCTGTGGACGACAGTCTCGGGGCGTCTTGTCGTCCGACCAGCAGCAGGTCTCGAGGCGGCGGCGCCGTGTTCCGCGCGCGCCTCATAGTGGAGTCCTGCGGTCAGGGTGACGGCCGCAGTGGGTGACGGGGCCCGCCTTACCATCTGGCGGGCCACGCCAGTACACATCAGCGATGGGTCTCCATGAGGATTTTCCAAGCCGACACCAAAAAAAAAAAAATGTAATGACTAGCTAATCCCCGCAGTTTCACCCGCTGTTCGGCTCCTACAGATCGTAACGTGATGTTTTATAGCCTATAACACTCAGGAACATTGTAGCTATCTATCTATCAGTGAAAGAATTTTGGAAATCCGATCATCGGTTCCAAAGATTACCCCTACATACAAACTTACAAACTTACAAATTTTACCTTTTTACAATATTAGTATAGATTACAATGTAGTAGAGGTCCAACTTATTGCAAATCACCGGGCATAATTTTAGACTTCATGTCATTACTGAGAAACGACAGAAAACTTGAAAACAGCCACAATAATACTTTTCCTGACTCCAACATATACTCAATATCGCCAATAAAACTTGAGCAAGGAGGCAGTTCTTTAATACATAACAAAAATAAAGGCAGCGCCACATCATGACAGCCTAAAATAAGTCTTAAGATATTAAATAATTATGCAAATTCATAACATAATACTTGTCGAGAAAGTTTGCAAATTAAATTCATTAATTATCTTCTAAAATTAGAAATTAATTTAATTATAACCGTTTGAGGGATTGAAACAAGAGTTTGAAAGTTAATTGATTTTGACTGCCGTTGGTAGACGTTGATGTTATGGGTTTGTCATCAAAGTTGGGTGTATTTTTCGTCTTTTATATTTCGAAGGGGCGTGGTAAACATGTCGTGGTGGCTCGGAGGTAAAGGCGCCCGCTTCTCATGCATGAGAGATTGCGGGTTCCAAACCTGGCAAATTTAGTAATAATGTACTTTCTATGATTATAATTTAGACACCAATGATATACGGTGAAAAAAACATCGTGAGGAAACCTGGATTTATAATTTCTAATCAATTGGAATCACCAATCCACCTTGAGCGAGTGAACTGATTAATGCTCATAACTTCTCCGTGTGACAAGAGGCTTTTGCACAGAAACGGGCAACGGATGGCTTTTCCAACCCAAAAAAGGTATGATATTTTGCAGCTACATACAGATTCTAAAACTAAGTCATCGTTTGTGATAAACCAAAATAGATACCGTAACACAATAGCCATTTCTGACTTACGTACAAGGGTTAATTAAAATACAGTCACAATGAATGGCCAGCGGTTAAGTATTTAAATCCAAAGATTCACTATGTGGAAGTGACACAAACAATACCCCTTTTGTTTTAATTAAAACTTTCAATTTAATCAGTTTGACCCTTTACTTTAATGTGTGCCGTGTTTCAATTTAGTATAATATGTGTACATAAATGTGATGTTCTTTTTAAATGTGGATGGTGCAGGTTTTCTTTTTTTGTGTGTGGAGCGAATTCATCTTTTGTCTGGATGGGTCGGGTCAGACTGTCACTGATTTAAAACTTACCCGTTCCTTCTCCTGTTTCAAGCCGGGGCAACAGTGCATTATTGCACTTACACCCGCAACCCCGGTTGGTGAAAGGCACAGGAGATTATTTAACCAGATTTTCCTCTTCAGGAATTATTTTTTGATGCTTTCAATCTGAGTAATTTTCAACCCTCCTCTGATGTAAAATGTGTCTGCTTAATTGATTTAAGCGAAGAGGTATGCTCCGGTGCGAATAAGCTGGCTTGATCGGAGTTTTGCGACTTCACAGAAAAACAGCGTGAAATAACGCTTCCGTTGCGTGAGTGAAGTTACCCGAGACATCTTCTAAAGCTGGCAATGCAAACCTAGTTACTTCGCGGGTGACTATAGTCGTTATTGACACAATGACATTATCTTTTAGCATGTGTTTTTTTACCCGACTGCCAAAGAAGGAGGGTAATGTTTTTCGAGTGTATGTAAGTATGTATGTATGTCTTTTCCTTTGTGACCTCCTGTAGCCTAAACGGCTTGATGGATTTTGATGTATGAGGTATCGTTAGATTTGTCTTGATTACGGGAGTGTCATAGGATACATTTTATCCTAAAAGTCCCACGGGATAAGGACATAATAATATTTTTTCTAAATTTCCCTTTAAAAAAATATGTATGCGGTATCATTAGATTCATTTCAATCACGGGAGTAATTAATATAGGATACGTTTTTTCTCAAAATTCCCACGGGAAAAAGTTATAAATAAAAAAATTATTATTAAAAAAACAAAATACCCGACTGCACACTAAAAAAAGAGTAAAACAAGCCCCACAATACAAATTTACTGAATATAATTTATAAATGTTGATGGAAAGCATCGCAGGCGGGGACCACCTTGACCGCCACCAACGAAAATTCTGCTAAATGGTGCACAACAGAAATGACTATAAATAAGCCTCTGTTGGTCCCCGCCTGCGATGCTTTCCATCAACATTTATAAATTATATTCAGTAAATTTGTATTGTGGGGCTTGTTTTACTCTTTTTTTAGTGTGCAGTCGGGTATTTTGTTTTTTTAATAATAATTTTTTATGTAATAGGTCGGCAAA